ATATTTTAGATATAAACGAGTGTTTGACATTGGCAAATTCTCCACTAAAAGGATATAGAAGACAATACGCGTTTTAAATAAAAAAAATAGACGAAAAAACAAATTAAGAAAACATGTTCAAATTCTTATTAGGAGCCTCATTTTCAACTTTTTGTATAATTTACTATACCATTGTTATTAATAGAAGCTGTTTAAACTAAAAACAAAGAAAAACCACAATCGATCAGACAAGCAAATGTTTACAATCACTGCATAAAAGCGTACGACTGAACATCACGATCACAAATCCCAACAAAAAACGGAGGGTGTTCTTGTCCCGGAAGGGTAAGGTCATCCTACTCCATGTGTGGCACCCGTTCTGCTGCACATGTCAAGAATAAATATGTGATTCATGTCAAAATCAATGAAAAGAAAACGAGACTGTGTGTACGTCATTTGGAATGTATCCGTGGTCCTCTGTGACACAGATATTCCCTTATGGCGTCTGTCAAACTTTCGGAGGGATAACATTGAAATTACCGCATGGAACCCTTGGTTCAATAGCTTCCTTTTAAGCTTCCTTGTCACATTTAGAATCTTTATTATGGCACCATCAACGGAGTTGTGGTGTCATATTGTTATTGTACGATTCTTTTTCTTTATTATTATTATTCCACCCTTTTTGTTCAGCTTAGTTCTCGGAATTGAAAAAACCAATGTTGATGGAACTATACCATAATGTGGACCACCATCTGAAGTTGTGCACCTGACTTTGAATTGCTCAAGATGGCCACCGTTACCATGGAAACAGCAAAAATGTAAAAAAAACAAAAATGCTCCAAAGTAAATGAAACTTCACACAAATGTTTATTTGCATATGCAGATGAGCCATTTGACTTTGGAATTTCCAAAATGGACGCCGTAATCATGGAAACAGTGAAATGGTGAAAAATTGAAAAATGCTCCAAACTTCTTGAAAATGTACAGACAGATTAGTTGGGATGTATATATGTGCATTCACTGTTTAAAGGTTTCAAAATGGTTGTTGTTTAGTGGCAATTTTGGAGGGGTGCCATCCGCTATTGTTTGCAATGGCTAATCTAGTTATTATTATTATTATTATTATTATTATTATTATTATTATTATTATTATTATTATTATTAGCATAGGTAAGATGTTAACGGCACTTTTCGTGCTCCTGATTATCATTATAATAACTCATTTATGATGGTGTGTATCGGCGGATCAGTATGCCATCCAATCGTCTGTGATCGCAAAAAAAAAAGTTCTCATGATTTATTTGATTTTTTAACATAAATCGACCACAATATTTGTTTGCATATCTGTATAACAATGGCAAAAAAAAAGAATAGAGAAAAATAGGGCAAAAAAAAGAAAAAAAGAAAAGAGAATAATGGGGTCATAAAATATAAAGAACATTAGAGAATAGAGAATAATGACCAAAAAAAATATAAAGAATACAGAAAAAAGACCTACAAAATTAAGAATACAGAAATGAACGACTCCCCATCTAGACCCCCATCATGTCTACATAACTATTTGTAGGCATATATCAAACTAAGTTTCAATTTAACGGTGAAAACTTGCATACAAAATTAAATGAATTCCATTATGTTCCAGTTACAATACAAATTGTCTATCTGTAATCGAAACCATCAATACGTAAAATCCTACAATCAGTTGTTAATCGTTGCTATATATTTATCAATTCAATGTTCCTTCTTTTCGCTATTAATAGAGTAATAAATTGTTGTGTAAATAATTACAGCTTGTATTTTGGGGATTATTATTGTTGTGCTAATTATAATAAACACTTTAAAACATATTCAGGTTGTGATTTTATTATCGTTGTTATTTTTCGCTTTTTTTCTATTTGGCTCGTGATATTTGTAACAGTCAAACCTGCTATAAAGGACACCTTTATATGAAAGGAAAAATATCTTCTCATGTCATAAATATGAAACGAAAACATGTCTTGTCATGTCATCTATACGAAACGAAAACATGTCTTGTCATGTCATCTATGTGAAACGAAAACATGTCTTGTCATGTCATCTATGTGAAACGAAAACATGTCTTGTCATGTCATCTATATGAAACGAAAACATGTCTTGTCATGTCATCTATATGAAACGAAAACATGTCCTGTCAGATCATCTATATGAAACGAAAACAATGTCATGTCGTGTCAGGTCATCTCTATGAAACGAAATCATGTCTTGTCGTGTCATCTATACACAACGAAAACATGTCGTATCAGGTCATATGTGAAACGAAAATGTGTCCTGTCAGGTCATCTATATGAAACGAAAACATGTCTTGTAAGGTGATATATATGAAGCGAAAACATGTCCTGACAGGTCATCTATACGAAACGAAATCATGTTCTGTCAAGTCTCCTATATAAAATGAAAACATGTCGTGTCAGGTCAAATATATGAAACGAAAACGTGTTCTGTCAGGCCATTTATGTGATACGAAAACATGTTCTGTCAGGTCATCTATATGAGATGAAAACATGTTCTGTCGGGTCATCTATATAAAACGAAAACGTGTCCTGTCAGTTCATACATATGAAACGGAACATGTCTTGTCAGGTGATCTATATGAAACGAAACATGTCTTGTCAGGTCATCTATACGAAACGAAATCATGTCTTGTCAGGTCATTTACATGAAACGAAATTGTGTCCTGTCAAGTCATCTATATGGAACGAAATTATGTCGTGTCAGGTCATCTATATGAAACGAAAACATGGCGTGTCAGGTCATCTAAATGAAACGAAACATGTCTTGTCATGTCATCTATACGAAACGAAAACATTTCTTGTCGTGTCATCTATACGAAACGAAAACATGTCTTGTCATGTCGTCTATACGAAACGAAAACATGTCTTTTCATGTCATCTATATGAAACGAAACAAGTCTTGTCATGTTATATATATGAAAACTAAAACATGTCTTGTCATGTCATCTATACGAAACGAAAACATTTCTTGTCAGGTCATCTATACGAAACGAAAACATGTCTTGTCATGTCATCTATATGAAACGAAAACGTGTCCTGTCAGGTGATCTATATGAAACGAAAACGTGTCCTGTCAGGTCATATGTATTAAACGAAAACATGTCTTGTCAGGTCATATATATGAAACGAAAACATGTCTTGTCAGGTCAACTATATGAAACAAAACTTATCTTGTCATGTCATCTATACGAAACGAAAACATGTCATGTCAGGTCATCTATATGAAACAAAAGCGTGTCCTGTCAGGTGATCTATATAAAACTAAAAGTGTCCTGTCAGGTCATATGTATTAAACGAAAATATGTCTTGTCAGGTCATATATACATGAAACAAAAACATGTCCTGTCAGGCCACCTACTAGCATATGAAACAAAATCATGTGTCGTGTTAGGTCATCTATATGAAACGAAACGTGTCTTGTCAGGTCATCTATATGAAACGAAAACGTGTCTTGTCAGGTCATCTATCTATACGAAACGAAAACATGTCCTGTCAGGTCGCCCTATTGTCTTTTTGTAGTAATTCCTGTGTGTTTTGGTCTTCAATTCAAAAGTTGACTTTCTTATAACACAGTGGGTAAGATTGTTCGGCGAGAGAATTAATTTTCTTTGCTTGTGATGTGGTCCTGACTGGTGCTGGTGGGTCCTGATTATGTGCTTGTGTATTTGTTTCCATTGTAATAAAAAAGCAATAAAACAACCAATTATTTATATATATATAATTATGTTGTTTAATAACTATACATGGGACCGTGAAGCTTAATGGTGAGGGGTTACAGTACACATACAACTTACCCAATGCAGACAATACATTTTCAGATGCACAAATTACAAGCAATGGTTTAACACAAAGTTTTAGGTAATAAATAAGATGCAGCCTAACATCCTGGGTATGGTTTCAATTTCGTGCGTTACTCCAAATTCTTTTCTATTTATTCAACCTACTTAATTTTAATTCTGTGTCTCAGTGTAAGAAACACATATCGACCACTTCAAAAACCGGAATTATTCCTATATAAATGTAATTTTGTATAGAATTAATAATATTCTTTTAAGAGAAGAAGGGGGGTGTTGTGGTTAAAGTTGTAACGCTTGGAAAATCATCATTTTCGTGCAGGTTTACAAATTTTTCAATGATCACCAGCACTGATTAGGACCAAATCATCAGCACTGATCAAGACCAAATGACCAGCACTGATCAAGACCAATTCACCAGCACTGATACGGACCAAATCACCAGCATTGATCAGGACCAAATCACCAGCATTGATCATGACCAAATCACCAGCACTGATACGGACCAAATCACCGGCAATTATCAGGACGTACCAAGTCACCAGCACTGATACGGACCAAATCACCGGCATTGTTCAGGACGTACCAAATCACCAGCACTGATCAGGATAAAATAACCAGCACTGATCATCACCAGCACAGATCAAAACCAAATCACCAGCACTGATACGGACCAAATCACCAGCATTAATCAGGACCAAATCACAAGAACTGATCAGGATAAAATCACCAGCATAGAAAGTTAAGAAAGTGTGACGCAGACAACAACACAAAACGACAGAAGTCGAATCAGTATATCTTCTTGTTTCTTGTTTTATGCCTATCCATTTTTTTATTGATATCAGATAAGCACTTCTGTTAAACTTTTAACTGCTGTTTAGGTCGTTATTAATGAAAGCATATTCTGAAGGAAAAAAATGATATCATAAAGATATAGTTACCACTGTTTTCACACTTTTATGCTTGTCTGTTTATACCAGTACTTGTTTTAGATATAGAACGACCTTGGTATACCACATTTAAATTCAGATTTCAAAAACTACCAGACCTGTGGTAAGAAAACAGGAAGAAAATAAGAAATTGGCTTTTGGTTAAAAAGTACTTAATATTTATCTATCTATTACAATTCAAATACTCAAGAATAAATATTAAAGTCTAAATGCAAATTCAGCTCTTTTATATTCAATGATGAGTTTCTTTATATAGGCTTATCTTCCGATTGTTCGTTTCGTATAGTTTTATCTTCTAATGGGATAGATTTTGTCAGCAAACTTTCCCCTTCTACTTTTTCTTTTTCGGTATTTTCTGCTTCAATACTCCAGTCCGTCTTTTTCCGAGCCAGGAAGAATTGTACAACCTTTAATCCAAACACACCAACATTTAATGCAGCACTTGTGCCATAAATGAACATTCGAAATTTATAGTTATCGTACAATGCGCATGCTCCTTTATTATTGCACTTTGAGCTCCATAATAAACAAGCTTGGTCTATAATTTTTCCATATAAAACAGGGCCAGGAAACCAACCTGCAATCAGTAAATAATATAAACATGCTAGCAAAGCAAATCAACTTAATACGTTTAAATATTACTCCCAATAAGAGAAAGTTAAATAAAAATCGTCACAAATAAAAAGAAGTAAAAGAGTCTGTTGGCTAATTAGACATCAAATACACTAGCTTATAATTTTACTACACTAGACACGCCTTTCGTCTACAGAAGACTCGCCATTAGCGCTCAAATCAAAACAATTGAAAGGCCAAAACGTTATCTTCTATGGCAATACTGATTCTTGATGATTGTTGAGCTATACCTTGAAGACTGTGATATTTTCATAAATTTCAAAGGCCAAGGCCTCAGCCAATACAAGATGGGATGCAGTTATTGATTGATATTTTAAAAGCAGTCTGTACGGCTTTAGTATATGAAATAAATAGTTAGAAAGGTAACTAGTTCAATATGATCCAATACTGGCAAGGAAACAAATGCTCAAATCTAAGAATGCAAAGGCCATTTTTGAAAATAAAGTATGTGTATAATTTAAGTTACTATGATTACCAAGTGAGGAAAGTATGACAAAATCTTACCCAACAGGGTAATGATGAAAGATGTAAATCCAACTGCAATAGCTTTATCTGATGCTGAAACTGATCTAAAACAATTAACATAAAGAAAACTAGGTGAGAATTGTGCTACTTTGTTTATCTGTAAAAGGGACGATATATATCTAATAATAAAAAAGGCATACTAGATTTATCATTGAAATTAACCATAACATAATATTAAGTTGATAATACAGCGTCTCCTTGTTTTTATATAAAAAAAAATGATAAACGTTCGAATACGCATTTCGGGATTAATCGTCATAACGAACTAAGCCAACAGAAAATTGGGGAAACCAACACTTGATTAAATACATTGGTTATATGACCACAAGAGGATAACACATAAACAGCTATCAGATGTCAACTTTTCTCTCAAGCTCTTGCAAATTTCAGTATTTGTACGATTTTCAAACAAAATTACTTGTTTGTTTTATTTCATAAATTCATCAAGTAAACTTTAATGATTTAGTTGATCTATTCGTATTTTCATATTACTATGACATAACAAGTTCAGAATGTTTTAGCCCCTATGTATGCATCAAATGTAAAAATGTTTAAAAACAAGTGTTACCTGATAAGTAATATAAATCCTGGTATGCTACTGCAAGACAGAATCAGTCTAAACAGCAAAGATACAACAGTATATGGAATGAGAAACTGACAATCAGGAGAACACAGCCCAGGTGTTACTGTAAGATCGTTGTTAGATACCATGTTGCCATGAAACGATAGACATGAACAGTTGCCATATGACTTCAGTGTAAATGAAATGTAAAAATACTTTTGAAACATGTTTTTGTTAGTTTGTATTAAAATTTAATGCTTTGTGACAGGATAGTATTTTTGCTTGCAGTTCATTTTTGACTAGGTTCTGCTTCTTTTGTGTGTTTTCTTTTCTTTAATTATTGTTATTTTCTCTTGTTTATTCACAATTTTTATTGTTACAGAGTTCTACGGCATTACTATAAAATCATCATTTCGTCCAGTACATACGAAGCATGCAATAGGACAAACTCGTGATGCCAAAGATTAGTTAGCGTAATTCCACAAAATAAGCATTTGCCTGTCCCTTTTCTGGGAGAAGTCATTGGTTTTCTCATATAATATCCTTAAGTTATATATTATTTGGATAATTTGGTCTTGATGACAGATCTTTTATTGCTTTTGTTTAATTTATTCATAACTATATGGATTCGGGTCGATTTAGAGCATATCATATTCTATGAACACCTGTTTATTGTAGGAGACTTCTAGGTGTCGTTTGATGATATTTTTGTCCTTTTGTTGTTTGGTTGCGTTCACACTGACGTATACCACAAATCTTGTTTTAATTATATGAAAACGTATTTGTCTTTTTGGTCAAAGTATTATATTTAACTGTTATTACCATAAACAACTTTTAACACATGTTCTTCAAAACAGACATCTTAAGGTCAATGTAAAGTTCTCAGCGGTGAGAAAGGTCAATATCACTTGGCACATGATGTGTACCACTAGTGGAGCAGGATTTGCTTAGTAAAAAGTACCCTTCCGGATCCCGGAGCACCTGAGATCCCCAATTCCAGAATTTGGTGGGATTCGTGTTGCTTTGTTTTTAGTTTTTTATGTAGTGTTTTGTGTCAGGAATCTGATGTTCAGTAGTTGTCGTTTGTTGATGTGGTTCATAAGTGTTTCTCGTTTCTCGTTTTTTATATAGATTAGACCGTTGGTTTTCCCGTTTGAATGGTTTTACACAAGTAATTTTTGGGGCCCTTTATAGCTTACTGTTCGGTGTGAGCCAAGGCTCCGTGTTGAAGACCGTACTTTGACCTATAATGGTTTACTTTTATAAATTTTGACTTGGATGGAGGGTTGTCTCATTGGCACTCATACCAAATCTTCTTATATCTATTTTGTGAACTTGTTTATATTTTCGTCATTTTTTCGTTTTTTATTATGGCGTTGTCTGTTTTTTTTGTTTTTTTTTTCGACTTATGTGTTTTGAATATTCTCAAGGTATTTTTTCGCCTTTTTTTTCTCATACTTCATATCGCCAAAAGTCTATACAAATTTTAAATGACAAATCAAGAAAATAAAAATTTTTTTTTTTCTGATTGATGTTTTCAGTTTTCTTTAAATGTACATCGTCAGAAGCGTTTAATTTAGTGGTTGTCGTGTGGTTCATGTCTGTCATATTTGTTTATCGTTTATGGTTTTATTATAGATCAGTACGTTTGTTTTCTAGTTAGAATTGTTTCACATTCTTTTATATCGGGGTCTTTTATATTTGACTATATGGTACGGGTTTATCTCATTGTTGAAGGCCGTGTGGTAACCTATAATTGCTTACATTCAAGTAATTTTGACTCTTGTGGGTATATGTCCCATTGCAAAGCAAACCGTGAGCGACATCTTATTTTTATATAGTGTTTTACTACACGGAAGTTCTCCAAAACGAAATTATCAATTCTTCTACATTCAGGTCCGTACGCTCCACAGCGAGTCAAAATGTAAACAAGCATATCACTGCCACTACCCAGCTTAAAGCCTCTTCCGAACATTTGAAAGTCCCGACTATGTACTGGTTACCTAATTTACACAATCAACCATTTAAATTTCGTTTTATCTCCGCATCTAGTAAGTATTCTTTTACTAATCTGTCGGTGCTCTAACTACCTCCCTTACTGCTATCAAAGAACTTATTATTAACTTTTGTAATAAAGTTTATGAAAATAATGTTATTAATTATTTTTGGAGTGTTAAAAATTCTTTAGAGGTTTTAGAAAAAATACGTGCTTTTGATGGTCTTTTGAATTACGTTGATAATTATGATTTTCTACTCGCTACACTACACTTCCATTCAATCTTATCAAGAAAAAGTTTTCAGATTTAATTAAATGGTCTTTTGAAAAATCTCATTTGAAATTTATTTGCTGTAACTCGTTTAAAGCATTTTTCTGTAACGAAAAGGAAAAGTATGAAAAAGGAAAATGTCCTGTTTAAATTGTTTTACACTAGTCATTTTGGGCCCTTTATAGCTTCCTGTTGGTGTGAGCCATAGCTCCGTGTTGAAGGCCGTACTTTGACCTACAATTGTTTAGTTTTTACACATTGTGACTTGGATGGAGAGTTGTCTCATTGGCACTCATACCACATCTTCTTATTTATATTAACTGCATGTCATATTTCCGGTATTCGCCGAAACAACACATAGCACTATATTTGATAAATGAAAGATATATTTAATGAATATTCCATGCATCTTTGGTAACATGCAGCATTTTTTATCAAGCAAACGTTATATATATATATGAGGGTCTGGATGGGGTTAACAGAACTGAGAATAATGGTCAAATAATGCCAAATAACGGCTCCAAAAAAATAAATAGAGAAAGATGGGGTGCTGAAATATAAAGAATAGAGCAGTTGGGCAACAACATAAAGGATACAGGAAAATGGCATACACAATTAAAGAATACAGAAATGAAGGACTTTCCAGACCCTCATATATCTTACCTTTTGAAAATTTTCGGTACATCCAGCATGGCATGGAGAAAAATAGTTCTTGTTATATGTATCAGCACACACTGGAAGGTAATTATCAGCACAATGACATTGGTTAATGCAGAGTGAGGAATTTGTGTTCAAATGCCTGTTGACAAATGTAAATACGATTCTTTAACATACATATATAACGGAATGAACTTATGTAAACGATTTTAGGCTGTTTATTTGAAATATAGAACATCTGAAACATTATGGATAAAACAACTAACTATGACTTTTTCGTCAACTGTCATTTGGGAAAAAAAAACATTTGATATTCAGGAGGGGAGCAGCAAAAATCAAATTCGTGGATATTTAATGAAAAAGGTATAATATCAAAATAAAAAATCGAGCAATGACAACTCACACGCCTTGCGGTGAGGTGATAGATTTTGCTCCATGATGGAGGCCTCATCGTAATTTTAATATGAAGGGGACAAACAGTGAAAGCGCTGTTCCTGTGCTTTTGGATTTTTTTTCATGTAGTCGAAGTTATTTTCAGTCATGTATTGATATCCCTTCTTGTCCATTAAATACCAAAATAATGCTGTCGAGGATGAAATGCTAGTCCAGTATGTACAACATGTGGCAATCGTACTTTGACAGAAGCAAGTCATTTGTTAAATTTGAATAATCTTCAAAACACCGGTTTATGCAGTTGCCTTAAAAATAATATTTTAAAATTCTTTTTAAAAAATCACTTAAACTAAATAGTTTTTTCTTTGTATACTTACATGTTATATCCAATAATATTTGGTGTAGGACAGCCTAGGGCCATGTTTACTACATTAGAAACGATATCCAATAATGAAACTAGTATAAGGAATTTTATGCAAGTTATAGGGGAAAACTTTTTCCTTGATGTTATAATACCTCCAAATAATATACCCGCTGATACTGGTATTACTTGTAAAACCCCTGAAATAGATACATGATGGTTAAATGTATTTTGAAGCTTACTTATTATAAATTGTTTTAAAAAAAAATCGTTGATAATCATCACAAAGATATAACATAAGCTCTGTAGAACTTTTTACCGAGATACATAAATTAAGTGAGTGTTAATAAGAAAAATAAAGGCTTTATCTGGAGGTAAATTTTAATGTCTGCATTTTATAATTCAACACCTTATCTTCAAACCACTGCAATGGATAGTTGTCGAAATCAGCGACTGGACGTTTTAAATCACAGTTTTTAAATAACCGTTTTGTCCACTGTTCATCAATATAACAATCTTGATTTACCATCATCAGGAACCTCAAATCCCAACTATTTAAAGCCAAGGATTCATCAATACTTGAGAGCTATATGACCAAAAGGGACCTAAGTGTGTGCCAAGAATGAGTAAATTATAACAGTTGAGGAGCTATTTGACGAAAAGGGACCTAAGTATGTACCAGGAATGAGTAAATTATAACAGTTCGCAACTTTTACAAATATCGTCATTAATTGCAAGAAACGTAAATTCTAATAGAAACTTATACATTGTCACTTAAGACGTTTTGTCTTGAAAACGGAAGTAATCAATGAACTCATTCGGGACCCAATAACAAACGTCAAGATGAACAACTACAATAAACAATTGTTTCTTAGATTTTTTTTATTATGCTATTAAAATTATTTCATGAGAAAATGTTCCATGTACATGCACATTTTATTCTATATTTCAATTCTAAATAGCAATATCTACAAAAATATTACCTGTAAGAATACTCGACATCCACCGTTGTTGTCCGAACTGAGTTTCTATGTACTTCGGTGTAAAAGCAAGTGCACCGGCTATTGATAACAGGTCCAGTGAGCCAGACAAGTTTATAAACATGTATAATTTGTTTTTCAGAAGTTGTTTGATAGTCTTAAAGAACTCTGTAAAAAATGAAAGAATTGAAACATATAGCACGTTCAAAGTTGCCAAGCTTGTAAATTCGAAAAAAAAGGTTATGGATTACGACGCTCGTATTATTCGTACATTTATAGATTAGACCGTTGGTTTTCCTGTTTAAATTGTTTTACACTAGTCATTTTGGGGCCCTTTATAGCTTGCTGTTCGGTGTCAGCCAAGGCTCCGTGTTGAAGGCCGTACTTTGACCTATAATTATTTACTTTTTACACATTGCGACTTGGATGAAGAGTTGTCTCATTGGCACTCATACCACATCTTCTTATTTCTAACAAATCATTGATATCTTATACGTTTTAATTTACCTTTGATGTACGATGTTAGTATCCTTTCAGTTTGGTTGCTTTTTTCGCTTTCATTTTGGACAACTGAATTTTTGTAGTGATTTGGAAAGAACATAAGTGGTATTCCCGTAACTATTGATAGTGTCCCAAAGACTATAAAACCAAGCCACCAAGCTCCAATCCAACGAGGATCTTTAGATGACATACTAACATCTGGGGAAAATAACAAGAAACGTAAATATAGTGACTTTTGGTTAAGAGTTTAAGAAAGCATTATAGGACAGAGCATTTGTACTTGGTCATTACATTAATAAAATGCTCCGCTATGGCGCAGCTTGATACGACCGCAGAGGTCGATCCCTGAACAGTTGGGGCAAGTATGGACACAACATTCAAGCTTGATACAGCTTTAAATTTGGATTGTAATTAAATATTTGACACAGTATTGGTTTCTGACACAGAATGAGTGTGGTCAAAGAATTGAAAAATTTGAAACTGGACTATTATGGTCCAATATCCAAAATCTAAGTACAAAATTAGATTCGTCATATCCAAGTACATCAAGACTTTAATTAATTTATTTATTGATAGACAAAATTAGCAAAGTTTCTAAAAGGGTTCACTTCATTAAAATAAAATGCTTCGCCGAGCGCAGCCTGATACGACCGCAGAGGTCGAACCCTGAACAGTTGGGGCAAGTTTGGACACAATATTCAAGCTTGATATTGTCTTAATTTGGATTGTGATCAAATTTTTGACATAATATAGGTTTCTGACACAAAATAAATGAGGTCAAAGATCTTAAAAATTTGAAATGGGACACTTAATTTACCTAGTATGGTCTGATAGCCAAAATCTAACAACATGGTTAGATTCAGCATATAAAAAAAAACACCAAAAATTTGTTAATTTTAATCAAACAAAGTTTAATTTTGGACCCTTCAAACCTTAAATATGGACTAATTTGAAAACAGGGCCCAAAATAAAAAATCTAAATGCACAATAAGATTCAGCATATCATACAGCCGCAATAATTCAGTTTTTGATGAAATCAAACAAAGTTTAATGTTGGACCCTTTGGACCTCAATTTAGACCAATTTAAAAATGGGGCCCAATATCCAAAATAGTAATACAAGGTTAGATCCCCAAAAAATAAAGACTTTAAATTAATCCCATTGAAATTGGTTAAAAGATTTGTATTTATTTTTAATTGAAGATTTCTTGCTATTGCGCAATAATGTGCTATTGCGCAATACTGTGCTATTGTGCAATACTGTGCAATTAAAGATTTCTTGCTATTGCGCAGTACTGTGCTACTGCGCAATACTGTGCAATTGCGCAATACTGTGCTATTGCGCAATACTGTGCTATTGCGCAATACTGTGCAATTGAAGATTTCTTGTTATTGCGCAATACTGTGCAATTGAAGATTTCTTGTTATTGCGCAATACTGTGCAATTGAACATTTCTTGCTATTGCACAATACTGTGCTATTGTGCAATACTGTGCGTCTGCACAATACTTAGTTAATCTGTTATATATAAAAATTTACACACCCTGTTTGGTGTGTATCCCCTGCCATATCAGTATTTGTTGATTTTATATATAAATCAGAAATAATCAATGTCAAAATGGAAAATATTTAGGAAAAAAAACCAAAAAATATGAAAAAAAAATCCCCATAAAATTTTTTTTTGAAAAAATTTGAAATTTTGAAAAATCTTGAAGAAAAAAAGTATGAACCCCTCCCCCCCAAAAAAAATTAAAAAAAAATCCCCCCCAACTTTTTGACCCCCTCCCCTTTTGAGTAATTACCCCCAAAACTCAATCGCAGCCTTCCCTTTGTGGTATGGAACCTTGTAGTACAATTTGAGAGAGATCCATACACTTAAACACAAGTTATTGTGTAGAAACTAGAAAAATGCTTGTTTTTGACCCCATTTTTGCCCCAAATTCCTGAACGTTTGGGGCAATTACCCCCAAACTCAATCCCATTCTTCCCTTTGTGATATGGACCCTTGTGGTACAATTTCAGAGCGATCCATACACTCACACACAAGTTATTGTCCGGAAACTAAAAAAAATGCTTGTTTTTCCCCTTTTTGGCCCCTAGTTCCTAAACTATTAGTACCATAAGATCCAAAATCAATCCCAACCTTTCTATTTGTGGTATTGAACCTTCTGGTAAAATGTCATAGAGATCCATTCACCCAAACTAAAGTTATTGTCCGGAAAAAACATGTGTCTTCGGACGAAGACGACGACGACATGATAGCATTATACGAACGCAAAAAATTTTTTGCGGTCGTATAAAAATTATATCTAGCATTCTGCAAATGGATTTGTATAGAATACCACGAAGTTCTTTAATTAATTTACAAAAAATAAATGGGGAATGTGTCCATGGGAAACAGATGATGCCCCCGCTTGCATATCATATAAAGTTATAAAGGGACATAACTGAAGAACGGTAAAAGTGACGCTACCCAAATGTGTACTTGATCTGTATTTTGTGGTAATAGGTATTGTGTATAAGTTTCATAACATTTGGTTGAGGAAATCTAAAGTTAGAGAACGGAAACGAAAAATTCAGCATTTTTTCCATTTGTAAAGGGGCATAACTCTAGAACAGTTAAAGTGACGCCACCAAAATTCAAACTTGATCTGTGTTTTATGGTAATAAGCATTGTGTATAAGTTTCATAACATTTGGTTGAGGCTAACTTAAGTTAGAGAATGGAAACGAAAAATTCAGCAATTTTTCCATTTGTAAAGGAGCATGATAACTCTAGAACGGTTAAAGTGACACCACCAAAATTCAAACTTGATCTGTATTTTGTGGTAATAAGCATTGTGTTTAAGTTTCATAACATTTGGTTAAGGCAAACTAAAGTTAAAGAACGAAAACGAAAAATTCAGCAATTTTTCCATTTGCAAAGGAACATAACTGTAGAGCAGTAAAAGTGACGCCACCAAAATTCAAACTTGATCTGAGTTTTGTGGTAATACGCATTGTGTATAAGTTTCATAACATTTGGTTGAGGCAAACTAAAGTTACAGAACGGAAACCAACTTTGGGACGTACGTACGTACGTACGTACAGAGGGACAAGGGTAAAACTTAATGCCCCCTCCGCTACGGCGGGGCATAAAAATGAGGGGGAAAAAAAAAATTTCTAAAATATCATTCATCATCAATACAATGTCTTCAAAAAATCTATAAAACTTGCCTTCATTTTTCAAAATATCTAATTATGCTAATAATGAACAGTTAATTTCAAACTATATTTTTACATAATTTCTATAATCAGAATATGATGCTTGTATCTATTTTTAACTATGATTTTACTTTCAGTTTCTATTAATTGTGCAATACATCTTTTAATTTGTATTGTGATTGAATATTTGACAATTTGGATTGTGATTAAATATTTGACAATTTGGATTGTGATTAAATATTTGACATAGCAAAGGTTTCTGACACAGAATGAATGTAGTCTAAGAACATAAAAATTTGAAATTGGACATATACCTTTTATGGTCCAATATCCAAAATCTAAATACATGGTTAGATTCTGCATATCAAGGAACCACAAGAATTTATTTTTTGATGAAATCAAACAAACTTTAATTTTGGATCTCAATGTGGAGCAATTTGATAATGGGGCCCACAATCCAAAATTTGAATACATGGTTAGATTCAGCATATCAAAAAACCCCATACATTCAATTTTTATTGAAATTAAAAAAAGTTTAATTTTGGACCCCGATTTGGACCAACTTGAAAACTGGGTCATAAAATCAAAATTCTTAATACATTTTAGATCCAGCATATCATATAACCCCAAGAAGTTTAATTTTGGATACTTTGGACCTATCGATGTGGGCCAGTTTGAAAAAACGGGCCCAAAATCAAAAAATTTAAAACACTGTTAGATTGGGCACATCAAAGAACACCAATAATTCAATTAATGATGAAATCTAACAAAAGTTTAATTTTGGACCCAAAGTTGGCCCAACTTTGAAAACCAAGCCCAAAATCATAAACATACACTGTTGGATTGGGCATATCAAAGAACACCAATATAAACTCAATTTTTGATAAAACCAAACAAAAAAAAGTTTAATTTTGGACCAATTTGAAGACCCCAAAATTAAAAATATAAATACACAATTAGATTCAGCATATCAAAGAACACCAATATTCAATTTTTGAATAAATCAAACAAAGTTCAATTTTAAACCCCGATTTAGACCAACTTGAATACTATGTCCAAAATCAAAAATCTAAATAGACGCTTAGATTCAGCATATCAAAGAACCCCATGTATTCAATTTTTTTTTAAAATCAAACAAAGTTTAATTTTGGACCCTTTGGACCTTAATATGGATCAATTCAAAAACAGGGCCCAAAATCAAAATTCTAAATACCCAATTAGATTCAGCATATAAAAGGACCACAAGAAATCAAGACTTTCGATTAAACCCCATTTAAATTTAAAAAAAAATAAGCAATTGATACAAAGTATTGTTTTTGGCCCCTTTTAACTAAATCGTTAGGGTCATAATCCCTTAAATAAATACCAAACTTTATTTTAAGTTCTTACACCTTGTGGCACAATTAAATAGCAATCCATAGACTTAAACTCTAGTTATTGACCAGAAACCAGAAAATCCTTGTTTTTTTGGCCCATTTTCTGCCCTTTATTATTAAACGGTTTGGGCCATGACCCCCAAAATCAATCCTAACTTTCCTTTTGAAGTATGGGACCTTAAGGTAAAATTTCATAGAGATCCATACTCTTATACTTAAATTATTGTCCTGAAACATGAAAAAGGTTTGGACCTTAATGTGAACCAGTTCGAAAAACGGGCTCAAAATCAAAAATTTACAACACTGTTAGAATGCACACATTAAAGATCACCAATAAGTTAATTTTTGATGAAATCAAACAAAGTTTAACTTTGGACCCCAATTTGGACCAACTTTAAAAACCAAACCCAAAATTAAAAATCTAAAACACTGTTGGATTGGGCATATCAAATAACACAATAATTCAATTTTTTTAATGAAATAAAACAAAGTAAAATTAAGACTCCAATTTGGACCAACTTGAATACTGTGCTCAAAATCAAAAATCTAAATACACGCTTAGATTCAGCATATCAAAGAACCCCAACCAATTAATTTTTTTTTCAAATCAAACAAAGGTTTAATTTTGGACCCTTTGGACCTTAATGCGGACCAATTTGAAGACAGGCCCCAAAATTAAAAATCTATATAAAGGTTAGATTCAGCATATCAAAGAAAACCGCTGATTCAATTTTTGAAGAAATCAAACAAAGTTTAATTTTGGACCCTTTGAACCTTAATATGGATCAATTCAAAAACAGACCAAAAATCCAAATAATAAATACCCAATTAGATTCAACATATTAAAGAACCCCAAGAATTCAAGACTTTGAATTAAACCCCATTGAAATTGCTAAAGAAATATGCAATTGATACAAAGTATTACAGAAGAATTATTTTTGGCCCCTTTAAACTGAACTGTTACGGTCATAACCCCTAAAATCAATCCCAACCTTCCTTTTATGGTAGAACACCTATTGGCACAATTAGATAGCAATCCATAGACTTATACTCAAGTTATTGTCCAGATACCAGAAAATCCTAGTTTTTTCGGCCCCTTTTCGGGCCCTAATTCCTAAACGGTTTGGGCAATGACCCGCAAAATCAAACTCAACTTTCCTTTTCAAGTATGGAACCTTGTGGTAAAATTTCACAGAGATCATGCATCTTACACACAACTTGTTGCCCTGAAACATGAAACATACTTGTTTTTACCCCCTTTTTGGCCCCTAATTACTAAACAGCTACGACAATAACCCCCAAAATAAATCTCAACCTTTCTATTAAGATAATGAACCTTATGCTAAAATTTAATAGAGATCCATGCACTTATACTCAAGTTATTGTCTGTGATCCAGAAAAATAATTGGTTTTGTTAACCCCTTTTTTGCATCTTTCTGGCCCCTAATTACAAAACAGCTACGACAATAACCCACAAAATCAATCCCAACCCTATTATTAATGTATGGAACATTAAATTTTATACAGATCCATACACTTTTACCAAAGTTATTGTCTGCGAACCAATTTATTTTCTATGAATCAGCAAAACTGACCTTTTTGGTCCCTAATTGCAAAACCGCTAGGACAATACCCCCCAAAAACAATCCCAACCAACCCTTAGTGGTATAGAACCTTGTGCTAAAATTTCAGAGATCCCTACACTTATACTCAAGTTATTGTCTGCGAACCAAAATGTTTTCGGACGCAGACGCAGACAACACCATAACATAATACGAACGCAAATAATTTTGCGGTCGTATAAAAACAAACAAAACAAAACAAAACAAATAAAGGTATTTACTGTCATCGTTAAACTTAATCTCCTTAAGGATGTTTGCTACTCTTGTTTCTGACTTTTTGTCAGATATTCGGAATCCTCTAGTTTTATCCATGTTAGTGCCAATAAAAAATTTGCCCGCTAACCCCTATTTTTCTTTTTATAATTTTATTACATATGGTTTAAATAGCCATATTTGAAAATGCTATAAAATCCTTGTTATTTTTTCATATCTTTTTAAAGAAAAAGGGTGCCAATGTTAAATGTATGAAAAGTCTAGAGAGAATTATTTCCCGCCAAATTTTCAATGGCCTATATCTCGAAAACAAGCACACGGACTCTTAATTTTTTTCTGCTTTTTTAGTTCCTTTATTTATATACTATCAATTTATAACAGTCTTTTAAAAAGCCTGTTATTTTGAAACAGAGTAGCGAACATCCTTAAATAAATACTAGAGATGTCGATAAACAATATTAGAGATAACCGATGAGAAATATTAGAGATACCGATAGAAAATATTAGAGAAACAGATGAAAAAAATATTAGAGATATAGATGAAAAATATCAGAGATAATGATGAAAAATATTAGAGATACTAATGAAACATAACTGAAATATCGAGACATTTAATTGTGACCATGCCTAGGACTGAAAACTATGTAATCTTTGAGTATCATTTGAGAAGATGGCTCTTTCATAAAACAGAGGGAAGAATCGCTTAATATATATTGCAGACTACTATTTTTTCTAAAAAATAAACTTATTTGAATTTTCCCTCTTATTATTCATGTATCAAAGTTATAAATCAAATATTTTGTCTAATTTGTAAATAAATATAATTACAATATAAATATAATCGTATTTGTCTTTTTATATAAAAAAAAAATGTTCTCAAGTAAATTAACATTCCGTACTAACATTTGCATGTTTCATGTTGCAAAGATGTTGGAATATTCTTGTACTTCCTTAATACAAGGTAATTACGATGTAGTCATACTAAATTTGAGAAACAAATTTATAAATAGTACAATGTAAGAAGTAGAATACAAATACCTTGAAGTGTAACATAAATACCTTGAAGTGTAACATGAATACCTTGAAGTGTAACATGAATACATTGTACCCTGAAGTGCAACATAAATACCTTGAAGTGTAACATAAATACCTTGAAGTGTAACATAAATACCTTGAAGTGTAACATAAATACATTGAAGTGTAACATGAATACATTGTACCCTGAAGTGCAACATAAATACCTTGAAGTGTAACATAAATACCTTGTACCTTGAAGTGAAACATAAATACATTGTACCCTGAAGTGCAACATAAATACCTTGAAGTGTAACATAAATACATTGTACCCTGAAGTGAAACATAAATACATTGTACCCTAAAGTGCAACATAAATACCTTGAAGTGTAACATGAATACCTTGAAGTGTAACATAAATACCTTGTACCTTGAAGTGAAACATAAATACATTGTACCCTGAAGTGCAACATAAATACCTTGAAGTGTAACATAAATACCTTGAAGTGTAACATAAATACATTGTACCCTGAGGTGCAACATAAATACCTTGAAGTGTAACACAAATACCTTGTACCTTGAAGTGAAACATAAATACTTTGTACCCTGAAGTGCAACATAAATACCTTGAGGTGTAACATAAATACCTTGAAGTGTAACATGAATACCTTGAAGTGTAACATGAATACCTTGAAGTGTAACATAAATACCTTGAAGTGTAACATGAATACCTTGAAGTGAAACATAAATACATTGTACCCTGAAGTGCAACATAAATACCTTGAAGTGTAACATAAATACATTGTACCCTGAAGTGCAACATAAATACCTTGAAGTGTAACATAAATACCTTGAAGTGTAATATAAATACCTTGAACTGTAACATAAATACATTGTACCCTGAAGTGCAACATAAATACCTTGAAATGTAACATAAATACCTTGAAGTGTAACATAAATACCTTGAAGTGTAACATAAATACCTTGAACTGTAACATAAATACCTTGAAGTGTAACATAAATACCTTGTACCTTGAAGTGTAACATAAATACATTGTACCTTGAAGTGTAACATAAATACCTTGAAGTGTAACATAAATACCTTGAAGTGAAACATATGAATACCTTGAAGTGTAACATAAATACCTTGAAGTGTAACATAAATACCTTGAAGTGTAATATAAATACCTTGAACTGTAACATAAATACATTGTACCCTGAAGTGCAACATAAATACCTTGAACTGTAACATAAATACCTTGAAGTGTAACATAAATACCTTGAAGTGTAACATAAATACCTTGAACTGTAACATAAATACCTTGAAGTGTAACATAAATACCTTGTACCTTGAAGTGTAACATAAATACATTGTACCTTGAAGTGTAACATAAATACCTTGAAGTGTAACATAAATACATTGAAGTGTAACATAAATACCTTGAAGTGTAACATAAATCCCTTAAAGTGTAACATAAATACCTTGAAGTGTAACATAAATACCTTGAAGTGTAACATAAATACCTTGTACCTTGAAGTGTTACATAAATACATTGTACCTTGAAGTGTAACATAAATACCTTGAAGTGTAACATAAATACCTTGAAGTGTAACATAAATACCTTGAAGTGTAACATAAATCCCTTAAAGTGTAACATAAATACCTTGAAGTGTAACATAAATACCTTGAAGTGTAACATAAATCCCTTAAAGTGTAACATAAATACCTTGAAGTGAAACATATGAATACCTTGAAGTGTAACATAAATACCTTGAAGTGTAACATGAATTTGGCTAAAATAACCTCCAAGACCATAACTAACAGCCGGTCCAAGTATAGCTAATGATGATATTACGCCTAAAGAGTAAGAAACTTCAATTGTAATAAAGGAGTAAATATGACAAAGACATTTGTTTTGTTTTTTTCTTAAGTTTTCTATTTTCTGTTTTGTTCGGGTTTTTTGTTTTGTTTGTTTGTTTGTTCAATCTGTATGTTTGTTTGCTTGGGTCTTTTATTTTTATTTGAACATTGATTATTGAATGATTGTGTTTCATTAAATATTTTGTCATAACGTTCTGAATAAATTGAATAGACAATCAAAGATCTACAATCAACTTACAATTGAACCAACTTTAAAATAGAAATATATTTTAATAATTTTTCAATAACAAAAGCAAAAACTGTCACATCATTTTTAGGTAGTATAGCAACTACAATGGAAGGCTAAAGATTGCTGCACAGTTATGCTAAACTGAAACTTCAGACATCTATTTTTCCTAAAACTGTAATGTCACAGTTAGTAATACGCATATTCACACCTCTTTATAATTTTACATCTTATTTCGTTATTAATTTCATGAGCCTACAGGAAAATGACTGGTTTGTAAAACGTAAATTCGTGTAATTTGCAAATTGAGATCTTATACTTTTTCGAATATCATATTCATTGATAATAATATTACTATGACCATCTTGAAATTAAAACTTCTCCATGTTTTACGTATTGTTATAACTCCCTGTATATGTACTTCAAGGGGATACAAGTTGGTTGTAGTGAATTTCTTCGACTGTGGTTCGAAGGACTTCCATTAACTGATACGATGAAGGGTCACAATAAAGCACTGTTCTATATGGTTCTTTGTCAGTATGACGTGAAAATACTGTCACATTTACCCCATATCCTTTCTTTTTCATGCAAACAAAATATGTTTTACTCGTTCCTTTTCTCCAAAAAATGGTTTTATGACTATTTTCACCAAGTTTCATTTTTGACTAATAGAAAATAATGCAATTGTTTTTTGTTCGTTTTTTTTTAATATAAATAAGACTTACTTTCTGATATAATAGATACTCGCATTATTACTTATCATTAAAACTGATCATTTTAATACCTAAATAAGCTGCAGTACTGGACTGTTTTACATTGGTGTCTATATAATCAATTAGGTATGGTTCAACTGGCGATCTCACTATTCCTTGTAGTATCATCCCGGAAGCTATGATTGCCATAGCAACAACTGTATAAGGTGTAGAACTTCCAACCCTTGTTGTTATGTCTGAATTATCCTCACACTGGTCCAGTCTATAGGATGTGTTTGTCTTTGACTGTAAACCTTCTAGGTTGTACGTATGACACAGGTCTTCAGAATGAACATCGATTAAAGAAACATTTCCGTGGGATGTTTTGTTTGATAATTTAAATTCGTATTTTAAAGGTGATGCAAAATATGATATAGAACAAAGATAGGCTGCCAGTCCAGCTAATACGTTGGAAATACACAGAGCACGTGGTTTGTGAACTTTCCCAGAAAAGAAACTAACAAATAATATAAAGGATAGAAACCCAATATCAAATGTACTTATTAATAAACCACTCTGAGTACTAGAGAATCCAAACTGTTTCTCTAAAGTTGTTATCTGTGTCGACACAAAAACTGTCAGAGTGTTCGCAAACAAGTTAGAAATGGCACAGAAGGCACAAAATACTTTCATACTGGCAAATCTTTGCAAAAACTGTGGGGAAAACCCACCTATTCCACATCTGGTTGTAGGTATCATTATGTGTGTCTTAATCTATAGCTGCCTCTTTCCAACCTGATTCACCAAGGCAATTTTATCTGGTGAAGAAATCAAAATTATTTCTTAGTTTAAAACATAATGTATGTTGACACGAATAGGCATGGCGTCACTGTAACGCAGACTGCGGTAAATTGACAACAAGATTATGAGATTTTTCAAGTTGAGACCTTTAATTTGCGTCAGGAATTCATTTATATAATAAGATGTACATTGATATATACAGTTTTTGGATATTTTCATCTTTGAAATTGTTTCGTGTTACAGATTAATAAACAGCTCCTTGTTTAATCCTATACAATGACGACCATCGTCTTTTCATTTCTACCGTAGTTGTAACATTTACGTGCGCACAAAGTACTGTAACATCAACTTTTGTAAAACGATGGTTAGAGGAAAACAAGATAATGTAAATTAATTACTGTCGATTTATTAATACATTTAATTAGCCGGATACTAATTTTCTTGAATTTCCTGAATATAATGAAGCCTTGGAATTTTTAAGTGTTCAAAAACTGCTATAAACTTGAAGGAAGAATTTCTCAAAACAACGAAATCGCGTATTCGGAAAAATACAAAATTTCCTCAATCCACGAAAATTGATACCCACGAAAATTAATGAATCCACAAGACTCGAACTAACCTCGATTAATACAATTAAAAGTAAAAATCATGAAATTAAGCATTCAAATAAATCTATCTTTTGTTTTTGAAATTGCTTTTTATTGTCTTTAAGCAAAACAATTCTCTGGTCGGGTAAGAAATGCCAGTATTGTATGCAGTGTATGTATCGTTGCTAAAAGAAATAGTCTTTTCATGTGTTGTAATCTGGTGGACTTAAGCTTTCCTGTATTGTAATCTTGTGGACTTAAGCTTACAGACGGTGCTGTCTAGTCTATGCCAATTTGGGTTTAATTCTCACAAGATTTTGTGTAATTGACCTCAAAAACTTTGTTTCGAGCGTATCTGATACAGGTTATTTTGGAAACACTTTTCGTTTCGTGTACAATGAAATCAATTTGTATACGTTTCTTTTTTCGTATACAATGCACCTGTAATATTTACCTGCACATCAACGTTAGGTTTAGGTACTGGTGAATGTCAAAAGGTACGATGATGGCTAATCTTATCCATCTGTAAGATGGATTGATTGATTTTTGTTTGTTTAATGTCCAGTGGCAAATATTTCATGGATATTCAGAACGAGAGCATTTCCTGAAAGAATTCCTAGTATCTTTCTGTAAGACTTCCTCAGCTGATCTTTAAACACCTTCAAAGAACTTTCAATCAGAAGCTTAAGACACCGTTATAAACGTTTTCTATTTTATACCTTGTTTTTCTGAATACATATTTGGAATGTCGATCGTCTCATTTACATCGCCAAATACCTTTTCCATCCCCTCGAGCGCCTCAAGTATCCCTAACCCCCCATTTTTATCCTCCATTCAACAGTCTCAATCAAAAAGAAATATAACATAAATCAAAATATTACTCACGTAGTCTCAAATATCTAGGTAAAGACTGAAGTAATGTGATAAAGACATAAAAGGTTGATAAATTTCTATATCATATATGCATAATGTAAATAAGAACGTGACGATAACAACATTTCATTGTTTTGAGTTTTTATCCTTATTTATTGACAAACACAAGACTTAGTGTACATGTAAGTTATATGTTATCATTTTCAAGATTATAGCCATAACTGCAAATAAAATAAAAAATCTTTTAGGGCAATAATTCCTGTTAGGAGTCAACTGATGATTGCATACAACGAAATCATGTTTGTAGATCGTCATTGAAAAGCAATACCTCGTAAAAGGGGTGGTCATTTCATGTTGGTCATGTTCATCTATCTATAGATCTTTTTCCTGTTAAATTTTGCTCTTCACAGTTTTCTCTATGTCTTCTCTAGTTTTTGCAAAATACAAATGGGTAAAGTTGTTTTTAACGGGCAATAACTCGTAAGAGGAGGAACTACCGATTACGGACTTGTTGTTTTTTATATCGTCTCTTGCTAGTCACGTTTACAATTAAAGAGTTTTTTCTTTATTTACTAGTTTTCAAGACGATAACCAAAAACTACTCACTTTGGTAAAATGGGACTTCCAGCATGAAAACCCTCTAATAAGTTGTCCAATGTCTCTGAAAATTTTAAGATGAACAGATCTTGACGTTATTATTTTTTAATCAAATATAAAAGTTAATGTGATAACAATGTCAAGAATATTCATTTGTAAACCTTTATTATTAAATATTAAAAAAAAAAATAATGTCAGGAAATTTAAAGGAAATATCTCAAGTTAATGTTACTCGTATTAACCTAATGAATTTTGTAGCAGTTCAAACGGGCAATCCTTTGAAATATATTTCTATGCGATCGGATACTTAATAAAAAGGGCCTGGATATAATTTACATGGTACACATTGAATTTGTCTTGATACCGACTCAGCACAATAAATCCTTCTATACTCAACATTTATATACAATCAATGGTCTATACATGTGCAGTTGCACATGTTATCCTATTTGTTTGCTGCTTGAAAATGCTCAGATTTTATCTTAATTAAATAATCGTTAGAATTAATTCTAAAACAATGAATTATCTTGTGATAAACATAAACAGATTTCATTTTCATATGATCTAATACAAACATCGAACATTCGCACGTTTCCAAGGTTCCATCCCTACACCTTGTTATTGCTCCATGCATTATACCACTGGTTTTTAATTCTTCTCCTTAAAGGATCTTAAACAATTTGTTCTATTCTCCTGTATGTAGTTTTCCGTGTTGCTTCAGATATTTTTTCTGCTTGAATATTTTGTTACATACGGGACATTCTAAAGATTCTCCGTTACCATGAGTCCGTTCGTGTGTCTTCAAATTAGCATTTAACCGGAACGTTTTCTTACACACAGAACACTTGTACGGTTTTCTGTCAGAGTGAATCATCAAATGTTTTCTTAGTGATGAATCGTCAATAAAAGCTTTCCCACAAATCTCACAAACATATGGTTTTTCACCAGTATGTGTCCGTTCATGAATTTTTAAACTGCTCTTAAAATTATATCCCCTCTGACAAACAGGGCAACTAAAAAGTTTTGTATCAGAATGAATACGTTCATGCACGTGTAGTGTTCCTACCAGATAGAAACCTTTATTACAAGTCGAACATTTGTGTGGTCGGTCACCCCTGTGAACTCTCAGGTGATTTTCAAATTCCCCTTTTGTGCAAAATCCCTTTTTACAGAGAGAGCAAATAAAAGGTTTCACTATACTGTGTGTAATCTCATGCTGTTTTAATTTATATTTTGTACAAAATCCTTTTTCACAAACGCTACATTGAAGTGGTTTATTCTTTACATGTACATATTTATGAGTATTCATTTCTATCTTGCTCTTAAAACTTTTATTGCATACTGGACAGATAAAAGGGCGTTCTCCGCTATGTATTCTCTCGTGAAGCTTACAGCTAAAGTTGTTAACAAACTTTTTCTGACATACAATGCACTCATAGCGTTTGTCTCCATTATGTATCTTTTCATGCCTTTTCATATTCGCTCTCCATGTGAATTCTTTATTACATATGGAGCATTGGAATGGTTTCACACCGGTATGTACTTTTTCGTGTTGTAACAACACATGCACTGAGGTGTAGCTCTTTTCACAAAAGGAACATTTTGTTGAAGTGCGCGTGTGCACAACTTCATGCTTTGTAAGTTGTGTTTTAGTGAGAAAACCTCTACTACATGACTTACATCGAAACGGTAGTACACTTTTGTGTATTTTTGTGTGTAAAATAAGAGTGCTCCGTAAGCTAAAAGATCTCGAACAAATAGAACAAGAAAAGGGTTTTTCGCCTGAATGTATTCTTTGGTGTGCTATCAATGTTGGTCTTGTGGCAAATGATTTTTCACAAACACCACAGGTATACGGTTTCTCACCTGTATGGATTCTTTCATGGTTTCTCAACTCACCTTTGGAACCAAAACTTTTGCTACATATCGCACAAGAATGAGGTTTCTCGCCAGAATGAATTCTCAAGTGACTGTTTAATTGTTCTTTAGATTTGAATGGTTTATGGCAGACGTGACATGGAAAAGGCCTGATGTCAGAATGTGTTGTCCCGTGTCGCTTTAATTTAGCTTTTGTTTTGAAACATTTATCACAATCAGAACATTGGAAAGGTCTTTCTCCAGTATGTACTAATTCATGGGCTTTCCTGCAGCTGGTACTACTAAAGGTTTTGTCACAAACATTACATTGAAATGGTTTTTCACCAGTATGTTTTCTGCAGTGAATTTTCAAGCTAGATTCATTTGGGAACTTTTTATCGCAAATAGTACAGCTATATACAATTTCACCAGAGCACATTCTTTCGTGAGATAGGCAATGGCTGTTATGGTTGAACCCCTTCTTGCACACCTTGCAAGAAAATGAAAAGCTGTCAGAATGGATTCTTGCGTGAATGTTCAGCTGATGTTTATCACGGAACGCCTTTTTACAGATTTGGCAATTGAACGGCTTGATATCCGTATGTGTTCTTTCGTGCACCTTGAACTCATTTCTCCTTGTAAAACGCTTAGCGCATGTGGAACATTCATAAGGTCTTTCTCCAGTATGAGTTCTTTGATGGTCTCGTCTTTGTTCTTGTGTTTTGCACGCTTTATCACAAAAATCACATTTAAATGGCTTTTCACCAGAATGAGTTCTTTCATGTGCTTTAAGTTTAGATGCACAAGTGAACATTTTACTGCAAGTGGAACACTTAAATCCACCTTTTCCAGAACACATCAGTTCATGAGCTTTATGATGACTTTTGACATTGAATCCTTTCTTGCATACCTTGCACACATATTGAAAAATTTTAGAATGAATACGTTCATGGTTACTTAATGAAGATTTATCAAGAAACGTTTTACTACATATCGGACACGAAAAAGGTTTAGTTTTACTATGTGTATCCTTGTGCCTCTTAGTTTCACTATGTGTATCCTTGTGCGTCTTAGTTTCACTATGTGTATCATTGTGCCTCTTAGTTTCACTATGTGTATCATTGTGCCTCTTAGTTTCACTATGTGTACCCTTGTTCCTCTTAGTTTCACTATGTGTATCCTTGTTCCTCTTAGTTTCACTATGTGTCTCCTTGTGACTCTTAGTTTCACTATGTGTCCCCTTGTTCCTCTTAGTTTCACTGTGTGTCTCCTTGTGCCTCTTAGTTTCACTATGTGTATCCATGTGTTTCTTCAAGTTCTCTTTTGAAGCAAACCATTTACCACAATCTAAACATTTGGCAAGGATTTTTCTACCATTTGCATGATTTGTAAATTTCTTTTCTTGACCAGAGACAGGCAAGTTTGTGTTTTTCGTCATCTCTGTAACAAAACAATAAGAATTAAGATAATATGCATGACTGATTTGCGGTTTGCTAAACGTCCAGCGGCAAATACTTCGTGCAGATTCAAAACCAGAATCAATTACAAAAAGAACCAATGATAGATTCTGATACAAAAAGGGGGCCTAGAGGATAGAATAAATTTAAATGTGTTTCTATTTGAAAAGTGAAGGAATGTTGACTGTATATAGTCAGTAACGTTTGCAACACTACATTTGGTCCATTCAGCAAGGCGTTATAATCAACTAATCTTACAACGTGACACTCGAACAGAATTCCACGCAAGTATTATACTGCTGGAATGCAGTATTGAATGTAAACCTCTTTGTAAAATGTAAAGCGGGTGTCCTCTCATATTTATTTGGATCACGTGATTTTTGTTGGAATGTGTATTTGTATGTTTATTTCTTACAGAGAAAGCGGTTGTTGGTGGTTGGTATTTTACTGCACACTTATCCTATTTATGTAATATATTACGTATTGCCGTTGTTTTGTGGAGATACTGAATATTTTCTTCACACTATAGTTCTGTTATTTTATCTATGTAGCTTGGGATAATTTATTTGAGAAATATAATTATTCTTGTCTGGGTCGCTGTCATTGGTAAGTGATTTTCTGTGAATGTTATATTGCCTTGATGTTGCATCATAACCTGTTTTGAAGCTGATGCAGCTGTTATTGGTTAGTATTTTTCAGCCATAAACACTATAGAAAGTTGAAATACATAATTATGTTCATAAACCTTTCCAAATCATGGTTTCCTGTCGTCAAAACTAGTGAGAAATGTACAGATTTAGTTAATCTCATCGAAGTATTATATTTAATAATTCGATGTTAATTTTAAGATAAGCGATTTAAATTTATACATTCTATGGATAATCATGTAAGTGAAATGAATTCCCACCCTTTTTACCGCTTTATCCCACATCCCAAAAGCTCTTTTCCCATATCACAATGAATTATAAATAAAATACCGAACTCCAGGGTAAATCCAAAAAGGAGAAGTAAAAAAAGCTGACAAAATCAAACGTTATATCAACGAACGGAACAAGTAAAAACAACTGTCATATTCCTGACTTGGTACAAACATTTTCCGAGAAAATGGTGGGTTAAACCTGATTTTATAGCTAGCTAAACCTCCCACTTGTATCACAGCTGTTCATATTAACAAAATTGGGTGAGCAACCCAAGCAGATAGAATAGGTTTATGTGACAATAATTGGGATCCAGCAGCCAAAACTGTGTTAACATACATCACAGACATACAACACAACTGACTACAAAAAATTAAACAAACATAGTCCTGAACTTAAGGTGGCTGGGGTGTTCTTCCTCCATCTTCGATTTTGAAGTAGCAGATAATAATTGGTCTAGATCTTTAATGAAATGTGCAAATTTAGAGAGTAGTATGTAATTCATGTGTAAGACTTTTCATATTTACATATAAAATTATGTGTTTTATCATATTTACGGTTGTATTTTCTAAAAAAACACAATATTTTTGTTTGATTGATTTTTTTTTCAACTTTGCCACATAAGGGGAGATAACTCAGATAAAGTAATTTTTATAATAGAAAGTGTTGTGAATTTACCTATTTTAATATGTAGCAAGAAAACAAGTCCGGTGACCCATTTTTTCTTTTTCTTATCTGAAAGCATTTTATAACAGCTATCTTCTCACATTTTATAAAATTCTATGGTGTAGTTTTCTTTTTATCACACAAAATTGGATTTTCCATGCATAATCTATTCAAAATCTGACAATTTTGCACAACCTGTAGCGTGAAAAAAAGTCCAGTAACCCATACTTTTTTATGACATATTTTGGAAAAAATCTTGATAAAAACTACATTTTGACAAATTATTAAAAATATCTATGGATTTTATTTAAGACACCCGATCCACCTTAACAGATTACACTTTTTTTGTGCAAAATACTTTTGAAAATACAATTTCTATATGGTACTTGATTCATTGTTTATAGGTACTGTTTGTTTACAGTCACTTTCTTTCATACCAAATCAAATTTTGGTAAAGCTCAATCTATATCATGACATATTTGTGGATAGAAACGTTATTTGAATCTATTTCTAACAATATGCAGTAAAATGTTTACTTACCTTAAAAGATAATCCAGACTGCTATAGATTAACAGATTTTTTTATGATAATTTACAGTATAATGAACTAAAAAAGATGAGCGATATTTAAATAGGAAACATGGATTTAACATGACAAGTGAATATTTTTACTCAGGGGAGTTGTTCTTTTTAATTAAAGTATTAATGAGCAATAGGACTGGTAAGATAAAAATAGACCTAATTAACTTTTATTCTAATTGTTCAAATCCATTGTTGAAAAGGAACATTGTATATCTAATTACATTTCCGTCTGTCTAAGCTGTTATAGCTTGTGAGACATTTTGAACTGTTCGATTGTGACAATTCTTATAACTCTTATAAAAACTATATATATATTTGTTCTTTTGTCACACTTTTTCATCTATTAGGCTTTTCCTGTCAATTTCATTACAGTTATTATAACATTTCAAACATATATTCTATTTTCCCTTTCTATACCATATTCCACCGTCCAGTTTCTATAAGTAATCTATAATGATTTGTGGTTCTGAACTTACAAAGTGTATAGATGGCCCGGGGACACAGTTATCGTCCTTTGATTTTCGTTGTCTACAAATAAAGTCCCTAGTGTGGACAGTGTATAACTTGCAAATTTTTTTCATATAACTTCCAAATTTATTTCTTTATATTTTATGCAAAAAATAGTAAGTAGGGGGATGAAATTACATGTAAAAAAATAAGAGTCCCTAGTGTGGACAGTGTATAATTAACTTGCAAATTTTTTTCATATACCTTCCAAATTTATTTCTTTATATTTTATGCAAAAAATAGTAAGTAGGGGGATGAAATTACATATAAAAAAAAATTTGGGGCATTAATTTTTAGGTAAAGTAGTGATTTGGTCCAGTTTGAAAAGGTCAAAAATTAGTATGTCTGACGCTGTCAAACTGAATTACAGATCCCCTTAACATAAAATTATCCATATTTTGAGTTAGGGCTGATAGACTTTTCTATAATTTTGAAATAATTTGTCCCAAAAGTAGTACACTACACTGTTAAAATCTTTTTAGGATAGAGCAGGTGAGATTTTTTAAATTTGTATTTTTTGTCTTAAAGAAATGCACTACGAAATAACAGTGTTCTCGGGCCAGATATCCAAGGGTTTGTATAGTGAGACCATCTCACTATACAAATACTTGAGATATTTTTTATCTTCCAATATATTTAAATAGTTTTCAAACTCAAATGTGTTTTTGAATAATCTATAATTTGTAGATTTTGGTGAATTTATAATAAGTGAATGTCATTCCTGTCTAAATTGATCATGTAGGCGCATCTTTATCGAATAAATAAGCCAAACTGAGCTAGGAAAAAGCTAATCTGAACAAATATAGGAATAGCCAGTATCATCAAATATTTTTCTTATGAACTTTAACCATGGCGATTCAAAATAATTGTCGACCGACAATTTGTATAGTAATTGATACGCTAAATAAGAAGGTTTTGGATCCTTTCCAGATAAAAGTTGTACCCAATAAACGTATTTACACTTTTGGTATTTAGCTATATTTTGCCTCCGAATGACCTTAGATCTACTCCGAATCACCTTTTGACGTCAGGCAACAATCACTTTTTAATTGTGACGTCAAATTTTTTGAATTATGATGTCAAAGTTTACGGGAACCTGTGTGATTTTACGTAATGGCGGACAAATTTGCATACAAGTGTAAATACGTCTATATGTAATCATTTTAGTTTGACATCTAGTTGAACAGGAAAAATGCCAACTTCACCATAAATCATATAGTTTGGGGTGGATGATTTCAAATTAAGTAAGTTTTCTCTAACTTTGCACATCAGAATGACAACTGAAAATGAAAAGTCTAACAACTTTCATTCATCTAGAAATTCTTATCAATATCAATGGACAGTCGTAAGAGGAGTAAAAAACAGTAGCCCAAATTAATGTTTAACTGAAACAGAGAAATGACACCTGACATCATAAACGATAAATCTACTTTTACAGGTAAATTTTATAATCTGTTTCATGTCCCTTAACTATTTATTTCAGACTCTGCAGAGTGGATTGTGTTCTTATATCGAAAAATCAATAAATGGAAAAATATCAATTCTTTTAAATAGACAGTGAAAAAAATAACAAAACACCTGTTATATTTATTTACCTGATGCTTGACCTAGTCTTTTAACCCAACCAAAGAAATTTATACACGTTTTGATCATACATATTTCTCGCGTCACTGCTTTCGTACACGTTTACACCGGATCTGGTTCCTTGTTCTAATACAATCGTTTGCTCACTTACAATACGAACCTTTACTGGTATCAGTATATAAACATACATCGAAATGGATTGGAAGCGAATGCTGGTGCTGCCGGCATTTTTGCTAATCCTGAATTTAGTTAATGCAGATGATGAAGTTGAAGACAAAGTAGTAGTGAAAGCAGTTGTTGAAGTAAGTTTTCTTTTATAAAAAACATCAAGTGTACATACTACAGGGGCAACAGGTCTACTGGAGAGTCTCATATCACGTCTTTAAAAGTTAAATAGGGGGACAAAGCCCATATAGGGCTTATAAATTAATCATAGTCCATAAAGATTAGATTTATACCCCTCGAAAAGACATTGTCAACCTTGGCTTCGCCTCAGTTGACAATGTTTTCTCGGTGTAACAATCTGCTCTATCACCCTCTAGCTATGTTCTGGTTCTGGTAAAGAAAATCCGTCCTTCAAAGGAGCACTTCACACAATGTCGAATAAAAAAGTTGTGTTATTTATATAAGACGTCTTGAAAGACTAATCTATATTAATGTTTTGCTTAAATAAAATTAAAACTACCCCTTACTCTGTACCTAACCATTGGGGGGAGGCACTTAATATTGAATGAGTGGTAGGGATGAGCTGCTGCAATAGGTCACTATTTCATGCTCCATGATATATGAAAAGGGTGAGAAATTCAAATTAAATATATCATTAGGTTGATGTTATCACTTGCTTGATTATATCATAAGTATCTGAAACTAATCAGATGTCCATATTTATTTTTGGTGGGTTAAACGAGGGTAGTAATGCCCTTTAACGTCAGGCGTCAAACAGTCATTTCGGCTACCGTTAGCTTCAAATTGGTTAAAATTTTACCGTGATTCGTAAAACATCCTGGTCGTGATTCGTCAGAGGTCTCAAATAATTATCGTTACCGTCATTTTTGGAAAAAAATTAACGTGATTCGTCAAAATCAGTCGATGTTTTTATCGTCTAAAAGAAAGTGTACATTTAATCGTCATACACCAAAAATTACCGTTAACGTCATTTGGCAAGAACTTTTACCGTTATTCGTCATGAAGGGACCCCCATTACGACCCTCTTAAACCACAGTCGTAAATGCATCAGCTATTTGTCAAAAACAATTAATCTCTATTTATCTTCCAATGTGGTATTTTCACTGATGACAGTAAAGCTATAAATTCGATTATTTTGACATTTGCACCTAATTAACATTCAAAGGTTTGTATACATGAACCATGATAACAATTATCAAAAGAAATTCCATAGTGTCAGTGTCTTTTAAGAGGGAACAGCAATGTAACTTTTTATCAGTTTTTCATTTATATAAAACTGAAATAGTGTAACTCTCTGGGTGTTACTATCATGACTATCTGACCAAACATATTTTATAAATATTGTCTATTGAAATTGAATTTTCTTCATAATGACAGACTTAGAAGGGGTAAATAGAGGGAAGTATTTAAGATGTGACGAATGTGAAGAGTTTATTGGAAAAGCAAGGTGTGACTGTAATGCTACTAAACATGAAGGTGATGATGAGCCAGACCAAAAAAAATTTTGCTATACTAATGTACCAGAAGATGAAAAATATCCAAATATATCTATAGGTCTCTTTTTTTGTTAATTGATATATGACAGGGTATATATTTTTGATAAACAAAATATATGAAAAGGGTGGGGTACTGGATGTCTCAGCTGCTCACCCCTACCAAAGGAAGATTGAAATGGCCCCCCAAGCCTAACCATAACACTAGCCTATAACCTTACTGGATCCCCTTTAAAAGTAAGATTGAACATATTCAATATTTTTACTTACTTTCCCTGCAATGAGGGGGAAATTAAATAAGTCATTAAAGACAATTATCTTATAAATGGGAATATTAAGTAGAAATATTTAAAGAAAATCGAATAAAACAATCTTGAACACAAAAACAGAGAATTGTAAAAGGGGGGTCTATGCACATGTGCATAGGGCAGCATTGATCCTTAATCCCGAGCGGCCAAACCAGAAAATCTCTCTGCACCATAGGCACTTGTCTCTGAAAAAAATTTACCTACCGGGTATATACTTTAATATTGTGTTATATTAAAGTATATAGGTAAATTTTTTTCAGAGACAAGTGCCTGTGCTCTGGACTTCAAAACCTTAAATATATTACAAGGACCCCCTTTCTTCTTGAAATTTTCAATTGAATTTTCTTAATATATTAACTAATTACTAGTATATTTAATAAAAAAAAGGGTGTCCTAAATGCAAATGTATGGTAGTAGTGTCTTCCAGTATTTGCCATTCCCTATTTTATTCTTCATTCAATATGAATACACTACCATGTGCATATGTCATGTATGTATGCATTACAAGTTTTTAAAAATGGTTTAGCAAAAGAAAACCTGGATGAAAAAGGATTTTAGATTCATATGTATCTAAACTTTCATCTAACCGTAACCAAGGACGTATAGTCATGATAGTAGTTATACATCCTTGCCGTAACCCATAAAACCATTGAATAAATTTATGAAATGTAAATAGTACATGTATGGTAATTTAAGTATGTATGTACTTGTAACTACAATTTACTTGATTTAGTTGCAATGAGAGGTAATGTAATACATAAAACACTGAACAGTTAAATGTGTATATATATATACAAATATACTGTAAACCAACTTATTTTCACGAATACTTTATTTTGCATTAAGTCCTTTCTAGCCCATTTCACGGCGATTTAATTTCACGATTTTCATATTTACTTGATGTAGTTAAATAAGAAAAGATCCAAGTTTTACATGTTTGCGACGATTTATATTCTCATTATTTTTCTACTCGCAAAAGTCACGAAAAAAAATTGCTCACGAAAACTAGTTGGTTTACAGTATACATAAGTGTTTGTCTGACAGGGATAACTTACTAAGAATCTTTATTGTTTATTGTAGAGTTGTGGTGGATGACGTTTGAACAGACTTCCAGAGGTCAAGAGATTCATCTATGATGATATCCCTCTGTTGTATCCTTCACTTCTATTCACTAACTTTATGTATTTAGTAATGACTTTGTTGCTTGAATTTAGCTCTTACTGGAACATTCTAATGTTTTCTGTGTAAGTTTCAGCTGAATTCAATGTTTGATAATTCTTTTAGAAAACAGAATAAATTTCCAAAGTATCTCATTCTGTTCTACATGTTCTATGTTTCTTCATCAGTTATGGCTGCCCAATTATTTTTTGGTTCTGTTATACATGATAATGTACACATGTACAACTCTAGAGGTAGTATTTAGAAATTCATTTTTTTCCCTTAAAAGATTCATTAGCAGATACACAATGAATTCTTGAAACAGTTGGTTAACATATGTTGTATTTAAAATTTGACACATGTAGACATGGTAGACATAAGGTCTACAAAATATTTAGTTAAAATTTTACAACAACTGTCATACATTCAACACTATGGAAAATAAAAAGATATCAGGCTTATATTTAGTACGCCAGACACACGTTTTGTCTACTAAAGACTCATCAGTGACTCTCAAATCAAATGTTTACCCAAATAATTTGTTATGACAACTTTGTGTAGCAACAAAAAGAATTAATATTGAAATATAGGAATGTTTATAATTTTCTGAATATTAAAATGTTATAAAATTCATATCTCTTCATGCCTTAAAACTTTTCCAGTTGCACAGGTTTTTGTTCACTCAGAATAAATATTGTGGTGTAAACATGGCCATATTTGCCAAAAGGTTATGCATGATAAAACCATTTGAGCCATACATACATGTTAAATCATTATGTATCTCCATTTAAGTTTTTTCCTTAACAAGGAACCAGTCACAATGTTGAATTCAAGAAGGTGCCTGGTGCTCCTCCAATACTCTGCTTGAAGAATGAAGCAGACCAAGATGTTGAGGTAGGTACAATACACGAGGGTCTGGAATGGGTTTACAGAATAGAGAATAATGGGCAAAAAGTGCAGAATATTATAAAGTGCTAAAAAGTAAAGAATAGAGAAAAAAAGACCATTAAAGAATAGAGAATAATGGGGTGTTAAAATATAAAGAGAATACTGGGCCAAATATATATAAAGAATAGAGAAAAATGGACTAAAAAAGAATACAGAAATGAAGGACCCCCATCACTGAAGTCTAGACACTAGACATATTGTAACTCAATTTACAGCCTATCAAAAATGGTTCAAAATTAAGATGTGGCCCATATACATAAAATGATGGAGTTATTGTTCAAAATTAAGACAGGGCCCATATACATAAAATGATGGAGTTATGGTTTAAAATAAAGACGGGGCCCATATACATAAAATGATGGAGTTATTGTTCAAAATTAAGACAGGGCCCATATACATAAAATGATGAAGTTATGCATGGTTCAAAATTAAGACGTGGCCCTCATACATAAAATGATGGAGTTATGGTTTAAAATTAAGACAGGGCCCATATACATAAAATGATGGAGTTATGGTTTAAAATAAAGACGGGGCCCATATACATAAAATGATGGAGTTATGGTTCAAAATTAAGACAGGGCCCATATACATTGAATGATGAAGTTATGGTTCAAAATTAAGATGGGGTTGATGTTCATAAAATGATGGAGTTATGGTTCAAAATTAAAACAGGGCCCACGTACATAAAATGATGAAGTTATTGTTCAGAACTGTTGGGTTAGAGCTCAAGCCTCATGGAAGTAGCAATAGGTAGAGAAGAATGCATAAACAAAATTGCTACAAATTCCCGATTTCAGAGGAAACACTGTCCTGTATATGTGGTCTTGTCCCATTAAATGATGATTGGAAATCTATTTTAGTAATATATTGGCTTTTATACTGTCAGCTTGATATTTCTGTTTGCAACAAAATACAAATTTAAGATACAGATACTATACAGGTTTTTATGACAATTTTTATTGAAAGATTGCTATTTTGTCAGAAGCGTCCATCTAATATTTAAAATTTTGAAGATAACACATCACAAATGTTATCCCATACTTGAATTGAAATGAAAGACATCGTGATTTTCTTAGATACATATTTTACATATAATAGTCTCTAATCTTGAAGTTAATATTTTTTTTTTCAGAGGATAGACTTGGAACCGCTAAAAAGAGATGAAATAAATGATTTATTAAAAAAATGGAATTTTTATAAAAAGAGTTCTGAAGATGAAGAGGTACCTGAAGGAGCAGATGGACCATACGAACTTAAAGAAGAATTATAAAACTCTCATTTTATGTTTTTTATGTTTTGTGCCATCATCAAATCTACACATCATGACAGTCATAATACAAACGGAAACAAACAGTTTAATAACTCAAAGGAATTTAGGTTGTTTTATTTTATTAAGTCAGATTAACTAGATAAGTTTAATTTTACAGTTATACAGATGGAAAAATTAATAATAATGTACAAATTTTTTTTTAAGTTACTTATGTTTTCATTTTTCTTTCACCACATAATTTTTCTATGCAAATATACATTATGAAATAATTGAGCTTTTGATATTCAATATAGTTAAAGGCAATACTTAAGATCTACACGTTTTACTCAAAAAAATCAGCAAACCAAATTCATCGAAAATCTATGAAGGTATGTGAGTAGTGGACTGCTGGAAATTATTATATCTGGTACAGTTTACATGTGGTAGTGTGATATTTATGTGTGCATTATTTTATATTTATGATTTTACAAAAGATGTGAAAGTGTGTCAAACCGATTCAGTATGTCTGACCATGAGAAAATTATTGTTTATCTAAAAAGAAGATATTTATTTGTTTTATCTGTAAAAACATCATTGAGAATTTCCTGTTCTCTGATTTTGAATATGTTTGTAGAAAAGTTTGACAAAGACAGTATTTAAGTAAAGTTATGAAAGCAAATTCTTAATTGTAAATATGAACTGCCCTTTAAAATTATATGAATTTCAGATGACGTATTTTAAATTTTCAAAATTTTATTGATGTTGTATCTTGTGTCTTCAAGTAAGTTTAATGTAATGAAAAGTTTATTTCCATGGAGGAGAGTTGTAACAGTGATTTTGTAAATGTGTGTGAAAGTTTAATGAAACATTGTGTAAGATTTCGTTGCATACATAACCTAATTCTACAGCTTTTTTGTGTGAAATATGATTATTGTATTTCATTTTGATGAAATTCACAGAGATTTTTGACTCTGACAAGTTGATTTTTCATTTTTCTTTAAGAATCAGTGTATATGAAGTTTCCGGTCAAAAGCTTCGACCAGGAATGGACGCTTTTACTGAACTTATGGGAAAAAGAAATTTGTAATTTCTTAGAGTCATTATGTTGTGAAATATATTTTATAATAAATTATTCCACTCATTTTTATGTAGACTGTTTTTCTTTATGCCAGATTGATTAATTGTTCTTGTTTAACTTGACTTTTACCTCCTTGGCTACATCATGGCAGACAGTTTTTATTGGTAGAGGAAGATAGCATACCAGGAGAGAATCACCATTCTTTGCAAGAACTTGAAGCCAAACTAAATCCTTTTAATTCTTCGGTTTAAACTTTTCTAAGAATGTTAAAATATCTGGGACTGTCATAAGTGAAATGTATACAAATTTATCTGACATATGGCAACATCATAAGGTTGATATATATTGATCTGATATACTTTGAATTATTTATGGGTGATGCTTAGCACGACAACCTGTGCAGTGTTCTCCTCAGGGCCTTTTAGCATCATGGTAATGTGATGCTATATTGCTTGAATGTGATGCTATTAAAATGTTTCCCTTATAGAAAGTGTTATGGATGTGATGCTATAAATTCTAGAAACAAGATGGTATTTCATGGGTTCTTTATTTACCAGGATGCTATATGAAATTTGTAGGGAGAACACTGCCTGTGCATTTTTGTTATCTATAAATCGAGCGTCACTGATGAGTCTTAAAGACGAACCGCCCATCTGTTGTAGAATATTTGAATCCTGGTATCTATGATGAGTTTATTTACTAGTCTATAAAGTCTCATTGACATATGAGGTATGACATGTATTGATAACCTTGCATATTTATATGTAGCACAAGATGACTTATTCTATTTAGAACCAACAATTATCTCCCCTTTACCACTAAAGTTCATTTTGTTGCATTTATAGTGGAGTATCTTTTTTTAACTCATCAGTGACCTATATTCTTTATTGAGTTACTCCACTTAGCTTGTTAAGTGAATTATTTAAGCACAGTCTTACTTCTGTGCAATCTCTTGAGTAATCCAGGACAATGCTGATAAGTGAAGCCAAGTATGCTATTTTTAATTTTTTTGAATTCATACAACTAAATATATATTGGAGACACTTGTATATGGTTGAAGACTGTATGTTAACCTCTGGATGACTTTTCTGTCGTTTGATTGCTGATTCAAATAAATATACCCCATATCTTTTTAATTTTTCTTTTTTAAATAAGACACCTCACAGCTATAACCCTATCCAGATCATATTCATACAAGATTTTTTAACATAGAGTGAGTCTGTGATTGGTTGATTGGCATGGATGGACTCACAGACCAACATAATCCCCCCTCTACTAATTGTAGGCTGGGCATTAAGAATACTTCTAACTAAATATTGGAGATTATTATATGGTACGAGTACCAGTTTACCTATACCAAATGGGCTTAACAAAACCATTCAGATGTGTCATTGCATATAGTCTTGCAAGACTTGCATTATATTTTTTTTCCCAGATATTCTAAAATTCAAATGTCCCATTTCAAGAAATGGAGTTAACACACCAATGGTTTCCACTGATACTTGATGAAAAAGAAAGGATCCGGTATACTGTGGATTCATTATTATTCGAGGGATACCAATTTTTGTGGAGTTTGTGGGTACAAGTGAATCACAAATTTAAACAAGCAACCAAGTACAAATTTTCTATAGACTTGTATACACACTTTTTTAAAACCACAAAATCAAATTTCCATGAAAATACAATTTTTCCTTAATCCATGAAAATTGGTAATCATGAAAAATAAATGAATCCACAGTATTAATTTATGACAAATTTTCTTCAATCATCTAACACTTACTGTCATCAAAGGTATATATATATCTCCAGGGTAACCTAATAAAGAACTATATTTGAAATACCTATTCATAACAGACATGGATCCAGGATTTGATGTTAGGGGTGGGCTAAAAAAATAGGCATATCTTGACAAAAAAGTTGACTAATTTTACCATTAAATTATACATTTTATCTTTTATTTTAGGAGGGTCATGCACCAAGTGCACTTCAGTCCCAATCTGTGCTTGCAGAGAATCAATCTGTGATCATTTGACAACTGTAGTTTCTGTCCAACAGATACATATTAATTATAACAAAAAACAGTTCAAATCAATTTCTTTAATACAGAACTTATCATGTTCTGATATAGGTATATTATAACTCAAAAACAATATCAAATAAACCAACTATTTAGAAAGTTAAATATTGAATGATCAAGAACTATAAGAGAAGTGTATTACATGTAGTATACAGTTTCAATTTTGAAGAAAAAAAAACCACCAAATTTTATAACTGAAACATTGCCAATTCCAAAAGCTCCACGTTTACTTCAAACCATATTAAATAATTTTTGACTTTCAGTTTTTCATATTATAAAATATTAATAATGAACAAAATTAAATCAACTCCATGGTTAAAGTTACTTCAATTACACCGACACAAACATGTTGCTTTTTAAATTATAATTGAATTTGTGGATACATGTATTTACATTCATGATACATTAGCAGAAATAAATAACAGTTAGTCTGTTTATAATCCAACTAACCAAAATAAAATGTACATGTATGGCATATTTAACATCTTGTTAGTTATATGAAGTCTTTCATTCAAAGTGTACTTTAGACAAGAACAATTAAATTGTACTTTTAATAAAAATTGATTGGGGTGGTTATTTTAGACAGATAGCCTTAACAATTATATGAAATAATCAATTTAAATTTTATTCATGGTGGGGGTTAAATAAAAAGTGCCTTTTGACCCCTCACTACGTTTATTTCTGGACAAGCCCATACAAAGACCTGGTTAATAGCTAGTTTTTGACCATGACATGAAGTTATCATAAATGTGGAGATTTTGCATGCAAATTTTTTTTTTATATATTCATTTAAAGCCAGCTAACAAATATGAAACATTTTTTGTTGGCAAATATCTCTAAATCTTTTGTGTTCCAACCAATAAAAAATACTACTGATGGCAAACTTACCCAGACAGGAATAAATACTGTTGATTTGTTAGAAGACTTTTATTGTATTAACAAAGCTTATTTATAAATTAACACTGACTCTGGTATTTGAGAGTCTGTTTAGAAACCTTAAACAATATAAATAATGTACATATAGCACTTATCTGTAATGAAACATATATTTATTCTTCAATTAGCTTTATAAAAATCAGGATTTAATTCCATTACACTTTTACTGGAAGTTCGGACTTTGAACTATAGATTTGGGAGATCATATAGTGTGCTACGTTTAGGCAAAACTTACCATGTTATTCAGGTATGGAATCAATATGGTACGCAATCTTTTCAATAAGTAAGTTTGAAATTTCCATATTTGTTTTATTGAAGACCCCCTGCAGAGGTCAGCAGTAGATTAACACTCCCACATTGTATATGCTATCACTCTTAAATTTCTATACCCAGAAAGCACTAGAAAATTTTTGGGGATAATGAAAGAGCTCCGTTTTACACAATTGGAAGAATACAGACATTTTAACCAAATAAAAGGTTGTATACTTCTAGTTATAACACCTCGAAAAAAGTCTACAAATTCTGAAATATTTATTAAAGCATATTCTGAAAAAAGAATGACTTTATTTTTAGATGACATCTTGTTGGTTTGATTCTAAGCATGCATAGTGAACTTTCCCCTTATTCTGTTAAATCAGAAATAATGAATGTTTGGCCAAGGTCTGCATAATTTCATATAATTTCAATTAAACATTATAAACTTAAAACAAATATGTAAGATATACAAACAATTTGTCAAATCACACAAATTTATAAAATTGTCAATAATCCTATTACACTGTAAAGCATTATGCTATTTGAGGACTGTGTCATCAATGGATTCCAGTGCTGGTTCTGGTTGTTTACATAATTTAACAAGAGATTTATAAACCAGTTCATTTAATGATTCTCTCATCCCTGCATCCAGGCTACCAGAAACACTCTGAAAGTAAAATTAATTTATTTCAATTTAAAGGGGTCTAAACAATTATTTTTTGTCTAAAGTGGAAAGTAACTACTAGAAATGATAAGCTATGTTTTATTATTTGGGGCTTTCCATAATTAAGCACACAGAGGGGTCATACAGCAAAACTTTTTAAATTGTTCTGTCAAGGAGACAAACAGATGTTCTGTCTTTAGATAGAAAAAGTTAATAATACAAAATAAAATGAATTTCTTTATTCAAGTAACTAGTCATAGATATAAGTAGCATTTCTGCATTGGAATTTGTCAGTTTCAGTAAGAATTTGAACGGATCATTTGTGATCCAAATGGCAGAATTCTCCAATGCTACTTTAATATGAAAAAGTGCCTTCTGCATTTAAGAATTGTATTCATACTAAAAATGTGCACATGATCAATGCTTTTACAACCTATAAAATTATACAAAGAAACATTCAATTCTTATAATTACATTTTCATGCTACAACCATAAAATTAAGAGTTATATGAAGCTTTTCGTTTGTTCGTCTATGCACTGTTTTAACATTGCCACGGAAAGCATGTGCAGTCATAGCTATTGTACCAATCAAAATAACATATTCTAATGAAACATATGTGTAATGTAATTATTTGTAAATAACATCCTTTCATCCTGATTCATATTTAATCCAACATTTAAATTTTAATTTTTTTAACTCTCTTCCTTTCTGCAGACAAAAATTTTCTTTGTTTTTTATTAATCATCTGATCTTTTTTTGAGTTACAATAGTTTTATAAGGGAAAATATTTCTCTAATTTGTTAGGGATCCAAAATGATAGAATACTCCCTTGCTCTTTTAATACGAAAATATGCTGTCTGCACATGGGAATAGTCCATTTCACCATGATTTACATTTACTCAATCATTCAAATTGTGAATCTTTTTTTCCCTTTATTCTTTATTGCAGATCAAAACTACATAAATGAAAGCTTACAGACTTTGACTTGTTTGTATTTTTCTTGTCTGATTTTTTTGAGGTACAATGAATTTAAACCTTAAAAACATCCACTTTAAAAACAATTTTGGTCAATATCATTCTCCAGTTTCTAAGCCTCAAATAAAGAATTCTATATTTTCTAAAATTAGGACCTAATATTATATACATGCATGTGTAATGTAGAAGGAATAACTTTGGACTATATTTACCTTTAGAACTGTTTGTATGTATGTGTAATGTAGAAGGAATAACTTTGGACTATATTTACCTTTAGAACTGTTTGTATGTATGTATGTATGTGTAATGTAGAAGGAATAACTTTGGACTATATTTACCTTTAGAACTGTTTGTATGTATGTATGTATGTATGTGTAATGTAGAAGGAATAACTTTGGACTATATTTACCTTTAGAACTGTTTGTATGTATGTGTAATGTAGAAGGAATAACTTTGGACTATATTTACCTTTAGAACTGTTTGTATGTATGTGTAATGTAGAAGGAATAACTTTGGACTATATTTACCTTTAGAACTGTTTGTATGTATGTGTAATGTAGAAGGAATAACTTTGGACTATATTTACCTTTAGAACTGTTTGTATGTATGTATGTATGTGTAATGTAGAAGGAATAACTTTGGACTATATTTACCTTTAGAACTGTTTGTATGTATGTATGTATGTATGTGTAATGTAGAAGGAATAACTTTGGACTATATTTACCTTTAGAACTGTTTGTATGTATGTGCTATGTAGAAGGAATAACTTTGGACTATATTTACCTTTAGAACTGTTTGTATGTATGTTTTATGTAGAAGGAATAACTTTAGACTATATTTACCTTTAGAACTGTTTGTATGTATGTGTAATGTAGAAGGAATAACTTTGGACTATATTTACCTTTAGAACTGTTTGTATGTATGTGTAATGTAGAAGGAATAACTTTAGACTATATTTACCTTTAGAACTGTTTGTATGTATGTGTAATGCAGAAGGAATAACTTTGGACTATATTTACCTTTAGAACTGTTTGTACGTATGTGTAATGTAGAAGGAATAACTTTGGGACTATATTTACCTTTAGAACGGTTTCATTTTTTCTAAGATGGAGTACAGCAACAACAGCAATTTCACTGTTAGTTTTTACAACAGTATTCTTTTCTTTAGTACCCATCACTAATGGTGGAATCAAAAGTTTGACATTATCATCTGTGAGATTTCCCCCACTGGATAAGTGTGGGATAATCTGTGTCACTAACTGTTTAACATCATTTGAATCATTTTTCATTCCCTGAAATAAAGAGCAATGATTTTAACTTTATAAGGGATACATATTAATCTTATTTGTGAGAGATTAGTGTTCCTCAATCTTTTCTTTTCTATTCCTTCAAAAGACTGGGTAACATGTTAAAATGCTGTTATTGTTTCACATGTAAATTGGTTAATGTATAGCAAAAAAAAAAGGTAAAACAACAGCAAGCACCTTTATTTCTAAGTATTCTTAGGTCTCTCAGAATTTTAGATCTTACTTTTCATTTTCACTGAATGCATTGTTTTTATTGATATTTGTTAGCTACATAAACTCTATGGATAATGAAAGAAAAATATAAAGAAATGTCATTGTGTATTCATGGTTATCTTTAAACAAAATAAATAAATATTCATATGTATCTATATCATTGCTTTACCCATTTTTAAGGGAATTAATAGTTGCAAGTGTTAAACACTATGAAAAAGTATCAAAAATTCATAAGCAGAAAAGACTGAATGTTGTTCACTTGTGAGTCAATTGTACTACACAAGGAAAGTGGTAGCTATAGTAACCTTTTTCCATCCATTACCTAATATTCAAAGTTGATTACCTTGATCAGACTAGTTAGTAGTTCTGTTTTCAGTTGACCTTTGGACTGTTGATATATCAGAAGATATCCCAAACATCTGTATCCACAGAGGCATAAGGGAATCTGTAATATGTAAGAATAATTAGAACCAGTACGTGGTCTCATCATTTTCAAATACTGTAAATTCAGAAATTATTGAATGCATTTATTATTGCGATTTTGAAGAAAGGACATAAATGCGAGATCAATTATTGCGATTTTATGAAAATCTGAATACAGATATGTGTAACAGATGTCAGAATGCAAGTTCTTATTATTGCGATTCTTACCCAGTTGCATTATTTGGAAAAATAAAAACCTTGCAATAATTTCTGAATTTACAGTACCTCTAACATAATAAAAGAATAAATTCATTTTTTAAGGCACATAATCTTAATATTGACTGACCCATTCAAACTATGATACCTGTCATGAATATGCAGGAAATGTTTGAAAAAAAATATTAAAGATACCAACTTATAATTTTGTAGGCTAAATGCATGTTTGTAACCGGACATCACATTGTTAAAAAATAAGTTGATTCATTTTTACTCATCTTACAGCTTTCCTGAACTCACAGAAATATTTCATCTTTAAAAAGTTTCTGGTCCTTACAAAATAGAAAGATTTATACCACTCTGAATGTTTGTGCCCTTACAAAACAGAAAGATTTATACCACTCTGAATATGTGCAGTCTGGAAATTTCATCTCATCATTAATTGTTCAAGAAAATTTATTTTTAAAAAGATACTGATATTTTCAATAACTGCACGCTCAACCCTATCCCTGATACATCAAGTTTTTTATTTCTCTAAATACTGATATTTAAATGCAATTTTCAAAGTCATAGGTCCATAAACATTAACAAATGGGTAAACACACAGGTATGCTGCCTTTGTAATACATTGGTAAACATTTCTTAAAATTGGGAGAGGGGCACTAAGAAATATCTTGTGAAGATCAGGAGTAAAGGTACCTGTGATCCCTTGAAATATCTTGTACTTACCCTATCAGATGTAGTTAAATCCAGTACTGTTTTAGTAATATTATCTTCAAACTGTTTACACAATCTGTCAGCTGATTCCTTTAAAGCTACACCTAATGCTATTCCTTGACCATGTTTTACCATCCAGTCTTGACTAGGATCTGAATCTAAATCAGAAATCAAAAACCACTTCCTGTTACTTGTATTACTGTGGACTCATTATAATTCGTGGGATACTAATTTTCGTGGATTTCGTGGGGAAAGATTAACCACAAATTCAAATGTTCAACAAAGTACCAATTTTCTATAGATTTGAATGCAGACTCTGGCAAACCACAAAATAAAACATCCTAGAAAAATCAATTAGTTCGCAATCCATGAAACTTGGTATCAACGAAAATAATTGAATCCACAGTATATCAATTGCTGCATGTAAGGTACATGTATTTCTAATTCAGAAATGACTAAAAACAGATGATATTTGTGGGATAGTTTTGCAACATAAATGTCAACATATTTTTAAACAATAGTTTACAATTTCATTTTGGAAAAAAGATAAGCAGGATTAAATGTTTGCAAGTAATTATATCTCTGCAATGCATGTTTCAAGAAGGTATGACTTGTAGTTCATGATACATGTAACAATGCGACCAATATGTAAAAACCAAAAAATTTGCAATGTTTTATTAAAGAATCATATATTCATATACTCTTCAAATTAAAGAAATTTTGACAAAACAAAATCATTTTATTTTAGGGCTAATGTTGTCCTAAATTAATCCTCCTACTTTGATATATCAGAACAATGACTTTTATAATACAGATATAAGTAATGTTTGTAAATAAGCATTATAATATATATATAATTCCATACCTAACAAATGGCTAATCATTACATCAGTAAGATCTACATCAGAGAGGGACCCACACATGGCCCCTAAACAGGCTGATGCTGCACTTCTGGTAGTTTCTTCCTGGCTACCGAGCATGCTCAGTAAAGCAGAGCTTGCTTGTTTCTTTAAAGGTTCAGCCATCTTAGAACCAGCACCCGTTAAACAAAATCTTAATGCCTGAAGCATTGTGTCTCTAAAAAACAAAGATAGCACTTCATGAATCTTGAATTGTTTCTTTCTCCATTAGAGCAACAAAATGTTAATTGAACTGCACAAGTCCTTTGCCATAAAAGCAGATTAGTTAAGCTTTTTGCCCTGAAATATATGTTCCACGTCAAGAATAAGAAGTTAAGTTTCTATGAATTTCAACTTTTTTATGTTCATTGTTTAACAAAAGTGAAGATGTAGTGATCATTGTGAGATGTCTTAGTTAAAGTTTTGTAGAATTTTTTTTTATAATGCCATTATTGATTTTTAATTTTATTTCAATTATCTATTGACTTGTGAGGTTTTCAAAGTTACAAAATGTTAGTTTTTTTCTCTTTTGCATAAGGCTGACTTATTGTATATACTGTGCATGTATAAACAGAAGGATATCAATATGCCTCAAATTTTTCCCTGTCCATGAACAGGTAAAAAATACTGGTAAAGAGGACCTACCTTACTCCACTTTCTGTAGCATTCTTAATACCATTGAGTAATTCTGTAAATAATGGATCCACTCGTACATGTATGATTATCAACTGTCCTAAAGCTGAAGCAGCTTTCAGTCTAACTGATCGCTGGGGGTCATTTAATGCCTTTAAGAATGTTGTCTGTAACTGTGGCAAAAATGGCTTTAACATCACACCAACCTGTCAAAATATAAAAAGCTTTAACTTTATATCACCCTACAAAAATATGAATGGCTCTAAATTGGTTTAACTCATCCAAATAAAAATCCAATTAACCTTTCTAGGTAAAAATTATCCTTATCAACAAAACTTCAAAACAGAACTTGAAAACTGCTGCTATGAATACACTGTTATTCATAGAGATATTTTTGTGTCCCATTTAACATTTCTAAATGAACAGACATGAGTAGAAATGACAGCTATTCAATACAAGTTTGATGTTTTAAATAATAACGGGACGAAATTCTGCAAAAAGAAGGAATCCAATGTATTTTATATCGTTTGATACAATGTTAAGATGAATAACGAAGGGACAAGGATCATGTGTTACACACCTTATTTATTTATACATTTTGACTAATAAGTAGTTAAACTTAAATTAGAAAAGAATCATTTTCTCAATCAATGTATATATTTTAGTAAATTCATTAAAGCTGCTACTTAGGGCTATTCCATCAAAATGTATGTGGGAGGGTAGGACAGTCAGGGGTACTACTTGTACAAGTAATTTTTATTTACTTGAAGAAGTAAATAAAATATACTTATACAAGTTAATTATATTGTTTGAATAATCTCCCCTTAATTTTCTAAAAAATTTACTTGTATAAGTAAATTTTTTTACAATCCCACAAAAATTCTCAAGTTTTGAGATGTAAAATCATGCCTTTAATAATTTTTCTCAGGTTAGCTCATAATTTTTGATAAGAGTTCAATGTTTCATCTCATTAATTTAACAAAGAAACTGATTGAGCAAAGATCTTAAGTATTTGCGCAAGGCCTTCAAAAATTGCTCCTTGGGGGCTTGTAAATGAGCAGTGTTCTAAAGATAAAAGACAAATGAGATTTTCATTGTCCATGAAATTACACTTAAATGAATAGTAAAGACATCTGCAAAGGACAGACAATTCAAAATTCTGTTAGAGCAAAGAAGTTCTAAGAATTCAAGAAAAGACGATAGGATGACTTTTTTACTTGTATAAGTAAAAAAATCTGAACGCCTAAGGGACATAACTAGGCCAAAAAATAATTTACTTATACAAGTAAATAAAATACACTTGTATAAGTATCCTACAAATTTACTTATATAAGTATATTATAATTACTTCTTCAAGTAAATAATAAAATGCTCCGCAGGGCGCAGCTTGATACGACCGCAGAGGTCGAACCCTGAACAGTTGGGGGAAGTATGGACACAACATTCAAGCTTGATACAGCTTTGGATTTGGATTGTGATTAAATATTTGACACAGCATAGGTTTCTAACACAGATTGAATGTGGTCTAAGAACTTAAAAATTTTAAATTGGACATTCACCTATTATGGTCCAATATCCAAAATCTAAATACATGGTTAGATTCAGCATATCAAAGAACCCCAAGAATTCAATTTTTGATGAAATCAAACAAAGTTTAATTTTGGACCCTTTTGACCTCAATGTGGACAAAGTTGATAACGGGGCCCAAAAATCAAAAATCTAAATACATGGTTAGATTCAGCATATCAAAGAACCCCATTTATTCAATTTTTGTTGAAATCAAACAAAGTTTAATTTTGGACCCCGATTTGGACCAACTTGAAAACTGGGCCCATAATCAAAAATCTAAATACATGTTTAGATTCAGCATATCAAAGAACCCTAAGAATTCAATTTTTGTTAAAATCAAACTAAGTTTAATTTTGGACCCTTTGGACCTTAATGTAGACCAATTTGAAAACGGAACCAAAAATTAAGAATCTAAATACACGGTTAGATTCGGCATATCAAAGAACCCCAATAATTCAATTTTTGATGAAATCAAACAAAGTTTAATTTTGGACCCTTTTGACCTCAATGTGGACAAAGTTGATAACGGGGCCAAAAATCAAAAATCTAAATACATGGTTAGATTCAGCATATCAAAGAACCCCATATATTCAATTTTTGTTGAAATCAAACAAAGTTTAATTTTGGACCCCGATTTGGACCAACTGGAAAACTGGGCCCATAATCAAAAATCTAAATACATGTTTAGATTAAGCATATCAAAGAACCCTAAGAATTCAATTTTTGTTAAAATCAAACTAAGTTTAATTTTGGACCCTTTGGACCTTAATGTAGACCAATTTGAAAACGGAACCAAAATTTAAGAATCTAAATACACAGTTAGATTCGGCATATCAAAGAACCCCAATAATTCAATTTTTGATGAAATCAAACAAAGTTTAATTTTGGACCCTTTGGACCTCAATGTGGACCAATTTAAAAACGGGGCCCAAAATCCAAAAACTAAATACACGGTTAGATTCAGCATATTAAAGAACCCCATGAAATCAAGAATAAAACCCCATTGAAATTGGTCAAGAAATAAGCAATTTATAGGAAGTATCTTCTTTTGCACAATCCTGTGCTATTAAATATTTCTTGCTATTGCGCAATACTGTACAATTGACAATTTCTTGCTATTGCGCAATATTGTGCTATTGGATATTTCTTGCTATTGCGCAATACTGTGCAATTGAAGATTTCTTGCTATTGCGCAATACTGTGCAATTGAAGATTTCTTGCTATTGTGCAATACTGTGCAATTGAAAATTTCTTGCTATTGCACAATACTTATTATATAATAATTTACACATCCTGTTTGGTGTGTATCTCCTACCATATCATTATTATTTGATTTTAAATATAAATCAGAAATAACCAACTTAAAATGGAAAATTTTAAAAGAAACAAAAAAGGAAAAAAAGAAAAAAAAGGGAAAAAAAATAAATCCCCCCCCAAAATTTTTTGAACCCCCATTATGATTCATCACCCCCAAACTCAATCCCAGCCTTCCCTTTGTGGTATGGTACCTTGCAGTACAATTTCAGAGAGATCCATACACTTGAACACAAGTTATTGTCTGGAAACTAGAAAAAAATGTGTTTTTTGGCCCCAAATTCCTAAACGTTTAGGGCAATTACCCCCAAACTCAAACCCAGCTTTCCCTTTGTGATATGGAACCTTGTACAAATGTAGTACAATTTCAGAAAGATCCATACACTTACACACAAGTTATTGTCATGAAACTAGAAAAATGCTTGTTTTTTGCCCCTTTTTTGGCCCCTAATTCCTAAAATTTGGAGGCAATTACCCCCAAAATCAATCCCAGCATTCCTTTAGTGATATGGAACCTTGTGGTACAATGTCAGAGAGATCCATACACTAACACACAAGTTATGTCTGGAAGTTACAAAAATGCTTATTTTTGGCCCCTTTTTGGCCCCTAATTCCTTTACTGTTATTACCATAACCCCCAAAATCAATCCCAACCTTCCTTTTGTGGTATTGAACCTTGTGGTAAAATTTCATAAAGATCCATTCACTTAAACTAAAGTTAGAGTGCGAAAACCAATGTGTCTTCGGACGACGCCGACGACGACGACGCCGGACGACGACGACGCCAACGTCATACCAATATACGACCACAAAAATTTGTTTGCGGTCGTATAAAAATTACTTGTACAAGTAGTACCCCTGACTGTAGGAAGGAACTTTCAAAATATCCCTACAACCAAGAACCATTTTTTAGATAATTTTGCATAATGGTAATAGACGCATACTGAAAAAAGACCCATGACCCACATTCAATAATTAAACTTCCCTTCCTACCCTCCCACATACATTTTAATGGAATAGCCCTTATACATCTTGATTCAATGATAGATGCATACAAAAGCTAATTTACAAACAACTTTGCATCAGACAATATGTTTAAGTCTACAAATGTCTTTATGACTAATTGTAAGGATAATTTTTTAAATACAAATTTGGAATTGGAACTTTTTTTATCTGACCTAGATATGGTTAAACATTCAAACAAATGGCACCCATTTCAATATATCAGCAAAATCTTTAATCAAAAATAATACAGAGCGCTTTTAAGATATACCAGTAATATGACCCATTTTATGCAACTGGTATCATGACTTTCTGAACACCTACCTTAGTCAGTAATTTAGTTAATGTGTCCAATACAGCAACTTTCAAACTCCATACAAATCTATCACCAAGAATACGAATCAGGGGACCAGTTATATTTAAAACAGAAACTTTTAGAGCTTCAGCATTGGTAACATCAATTAATTCTCCCAAACCAACAGCAGCCTGTTCCTTCAGTTCCTGTGTACCGCTTAAGATTCCTTCCCTAAATATTGGCAAGACTGGTGTGATTCCCTGTAAATATAGGAAGTCATTAAGGAGTTCATGAAAAAGAATGACACTTATTTCTATTAATTCAATCCTTTACATGAATAAATTCATTTCATTTGGCATGAGACCAAATACAAGAAATTAAATTTGTGAACATTAACACTTAAATAAACTGCAAGCATATTCAAGCACTTCCTTACATGTACTACTTTCCAAAAGATGTTGATAGTAAATTGTTGCTATGTTATTTATCAAGTTTTTATTTTTAATTGCATTTTATCTGACTCTTGCAAAAATTCACATCCTAATGATGAATACAATATTTTAATTCACCTAAATGGATGAAATTTCATAGTCCAAGAACAAGAATACCAATACTTTTACAAAATTATCTCCAATACAAAACATAAGACGTCTGTTTACCTTTTTAGGAATACTAAATCCTGGAAGTTCTGATCCCTCCATATCAGACACAGCATACTTAACAGCTTGTCTCACATCTGCTATGTATTGTAACATTTCTGTGGCTTCTATTTTCTGTAATAAAGTATAAATATACCTGATAAACTGTCAGAAATTTACTTATTAAGGGAGCAGCTTCTCAAATAATTCAGCCAGACCATATCAATTTGTTAAAAATGATTTAATAAAATTTGGAACTCTGTTGGAGAACTTTGGTAACAAAATTGCCAACTATATGGTAGACATAGTAACCTTTCATAAATCATTTAGATGTTATATTTTTGTCCAATGAATAAGGAACCATTACCGTAGTCACTAAGGACATACACAATCATGATGCGATCTACAAATGATCAATATAAAAATCTTGCCTTAGTTACTGCAGACGATACTCCCATGATGCTATTTACAAATTATCAATATAAAAATCTTACCTTAGTCACTGCAGACAGACACTCCCATGATGCCAGTAATATTTTGTTATTTTTTCTAATAAACAGTGCAATAAGTCCTCTGAATAATTGCACCATGTAATCTGAATAATCCACATCTGTGTATTCACAGAACTGATGAAGCACTGTAATGGCTGCCCAACACAGGTCTTCTTGTTTCTGACTAGAGGCTGATAAGAGTTCTGTAATTATGATTCTCACACCTGTATCATCTTTCACTGATAACACCACCCTTTTACAGTACTCCATCTCCTGTTAAATGAAACCATATATAAAGATACAAGGAAAACTGCCTCAACAAAACTGTGTACACCATAAAAACATGCTGTTTACCAACTTATTATTTCTCAGGTTTATTTGGTGCGGTTAACCTTTAAGTCCACTTTGTGATGATTTACCCATTTTGATGATGTATTCATATGAGAAAAGATAAACACCTAACCTATTTTTTTTATGATGCAACCTTAAACAGACATATATTTTTTTGGGGCCTAATGATAAAACGTTATCATACATGAACTGTTAGAACTTCCAGTTAAACTTTGACAACATAGTGTTCAGTCTTTTTTTTTTCTGTACTACACTTTTTGTTGACTTCTTGGAGGAAAAACCATTTTCTATCATCAGCAAAAATAGGACAATTACAATATTCCTTAGATTTAGATTTTTGTCAAAATCAAAGATAAGGAATATGTAAAAAATAAATAAATAAGACCTACTGAGGGTTCATGATCAGACACACATATTATTTTTCTTGGCAAACCTTAGATTAATTCTGTCATGGCATAAACAAACCTGAGCCTCCTCTGGTGTATCCCATTTCTCACTTAATGATGACAGTAATGCAGGAAGTATTTTAATCAGGTATTTAGTTAATGTTTCTCCAGCAACTGATGACAAAAATGACAAAGCTTTTGTATTCACTGGTGATGCTGTTAGCTGTAAAATAATAATCACTGTTTTCAATTTCTTCTTCAATTACAGCGAGTAAGTTGCCAAAATGCCAAAATTTACAGATAAGATGTGTATAAGACGAATTTAAATTGTGTTGGAAAGTTTAAAGAAAACCAAATGCAAACACTTTATGTGAAAGCACTTGTATTAAAAATACTTTCAACTTCATTGACTTCCTTTCCCCAGTGTCTGCACACTTTTATGCAACACACACTTTCATCTTTTATTTTTAATTGATAAAAGAAGTTCTTTTAACTGTATCTGCACATCTCTGGCAGTAAAAAAATCATTTCTTATTTGAAGCCTATTTTTCGAAAGATATGTATATTTAATATGTACTCGGTATTCTAGAATAGGTGATACTGCACAGATAAGGCAAATAATTATAAAAGTCTTAGGATTTGCGAAATGATACTAATAAAATCTTTTAGTAGTATCATTGAGCAAATCTTAAGACTTTAAATATAAATATATATGTATATATTACAGTGCCTCGTATTGTCCTTAATATCACATTTAACAACAGACAGTCATAAAATATAGTCTATAAATGCAGGTTTATACAAAACAATCTATTCATCACAAAAATATTAATGTTTATAATGAATAATTTTGAATTATCTCCCCTTTTGATCAATTTTTACCATAAATGTTAGTTTTGAACCATTAATCCTAAGATCGTGTCTGCTACATTGCAGATCTGTTCAAAACTTTGTTTTGAAGTTTAGAGTAAAGAATCAATGCACTTATATGTAAATCTTTGGTATTTTTTTGCATTTGCCAAGATAAATACAATACCTGATTTTATGAAACTACTCAAATTTGCTGATATATAAGTAATTAAAACATTAGAATAGCTATGGTGTGATGACAATGCTTGCTTTAGGGGTAACAAACAAGGCACTTGTTGCTAGTATTACCCTTGGGAAGGTCTGAGACATAGGTAATCAACCCTCTTGCAGGGGGTTCTCCTAATGGAGGAGTGAGTCAACAGAAACCAGGCTAAGCTGGGAGTTACAGCATGTGATGTCTGTAGACTGATGCAAAGCTTCCAGTTCTAGTTGAAAGAGACTCATTACCAGCAAAAGTAGTACAATTCGCAAGGTGGTCCAAGGGCCATAACTCAATTCAGACTACTCTGCCATCACACCTTTAACTTTTTAGATGTTCGATGCATGGTTTATAACACGGAAACAAAATAACTGTGGAATGTTGAATGGTAGAGATGTGTACATTTTAGAGAAAAATGAGCTTTAAATTGTGGAATTCAAGATCAAACAAATTAAAGGTAATAATTTAGACTGTACTGTAATAACTTTCAAGTCAGTCTCTTAATAGCAATGAGGACTAGTTAGTCATTCTGTTCAGGCGCACACCAATGATCTCAGAATTTGAGGTTTGGTTGGTGGGTGGGTGGGTGGTTGGTTGGTTGGTGAGCCTATTTATTTAGCATAGCAAAAGGACACAGATTTAAAAAAAAAAAATGTATGCCAAAATATTTTTTTCAAATGTAAGGAGGGGGGACATCATGCTAAACTGTAGCCTTAATCAACTCCTGCTTTTATCTGATCAATGCATCATCAATAATTACAGAATAATTCTGTGCTGTAAAAAAAAGGCTAAGAAGCTACCTGATATTAAGTTTTACCTGTGGTATCAAGTATGGTAGAACAACATAACTTTTAACTGTCATGACTTGTCGTAATCCATCCAAAGCTCTCTCTGCTAAGTCATCATCATCCTGTCAATACAATAAAAAAAAATTATTAAAGTGAATATATTCAATACAGAAAAAAATTTAAAAAATATAAAACACAAGATAGATTGTTATATTGTACTTACAGGTTACAGTTTCAATTTTGGTATTTGAAAAAAAAAACAACAACAAAAACAGAGTTTAAAAGTGTGGTTTTGCGAATTTCAAAATTATAATGGTGAACTCAGTATTTATTGTAATCTAAACAAATGAAACAATCTAATAACAGAATAATAATCACCAAAACAGTTCCTGGTCAACTTTCAGTGAGCACAACTCATGAAAGACAATACAGTCACTTTTACATGTACAGTTTGGTTAATTTGTGATGTCTCATTAACCCATATTTCCTTTGACGATATGACCTTTATGCCATTCCTGTATAAATATGACTGTTCATTTTTGTGTTGCTCACTAGGACCATTTTCTATTCCCAGTGCCATAGGTTGTGTTTTACAAATGAGATTTTTTTTAATGTATGATTTATACCTACCAGTTTTGACAGTAGATAAGGTAAGATCTCATCAAGTGCTCTAGGACCAATATTAGCATGGAGATTTTGAATGTATGATTTATACCTACCAGTTTTGACAGTAGACAAGGTAAGATATCATCAAGTGCTCTAGGACCAATATTAGCATGGAGATTTTTAATGTATGATTTATACCTACCAGTTTTGACAGTAGATAAGGTAAGATCTTGTCAAGTGCTCTAGGACCAATATTAGCATGGAGATTTTGAATGTATGATTTATACCTACCAGTTTTGACAGTAGATAAGGTAAGATCTCATCAAGTGCTCTAGGACCTATATTAGCATGAATATTTTTAATGTATGATTTATACCTACCAGTTTTGACAGTAGATAAGGTAAGATCTCATCAAGTGCTCTAGGACCAATATTAGCATGGAGATTTTCAAATGTATGAGCTGCTGCATCTCTCACTGCAGGTAATGGATCAATCAAGGCTTTCCTCACGGTAGGAATCAAGCTTTCAGCATACACAGCCACCTGAAAACAGTCAAAAAGATCAATACATAATCACTGAAAATTAGGGATCAGCATACATGAACATCAAACAGTAGGGGATCTGTAGACGTGTTAGTAACACATCCCAAGTGTATATATCTATACATATATATATCTTCAGATTTGTATAAGCTGGTAAACATAGTTGATAAATGACATATTCCTGATGTGTCTTTTATCATTCTGCACCCAATAGTTCGATAAGTACCTGTACATGTACTAATATATAGTTGTTTGACATTTTGAAGCTATTTACTACTCCGCACACATGGCTCATATCAGTGGCAATGTCTACTCACCTTTAGATGACCACTGAAAAGTCATGACATGCAAATAACTTTTTAGACCAGCTTGCAAATTGCAGAACCCAAAAATAATTTTTCAAGGCCACTCACTTTTTCTTTTTGATGACTTAGAGTATAAAGCAAGAATATGTGTTCATTGGACACCATGTCTTGCCCAAAAACATATAAGTTTCAAGTTGATGTGACCACAACATCATGGTAAAATACCTTAAACCAAAACCTATAAGATACAGGACTGACAGACAGAACAAACAGACCGGAAAACCATATCAAATACTTTTTTTATGACAGCTGATGGACTGCCTGAACCAGTCTTTTCAAGTTTTGCTACAGATGTTTAAAGCAACACACAACACCACTATTTCTTTGAACTATAAATTAAGTCTTGACTGACATTCTGCAATAATTGTAGATTCAAATATTGTTGTGGTTATTGAAATCTTTTAAAAGAAAATTTATTTACAGTATAACATCTTTGTTCCATTTACAGAACAAAAAATAAATGGGAAATTGTTTATACATGATCCTGGAGTCCAAAACTTACGACTAAGATTGATTATAAGTCATGAACAACTCAGTATACTTACGATCAATCTTAGTCATAAGTATTTTTGTGAAACCAACCCCTGAACTATGAAGTTACCAAATTATGAAATCAGTCCTAAATTAAGAGAAAGTTTCAGGTTGATTTAAGGATCAAGAAGTAACCTACATGATCTCTGCTGGTAGATGCCATGATTTCTGTCAGACCAATACAGACACCTTGCCTCTGGTCAGGTTGATCGGAGTCCAGCCCATGTTCTAAGATGGGTATAATCTCTGGTAATACTCTCTCACCTAACTTCTTAACTAAGTCTCCTAATGTTCTGGCAGCAACCTACAAGGAATTATAAGATAATACATACTATATATATCAAGGGATATTTACCCCTTTTTTAATTATATGCAAACATATATATAATAGTGATGAAAACATCCCTCAGCCCTCTCCAGTGTGAACATATTTCGTGTTAATTCATGAAAACAGTTTTGTCTTTTAAAAAGAAGTATTGTCCTAAGAAGGTTGTATATTACACATTGGAATGGTTCAGGACATTATTTTATATTGAATTTTCCTTGGAGTTCGGTATTTTTGTTGTTTTACTTTTTACATTTTGTCCTTTAATCCTTAATTGATTTTTTGTATTGACCATTGATGTTGTTTTAAAGGTTAAACAGTTTATTAGAAGTAAAAATATACCTACTGCAAAATTTGTGAAAATAAAAAAAGAATGTATACAGTACTCAGCCCTAAGATAGTAATTATCATACAGATTTAAAAAGTGAACTGATAATCATAAAATATAATACTGATATGAGATCCTACTCATGTTTGGAAGGTAGGAAGTGTTTACCTGTCTTTTGTCATGACTGGTACTTGCTAAACATCCAAGCAACAGAGTAAACAATGTTCCCAGGATCTCTCTCAATGTCTGTGGAGTGTGAGCCACAATGATCTTCCACACATGAAGTGCTGACTGGCGGACAAGTAGAGCTGTGTCAGATCGACCCATGTACAATCCTGCCAGTACACGAGCTCGTCTTTCCTTTCCTAAAGCCTTCATAATTGCCTGAAAAAAGCCACTTTCACAGTAAATTTAATGTTTTTTAAAACAATTCCTATTCAGTTATATGTGCATCACATAAGGGCTATTCCAGAAAAAAAAAAAACATTGTGAGGTTGGAAGGCACTTTTTTTATGACCATTACCCATACCATTGCATTTTACTTTGCATACATAACCACATAATTTGAACTTCGTGACCTGCCCCCAACCATACAAAAATAATTCAAGTGCCATCCATTTTTTTTCTCTGAAATAGCCCTTAGATAAAACTTTGAACTTATACACAAACAATTTTATATTCTGATTTTCTAAACTTCAACAGATTGCAGTATTTGATAAACTGCCTTTTCATGTATAAATATTATCGCTTACAACTATATTCCTAAATGTTACAATTCCTTCAAAGGATTCAAATTTGAAATACTTGAATATTTAAAAGTCTATGAAAATAGTTGTGGGAGTTTTACCTTTTGAGAAGTTTCTGTTCCAAAGTTGTCATCGTCATGAGCTGTTTCTGTAGTCATCTTACCAGTGACACCTATATGATAAACATACCGGTACGTAAAAATATCATAAGACTAGAAATTTTACGACCAAGACACCTTAAAAAATTAAATTCTAACAATAGATAAAATCAGGTTACTATTTCATTTTTCATTATTTTTAATTTTTTCTACTTTTTGATTATTTCTGAACTTTTCCAACATTTAGCAGCTTTGAAAGCCTATTCCAATCCACAAGTCTTGTCAGTGGTCGCCCTGTCACATCTTTTTTTTGTTATTTGGAGAATTTGGCAGATTTTTGGTAGTCTCTGTTAAATTTATTCACAACATTTCAAGACTTTTATACCTAGACGTATTATAATATACAATATATAAACTTTACCTGAAATACGATATAATAGATCTCCTAACAACTGTACAGAACTATATCTAATTCTCCAATTATCATCAAATAGTCCTTTTTCTAATTCTGGTAAGAGTAATTCTATAGATTGATCTGCATACAAGTTTATAATTCTCTGTCCAGCCAGTAGGGCAGTCTCTCTTACATATTCTGATTCATCTGCTAAAGCCTTCAAATATCACATTATAAGTTGTATAACAGGTTTCAAAAATTTTGACAAATATGTTTAACCCCACCACATTCTGTATGTCCCTGTCCCAAATCAGAGTCTGCTTTTTCCCTTAGCTGTGACAGTGTCTGATGACACATGAAAACCAGACATTATTTTCTATCTTCTTTATCAAATTTGAACAAATACACATATTTTAAGTATCCAGTATTTTTCCAATTATCTAAACCTCCTCAGTGGCATTGTACCCACCTAAAGTGGAAAGGTTGTGAGTTTTGATCCCCGGCTGTATAAAACTAAAGACTTCAAACTGGTATTTGCTGCTTTTACCCTGAGCATATGGCATTAAGGAGTATGAGCAGACTAGTCGGCTCAGTGTCAGAATAAAGTGTTTAGGTAGGATGACATGTCTTCCTGTGGACTGATAAATCACAAACTAGCATGTTAAAAACCTGGATTAGCTTGTTGGTCTAGAACAAAGCAGGGTTCATACTCATATTGCATCACATGTTCTCGCCTTGAATATGCATTTAATTTGCCACTGGACATCAAACAGCCATCATCATCGAAATTATAATGTATATCGACCAGTACTTGTAGTAAGGATGGATTGATTCAGAACCTGATCTCACCTGTAAAATGGAAGGAATAATGGGTCCAATGTACTCCATGAAATCATCTTTGAAGACAGAAGGTAAATATATGTACAACATGATGTAGCCATCCCTGACAAATGGAGGGATGTCTATTCTCTCAGCTGTCTGTATAATACCAGGCATCAAACGGTTCAACTCCTTCTGTCCTAAACCACCAATAACTTCAGCCAAACCTACGAACAAAATTAAAACATTTTAACAACTAGGCACTTCAACCATACCTAAAAAAAATAGAAGTTCTGTGCGCAAAGTTAAATAAAAAATATACACAAAGCCTCAAGCAAAGTCAAGGATTTTCTAGGGGAACCTCCCCACCCCAAATATAAATAAAAGATAAAAAAAAAAAAAAGGTGCACAGTGGGATTCTGATAAAGTTTTGATAAATTCTGATTTTGGGTTTAGCAAGAAAAGAATCTTGCCTTGCTGTTCATTTATGCTTATTAAAGTTTCTGTCTACCTATTATAGATTTCAAAAACCTAATAAGACAGGTTAAAATTGTCAATTAGGGGGAAAAACTCCAATAAGAAGTCATTTAATCAAAATGGACAATAGGTATATCTAGATATTCAGTACATTCTTGTTTCTGCCAGATTTTTTCTACCTATAAGCGTTTTGAAATTAAAAGACAATACTTTCATTTTACCCCCACATTCTATTTAAAGCAATGGCGGTCATGTTGGTTGGCAAGTGGGATCATCAGACATATCTTTAAACTAGACACCCAAAGGATGACTGTGGCCATGTTTGGTTTTAAATTGGTACAGCAGTTTAAGAGAAGATTTTTTGTAAAACTTATAAGACAGACGATTCATGCCAAGTGATGAGAAAAGCTCACTTGTCCCTTTGGATGACCAATACTGGATTGTTACTATACCTTGAGCAGCACCAGATCTGTCAACAGAGTTAGCCTCAGATTTCAGTGTGTCCATCAGCCATTTTAGTAATTCATCAAACTTAGCCCCACCAATACCTCGTACCATAGCACCAAGGGCCTTTGCAGATACAGTCCTTACTTCTGGGACAGGGTCCAATAAGGACTGCTTCAATCCTGGAATCAATTTCTCTATATAGGGATCCAAATCCTATCGAATAAATGAAATAATTTTTTTTGTGACAAATAATACAATAGTATATTGATTAAATGATTTTAATCAAGAACAGATAAATAACAGGTTGACATATCCTTAGCCAAAAGCCTTTTATACAGTGGTTGTTGGTGGTTGCTGTCTGGAATTGTTTACTTTTTAAATTGTTTAAGTATAAATCTGGCTGTTGATTTACTCTTTGTAAACTGTTTCACATTTTGTTATCCCAAAACCTTTTAAAGCTTACTATATACAGTACAAGTGTTGATCATTGTTAAAGACTGTATTGTGACCTGTAGTTGTTCAAAACCTTGTACTTTGGTCTTAGATGGATATTTTTTCATTGACAATCATACCACATCTCCTTATTTTCAAATAGACAGAAACGTGAATTTTATTGACCTTTTGATCTGTCAGTGATGACATATTCCCTATAATCTGAGCAGCCATTTTCCTTGTTTCTGTCTGTCTGTCCTGGAAAGCTCTCTCCACTACAGGCATGATCAAAGCTAGAGATGGAGCATCAATAAAATGTACAAACTTTGTCTCTAGTAGTGACTTGAGACATCTCAGCGTCTTCTTAGCAGGATCTTGTAAAGCATCTAGTAGCACTGGTACAATTACTGAAAATATAGAAAAATGTTCCAACAAAATGTAATTTACTTTTGAAGGTCTATTTTAATGATCTGAAAATCCTTCAGCTATTATCTTTGGTCTAATTTACAAATGGTGTTTCCCTGTTTGATTCTTTTTATCATTTCAGTCATAGTTATTAGCCTCAATAAAGATGAAGACTTTGAATAGAGAAAGCATCAATCTTTGATTGTTTTCTCAAAAATTTTCTTTAGATAAAGCTTTCTCTCCCCTTTAGCAATTTAAAAAGTTGACCACTATGAATAGAATACAAAAGAAACTGATCTGGAGTTGATCACAGGTCTTTGATAGTCCCTGTTAGATTTATTCACAAACTTTTCTCAGTGCTATTTATAGCTGACATATGCATATTGTATAAAGGTCTAATGTTAAAGATTGTATGTTTATCTCTAGATGTCCTTTTGTTTTTTATGCTGTTGGCTTATAGTAGCATCAATGTTTTCCCCATTTATCATTTTCTCCATACATTGTTTATAATACTATACATAGTTACATGATAATACCTTGAATTTCAGGATTTTTGATAACATCACCAATCTGTCTGAGAGCCTGAGCTCCTGCTTTCTGAACTTTAACATGAGAATCTGTCAATACTTCAGTTAACTTTGGTACAATATTGGGTAAACAGGCAGACAGTTGTTTCGGTGCACAGTAGGCCATAGCTCCCAGTAACTCTACAGCGCCTATAATTTATAGAAATACATTGAGAATTGTATGAATTTTCTTAAAATGTTTTTATTACATGTAAGCATAGTAGTATATCTATAGATAAATGATCACGTTCAATGGTATATTTCTAATTTGCTTTGAAAGCTGTCGATCGCACGTTTCAAATTAAATGCATGTAATTTTGCAAAAAGATGTATCTATGTTAAGGGCTATTCCATTAAAATGTATGTGGGAGGGTAGGAAGGGACTTTCAAAATATCCCTACAACCAAGAACCATTTTGTAGATAATTTTGCATAATGGTAATAGACGCATACTGAAAAAAGACCCATGACCCACATTAAACTTCCCTTCCTACCCTCCCACATACATTTTAATGGAATAGCCCTAATGAGCATGAAATTAAGATATCTTTTTTGTGACTCTTTTCACTGCTTATTGTCAAGTACTTGTACAACTACCAAAACATATTTATAAGATAAATGTTATTCACTTATTTCTAAATAAGTGTCCATTTTGATATTTTTCTTGTCTATTAAAACTAATATGTATGTATGCTCTGTATAAGCCTCTTTTTTAAGGAGCACCACCATGATATATGGTGTAAAGGAGGATATTTAAGAGACTGTATTAGCACAGTTTAATGTGAACATTTACTTATCAAGTTCACAAGCCTGGCCGTGTTTGGTCCTTCTACCAGAAAAGTATGTAATGAATAAAATGTTTTATAATTAATTTCTTCAATGACACCTTTACACAGTATTTCTTTAAATCTTACCTGCTTTCGTTCTCCATGCATCTTCTTCCAACCCTTTAAGTAAAGATGGTAGCACTAATTTAACACCATGTGCAGTGAGCATGCCCATTACACCTCTTGCTGTATCATCAGCTGCCTACAAACACACATCAAAAATAAACAACTATCCTGTAGCTATAGCAACAGTATAGATGAATAAAACCATAGATATTCACAATACAGATTGTTTCATCTAATTAAATACATGATAGAACATTTTCCATTCTGCAAGATAATATTAACTATTGTCATATAGAGTATCTGTTGAAACCTGTTTTAAAAACAAATTTTTTTTAATTGAATTTAACAAGTTAACAATTGAAAGTTCTATAGGTTTATATTCATAACTTAACATTTTGCCTGTACATCAGTTATGTTTAATGAAAATGAAAATATGTATGTATGAGTGGATGGCCTTACCTCTCTCACATACTGGCTACTATCTCCAAAACACAGCAGTAAATGTGGCAATATGTGGACAACATAAGGTTCAAATAACTTGCCTAACATAGTACATAACATCTCATAGGCAAACAAAGCACCTGAAAGTGTATCAAAGGTTTATTATTGACAAATATTTTACCTTTTCTGTCCAGTCAGCTCATAGAGAAGTATTTAACCAAGTTGTCAAACACAGGACACAACATTCACTTTCTTTTTATTAATCATTTGTCTTACTTGTGCTTGTATCACTAGGTTTAGCACTTTATAAGATCAAATATGCTTGACCTGCCAGACTTATCACTAACATCATAATGTTTGACCAGAACTGATTTTTTGTTTTGTTTTTTTTTTAAAGAAGGAAAACTTTTGTCTGAAGACAAAAAAAAAACCCACACAAATACAATCTGATAAATTGAAACAAAACCAGGATGGAACATCTTTTACCTTCTCGTTTTCTGGGATTCTTTTTATCCTTAACAGCATCTTCTAGCCTGGACATGATTTCTTGTTGTTTCAAAGCAGTAATACCAAGACCTCTGACCAGCCCAGCCAAACCATACGCTGCTCCCTTCCTTTCTCCATAATTATCAGAGTCTAGTAATAACTGCATCAGTCTCTGTACCAGTTCTGGAGCATCACTTCTAATTCCAGGGATAAGGGGAGGTAAACAGTTAGCAACAGATTGTTGTACCTAGAAAAAAGTTTATATTTCATACAGTCTTTAATACAGTTATATGTATAAGTGGCTTTTAAAATATTTGGTATAAATGGAGAATGTGTCCATGGGACGCAGATGATGCCACCGCTTGCATATAACGTTATAAAGGGACATATTGGTAAAAGTGACGTAACCCAAATTTGATCTGTGTTTTGTGGTCTTTAGGAAGACATGTAGCCGTTTCCAGACACCTTATTCTGACTCCATGCCAAACCAGTCTTTAATATTATTTCTTAATGCTGTGCTTGGCAGAGAAGAAACAAATATCAATTTTCAAAAAATTGGTTAAACCTGGACAGGGAACAAACCCTAAATTCCCTCACTCCAAGCGGTTCAGGATTAAAAATATAATACGCATAATTCAAAATATTTTAAGCCACTTGGATTTTCAAGTTTAGATTAACCAATTTATATTCACCTTCTCATCCGAACTAAAATTGTCACCTATTTAGCTACAAGCAATAATAAACCTTCTAACACTTTAATACCTCTTGTGAAGGGGTTGATAAAGCACCAATTAACTGAGCCACAATAGGTTTGATTTTCGGATTGTCTTTATCTAAATGTTTAGCCAGACATCCCATCAGGATGACAATACTCTGTCTGACTGCATCGTTACCAGCGGTATCTGGTGCACTACTCAGGAAATCTTCAAATACTGGTAACAATATGTTCACATTCTCCTACAAGTATAAATACTGGTAAAAATGTGTTCATGTTCTCCTACAAATACAAATACTGGTAATAATGTGTTCACGTTCTCCTACAAATACAAATACTGGTAATAATATGTTCACGATCTCCTACAAATACAAATACTGGTAATAATATGTTCACATTCTCCTACAAATACGAATAGGGTAAAAAATGCTTCATAATTAATTTTTTTCACAACAGTTAACAAATTGGTTTAAAATCACCACATCTTATGTGCCTATTCCAAATCAGAAACTGCATCAGTGAATGTTGTCGTTTTTGTTTTGTTTTGTCCATTTTAGAATTGGTGTTGTTGTCAATGCTTTTTTATGTTGAAATTCATTAGTAACTTGTTGACTCAAAAGTTATTTTGAGCTTGTTGTAAGATGTGCACACTTTGACTACTAATGAGAACGTGGACCTTAAATTGACTGTTTAATGGTGTACATATGTAGCTGAATTCATGACTCACTGCCATTTTTACTTGCTCTACTTTAAATATAGAAAAGAACATGAATTTTCCTTATTAGCATTATTACTTTCCTACCAACAGATCATTATATATTGGTTTCAAAAAGAAAAAAAAATAACTGATGGTTTTCAATTTAAATTGTGGAGATTGACTAATTGACTCATAAATGGTACACAACACACTGACACATGATCACTTAAGGTGGTACCTAACACTACAGGGAGATAACTCTGTAAAAATCAGCTAAACGTTTTAATTACGTTGTATTGTTAAGGAAATATTAAGCTTCTCAATGATCAAAATTAGTGTTTGTCAAACTGCTATATAACCAGTGAAATTTTTCTGATAAAGTGGTTGGTTCAAATTTTTTGAAATTTTTATATTTCTGTCAAAGGGTCAAAGTAAACATTTTGTCAAAATTTTATGAAAATTAAACGAGCCAAATTAATATTAGTCAAGGTGTTGGGTATCACTTAAGTGACTTTTTCAGTGGGTTACTTCTCACTTCAACATTCTGGATTGATAAATATTATGAAGTACTAAATCATACCTATTTGGATCTATTGAAGATTTATTATTTACCTTCTTATCAATTTCCGTAGATCCAGGAAAAATTGTGATTTCATGGATACTTCATTTTGTGGTTTTACTTTGAAGTACAAGGCTATTGGCAATTTGCACTTTGTTGAACATTTAAAATTTGTGGTTCAAGTATACCCACAAATTCCATGTAAATTTTTTTCCCATGAATAATAATGAATCCACAGTATAAATAGACACCTTCAAATGATGTCTAAATACTTAAAGTTCAGACAATTTAACATAAACCCAATGTAAGTATCAAATATTTTGGTGTATCTGTTAACCATACCTTTCCATGAGTATTTATAACAGCTAATGCAGCTTCCCTCATACGGGACCTCACTTCTGGTGCCCTGTCTGATAAGGCATCTGGTACATAGAAAGAAAACAACTCTTCTATTTGATCCTGGGGTACCAGTGGAGCTATACTCTCCATGGCATATGCAATACCACTTCTGGACTGATAATTATCTGGTGGTGGCTCTCCTATTACACGACCAAATGTGTCCAGTTCTGGTGGGGGAAGCTATTTGGAAATAAATACAAACATATTTATATATAAATAAGAACCATTTGAATCACTGAAAGGTATTCAGATAAAATGAGATTTTTTGTGATTAAAAATAGGGAATTAAGTATACCAGAGTTCTGCTAAGATTACAGAATATATACTTTGAATGGTGAGTCTTGGCATTGTAACCAAATTACACATAATTTGTATGGACATCTACTTTAATAATGTTATTGATATTTTAATTTGTATGGACATCTACTTTAATAATGTTATTGGAATTTTCCTAAATATGACTTTCATCTTTCTTTGTGATAATTTTCTATCTCATACTACTCTTCTGAGATAAGTTTTCATCAGTTTAGTAGAGTGAAAACATGATGACATCATTGACATTGCCTAGGAAAATTGTGACAAACAGATTATCTATGGTATTTCATACGCGAGGAAGTCTCTGGGCTGCATATCATCTAAGAGTTGTCTCCCTTCTATGAAATTGTAGTTGTGAAGCTCCCTCTACTTTTCATAACCATAGATAATTCAGTATTCAGATTACAGTATTGATGTACCACAGATAATGGTAAATGTTAGTATACTAGAAGAGAATTTGCTGTGATTTTTCATTTTTGAGTTCTGCTATGAAAGCAATGAGTTGTCAGCAATGAGAAGAGTAAATAATGTTATTGTAAATCAATGCTAGGCTTTGCCAATTTTAATGTATTTCAATGTTATCCTTAATGGATTGATAACCTGCTTCCAAATTTCTGACAAAGACATTCAATTTCTGTTCTCGTAGCTATGATGTATACATGATGGTGACCACAGTTTTGTGAATTGCATATAGTTTATGTTTATATTTGTGTCTAGTTTTTCTATACTGTGATTTACTAAGAACAGTTACTCAGAATGTTGTGACTCGTATAACTTATCCTGTGACTAACATAAAACCTATCTTGATATTTATCTTGGAGAGTTTTGCTGTACTGTGATTTACTCAGGTTGTGACTCAGCACTTTTTGACTCGTATAATATATCTAGTGACTTACATATAATTTTTCATTTTATTTATCTTTGAGTTCTGCTATTATAGCTTTTATGTACTCGGAGTTAGGACTCTTGGCTTAATGACTATAATTTATTCTGTGACTTACATATAATTTTTCATTGTATTTATCATTAGTTCTGCTATTGTAGCTGTTATGTACATGTACTCGGTGTTATGACTCTTGGTTTAATGACTATAATTTATTCTGTGACTTACATATAATTTTTCATTATATTTATCTTTGAGTTCTGCTATTGTAGCTGTGATGTACTCTGGGTGGTGACTCAGGGTTTTATGTAGTGCTTTAGCGGCTGCCCTCTGGATAGTTTCCTCAGGATAAACAACATCAGCAGCTAAGGGAGTACACATGTCTTCATAAGGTTCCTCTAACATCAGCTTCTCTCTCAGTCTAGAAAATGTCATCAATTAAGTTACAAGATTTGAAGGAAATACTGGACATTATACAGGGATAATAAAATGTCAACTGTTTTTTTTTCCATAGAAATTTCTTAAACATTAATATGTAACTAGCCTGTTATTTATACCAGTACTGTAAACTTGTAATATTATAGTGTATCAAAAACATAACTTTGTATATCATTGGTTAATAATGTGTGGTATATATCATCTTTACCAATTTATTTACTAAAATCTATTAAATGTTTCCAAATTCCCATATTTTCTCTTTAAAATTAAAATCAAATCTTCGTACTTAAAAAACTCTCAAGTCAGATGCTAATGACCACTAAAAATTTATCATTTTCAGAAACGACACTACCCATGATTTATTTCATGTGAAAAACTCTACCACTTAAATATAATATATCTATCTATTTTTCCAAATACAGTTCTCCTACTTACTCCTCTGCCAGTTTCTGAACATTTTCATCATTATCAAAACATGCCACCCACACTCTCTGTGCCACTTTCAATCCCAGTTCATAATTATCATCGATATTAGGCAGTGTTCCCGACAAACATTTCAAACTTTGAACAGCAGCATCCCTACCAGCTGTACACGGGGACATCAGTGCATCAAGTAATATGTTAATTTCCTCTGGAGTAGCCTTGGCACACCCATCCTCACCAGAAATACTCTCAGCAACTTCTGTTAGTCCTACACTTGCCATTTGTTGTAATTTTGATACACTTGTTGTAATGACTTGTAATAATAATTTCAACATTTGTTCTTGTGGTAGCAGAGATGGATCACTCTGAAATTAAAATGTGTCATAATTTCATAATGCTTCAAAGATAGCTTGTTATTTTCTTCTGTAAATACTAAAATTAAAGTAACATTTGGATTTCAACTTTTGCAGTTTGTTGAAAAATAATCGATTTGTGGATTTTTCAATTTTGTTAGATCTAGATGAGAATGCATTTCATTGGGTCATTTTATCTGTGTCATAAAAGAAAATCATTCCCAAAAAGAAATCTTCTTCATTTACAGTAGTTCTTACAGTGATATTTTAATTTGTGTCCTACTTTTCACATTTTGTCTGGCTGGATTGAAAGTCAAAGGGACATGCAGAATAAGTTTTTCAATCATTAAGAAACTGGCTGGACATAAATCTCTCTTTTTGACTGACTGTCTTACTTGTGTACAGGAACACTTTCTGGTCATAAAAATGACAGATCTGAGTTGTCCTCTGTTTATACCCAGAGATTTAAATTCCTACTGGGGATGCATACATTACAAAAGGGAAGTCCTGATTTATCTGGAGTTCTTTTATTTTCACAGCACACAGCAATCAATCTTTTTAAAACCTTATGGATGGCACTAAAAATTTCTGTATTCATATGAAAATTCTATTCTGCAATGTTTTGTATTTACTGGAATAGAGCACCATTATAAGTGCCAGTCCCAAGTTTTCCCATTTGAATGGTTTTACACTAGTAATTTTTGGGGGCCTTTATAGCTTGCTGTTCGGTGTGAGACAAGGCTCCATGTTAAAGACCGTACTTTGACCTATAATGGTTTACTTTTATAAATTTTGACTTGGATGGAGAGTTGTCTCATTGGCACTCATACCACATCTTCTTATATCTATGATTGACATTCAGGAATTATTCTACAGACGACAGTTTTCCAAAAGTTACCAGTGTACTGTAAATTCTGAAATTATTACAAGGTTTTTATTTATGTGAATAATGCGTCTGGATAGCAATAATCAGAAGTTGCATTATATTATCTGATACATAGATGTATGTCTGTAGACAGCTTTTCCAGAAATCGCAATAATAAATCTCGCATTTTTGTCCATTCTTCAAAAATTGCAATAATAAATGCATGCAATAATTTCTGAATTGACAGTATACATGGTATATGGATAGATCGATAACTTGTCTGTGTTTAATGCTACTTTCAGCACTCTTGGTTATACATGTATCAAGGCGGCCAGCTGTTTTGGAGGAGGCAGGCACAGTACCTTGAGAGAACCACAAACCTTTTGACAAACTGGTAATCCTAGTCAATCTAAATTGCAGTCGCACAAACCTTGCAACAAGCAGGGTTCAAACTAACAACCATAGAGTTGACACGCTAGTGATCACTGTAGACAAACTACTGTGGGTTCATTTATTTTCGTGGATTGAGGAGTATATTTGATTTCATGGTTTTGCCAATGTCTGCGTACAAGGCATTAGAACATTTATAATTCGTTGAACATTTAAATTCGTAGTTCAACTATTCTCACGAAGACCACGAAAAATTAGTATCCAATGCATAATAATGAATCTACAGTACTTAGACCATTTGTCCATCTATGCCCCATGTATATGATATTGAGTACATTAGATTTCAGTGTAAAAAGAATTCTCACTTTCCTTAATTAAAACACTTAGGAATCATAGATTTATTTTTAGGAGCAAGCTCCGAGCATACTCGGAGGATGCTCGGACCTTTTAAGTAGGCTCTTCTCAGCATTTAATGTGACAATAATTATCATGATCCATTAAGATGTCAATCAAATCTACACCACTTCTATGATAAGGAAAGTAGAGCATTATAGAGGAAGCTCCATAAACACCTGTGTAAACATCTGGTCTATTCAAATACATTTTGCATGAAATTTTACAAAACTATAAAATAGATTAGAAATTTTTCAACAGTGCTGTGTAATGCGTGGAAAGAAATCTCAAGTCTCCACAAAAAGTAAAAGTCATTTAAATATATTCTTATTATATTTAATAATCATTCCTTTTTTTATAATAAAAAAATTCTCAAATTTTATAATTATATGATATGATTTAATAAAATGCTCCGCAGGGCGCAGCTTGATACGACCGCAGAGGTCGAACCCTGAACAGTTGGGGCAAGTATGGACACAACATTCAAGCTTGATACAGCTCTGAATTTGGATTGTGATTAAATATTTGACACAGCATAGGTTTCTGACACAGAATGAATGTGGTCTAAGAACTTAAAAATTTTAAATTGGACATTCACCTATTATGGTCCAATATCCAAAATCTAAATACATGGTTAGATTCAGCATATCAAAGAACCCCAAGAATTCAATTTTTGATGAAATCAAACAAAGTTTAATTTTGGACCCCGATTTGGAACAACTTGAAAACTGGGCCCATAATCAAAAATCTAAATACATGTTTAGATTCAGCATATCAAAGAACCCTAAAAATTCAATTTTTGTTAAAATCAAACTAAGTTTAATTTTGGACCCTTTGGACCTTAATGTAGACCAATTTGAAAACGGAACCAAAAATTAAGAATCTAAATACACGGTTAGATTCGGCATATCAAAGAACCCCAATAATTCAATTTTTGATGAAATCAAACAAAGTTAAATTTTGGACCCTTTTGACCTCAATGTGGACAAAGTTGATAACAGGGCCCAAAAATCAAAAATCTAAATACATGGTTAGATTCAGCATATCAAAGAACCCCATATATTCAATTTTTGTTGAAATCAAACAAAGTTTAATTTTGGACCCCGATTTGGACCAACTTGAAAACTGGGCCCATAATCAAAAATCTAAATACATGTTTAGATTCAGCATATCAAAGAACCCTAAAAATTCAATTTTTGTTAAAATCAAACTAAGTTTAATTTTGGACCCTTTGGACCTTAATGTAGACCAATTTGAAAACGGAACCAAAAATTAAGAATCTAAATACACGGTTAGATTCAGCATATCAAAGAACCCCAATAATTCAATTTTTGATGAAATCAAACAAAGTTAAATTTTGGACCCTTTGGACCTCAATGTGGACCAATTTAAAAACGGGGCCCAAAATCCAAAAACTTAATACACGGTTAGATTCAGCATATTAAAGAACCCCAAGAATTCAAGAATAAAACCCCATTGAAATTGATCAAGAAATAAGCAATTTATACGAAGTATCTTCTTTTGCACAATACTGTGCAATTGAATATTTCTTGCTATTGCGCAATACTGTGCAATTGACAATTTCTTGCTATTGCGCAATATTGTGCTATTGGATATTTCTTGCTATTGCGCAATACTGTGCAATTGAAGATTTCTTGCTATTGCACAATACTGTGCAATTGAAGATTTCTTGCTATTGTGCAATACTGTGCAATTGAAAATTTCTTGCTATTGCACAATACTTATTAGATAATAATTTACACATCCTGTTTGGTGTGTATCTCCTACCATATCATTATTATTTGCTTTTAAATATTAATCAGAAATAACCAACTTAAAATGGAAAATTTTAAAAGAAAAAAAAAAGGAAAAAAAGAAAAAAAAAGAAAAAAAAAAAATCCCCCCCCAAATTTTTTGAACCCCCTTATGATTCATCACCCCCAAACTCAATCCCAGCCTTCCCTTTGTGGTATGGTACCTTGAAGTACAATTTCAGAGAGATCCATACACTTGAACACAAGTTATTGTCTGGAAACTAGAAAAATGCTTATTTTTGGCCCCTTTTTGGCCCCCAATTCCTTAATGTTTCGGGCAATTACCCCCAAACTCAATTCCAGCTTTCCCTTTGTGATATTGAACCTTGTAGTACAATTTCAGAAATATCCAAACACTTACACACAAGTTATTGTCATGAAACTAGAAAAATGCTTGTTTTTTGCCCCTTTTTTGGCCCCTAATTCCTAAAATTTTGAGGCAATTACCCCCAAAATCAATTACAGCCTTTCCTTTATGATATGGAACCTTGTGGTACAATGTCAGAGAGATCCATACACTTACACACAAGTTATTGTCTGGAAGTTACAAAAATGCTTATTTTTGGCCCCTTTTTGGCCCCTAATTCCTTAACTGTTGGTACCATAACCCCCAAAATCAATCCCAACCTTCCTTTTGTGGTATTGAACCTTATGGTAAAATTTCATGGAGATCCATTCACTTAAACTAAAGTTAGAGTGCGAAAACCAATGTGTCTTCGGACGACGACGACGACGACGACGACGCCAACGTCATACCAATATACGACCAAAAAATTTTTAATTTTTGCGGTCGTATAAAAATAGTTTATATTATATAATATGCTACATAAAAGTTATCAAGACACAAACAACAGTCAGGTGGCAATACTAAACAAGTAATTTTTTTTTAGTCACTTTTATAAGTATTTTTTGTTTTTAAATTTTTTTTAATAACTCAATAGTTATTTTAAATGTCAAATAAAGCATGGACTAAATGTAGTTTTTAAGAATTTTTATATCATTTCATTAAATAAAATTAAGTATTTATCCAATTTTAGGTGAGTATAGAGAGGTTACTTTAAAAAATAATGACAAAAATATTACTTTAATAAATTATTTTATACAACTTTAAAAAACTTAGTACTTACAATTATTTAAGGAATATATGTAATTGCTTTTGATTTAGATTCAAATTATATATAACTTCAAGTCTTAATTAAAGGTTCCATATCTAGTTATAACTGTCTTTCTCTAAGATTTTAAGGGGAAATGATATCTTAATAGCCCCAAGGGGCCAATCTTTGACCAAGAAGTGTGGCATCAGAAAAGCAATTAGTGCTTGTTGAGGATTTAAATAGTTTTACCAGTATATTTCATGGGGAAAATAACCAGATGTCTGTGAAAATTTGTTAAAGCTAGTAAAACCTGTATGAATGGACACCTATAAAAATAAAATTAACAGAAGTTACTTATTCATGATATAGAAGTAATATTTGAAACAGCCTTGTTTTCAACATAACTTGTATAGGTAATTTTGAAAATTACTTGTTTAAGTAATGCCTCTAACTAAACAATGGTAATATGGTTTTTTTTTAAATAGCAAACTAAGTTCTTTTATAGAAAATTATGGCTACTTTAAGAAAAGTTGTAATTCATTACTGGAAGCCTGGTTTGAGGGGGTAATACCACCATTGTTTTCCCTCTAGTACGTCTCTCTTTACTTGGCTTTTTTTTTAATTGTGCAGATTTAGCTTTGTTTTAAATAAAGAAATATTTGGCATGAGTAAAATTATTTTCCCCCTATAAGTCTTTGTTTAATTGTCATGATTGTTATATTTCCAAAAAAATGTGCAGAATTTATCTATGTTTTAAATAAAGAAATACTTGACATAAATAAATGTCCTGTACTACAGTGAAAATATAGCATAACTTTTCAGTGCATATAAGAAAGTAAACATCACCAGAAGTTAACCAATCAAATTCTCTCCCCCTTTTTTCCCTGTAGAATATAGTATATTTTTATTGCTTTGAAACACCCAAGAAATATGTTTACGACTCAAAAAAACTTTTCTGCAATGAAATGGAGGGTTAATTTCAAACAACTGTCAAATTAAATGGAATATAAAAAAAGATCAACCCTTTTTCGCATGAAACTGAATGTACTATGTTTTGGTAGTATGGTTATAAATCAATAACCATAGTTTGTGTCTTTGATGACATTTATATTTCATTTTATATAGTATAAACTTAAAATATATTTGTATTTCAAATATAAAATTTGAGTGTTCTTTTGTATCATGTGTATTGAAAAAGAATAATTATTAAGAAAATGTTTTAAAATCATTTTCTTTCTGTGAAGACTTGATACCAAGCATTGTACAGTAATATTGAAGAATTTCTCATCTATTTTATAGTTTGTAAAATTAATGCAAGATTTGTTTGATTACACCAGATGTTTACACAGGTGTTAATGAAGCTTCCTCTATAATGCTCTACTTTCCTTATTATAAAAGTGCTAAAGATTTGATTGACATCTTAATGGATCATGATAATTATTGTCACATAAACTGCTGAGAAGAGCCTACTTAAAAAGCTCTGAGCATCCTCCGAGCATGCTCGGAGCTTCCTCGTAAGAATAAATCTATGATCCCTAATATTTTAACATATTAAAATCAAAATAGTAGTCTACATGTTCCTTCTATTTTCATGCAACAGAATTTTCAAATTTATTTTTCTGTTAGCCTGTAAAATTTCATTAGAAGTCAAACTAAAAAATACTTGTAATCCTATACTCACATCAGAACCATCTGTACTTCTCATTTCTGAGTGAGCCGAGATCAGTACTATTGCTTTTGACTGTGGTTCTATGTCCTTTGCAACCACTTCACCGCCACTTCTTAGTACACAACTTAATAAATAGTAAAAGAATGTAAAAGTGAATGCTGGGAAAAGTTTGTTTTCATCATCATTATCATCATTATCAGATATGGACAAGGCATATAAACAGTTGACAACTCTGGTTCCTTGTTCGGCTGGTGATTCTTTTGTCCATTCAGAGTTTACTTCTGATTCTGGTTTCTGTAATCTCAATGTCACATTACTGACCAAATTTCCTAAAATTTAAATAGATTTCTCAATTCAATAGTAAGTTTTTAAAAGAATTTAACTTCTGAATTCAAAGACTAAAGTTTACAGATGAAATTCTGACTAAATTGTTTTTCTCATGATCTATTTGTGAAATAAAACTAAAATACATGCAATTTTTTTTTTCTATTCACGAACCTAGTATTTATTGTTACATGCCTCAGTTTTTATAATCTACAGATATCTGTATGATGTGTAGCATGAACACCTACATTGTAGATTTTTTTATCATGTTTATAAAATGCATATACTGCTGCACTTTTAACTTTCAGAATACAATTTGTTCTAATTACATATATTAATTAATGCATATTAATGATGACTACCAATTATACAACAAAACAATTAGGAAATTTCTGAGAAGTAGATGGTCCAGGAGGGGGGGACTAATACTCCCTCTGATGAGATGCAGAAAGACTTCTTTAACATAGAACAACCAAAAGCAGTTGAGTCATTTTTTTCAATTAAAGAACCTTTGTGAGCACGCTCACATACCCCACATTGTCACTGGACAAACAAAATCTCACCAGATTCCTAAGTTCAAAGACTCATAACTCTACAAAAGTCAACTGATGAAAATTTTCTTGTGGATATGCACAGGAGTTGCGATGACAAACTGTTGCAGTAGTATATTGAGGCCAATAATTTCAAAGGGGCACAAGTCCTTGAAAAAAAATTAAATCATAATTTCCTGTCGATATGCACATTTACATAGTATGTCCTTATTATCTACAAAGTTTCATGAAATTCTGTTGTGTGGTTTCAGAGGAGTTGCGATGACAAGAACAGGACTGACGGACGGACGTACAGACAGACGGACGGGTCAAAAACATTATACCCTCCGCAACTTCGTTGCGTGGGGTATAATTACTCAATAGGAGGCCAATTAATTGGAACATAATTTTTTAAACCATCAAAATAAAATTCTTAGCTCACATGTCTAATAAACATAACATACAATATTTAACAGTGTATTATTAACAAAGGATGTCTGTCATAGAAATGTGAAAGACAATATTTGTCCTTAAGCATTGCTAAGTGTGCCTTTAATCAGAAACTTCTGATCAGATTTGTTCAGTATCTGTATTTGCTGTTTTGTTATTAAACCATGCTATCCATTATACAGCCTTTCAAGATATGTAAGCTTGCTATAAAATGCTACGGATGGTAATGTGCAACTTTTAATAATTTTTTAAATGATCAATTTCCATCTTATTCTAAAAAGACAACTCATTCAAGATTAATTATCATTCGGCATATTTGAAATCACTGATTCTTGCTCCACTTTGAGTAAAGAGCGTGTCTGACAACACATGGTCAAAGTTAGTGTATCTTACCTAACTGTTTGTCATCAAATGAGGCCTGACCTAAGTCTAGGAATACCTGGCTGACCTGGGGAGCAGCTAGGGGGGATTGTAACAAGGGTACAATGAGTTTACATAAGTCCTTCATGTATCTACAAAGTGACTGTTTGTCACCGGTTAAAGCTGCCTCTAATATCTGACATCCACAGCACAACTCTTGGTTCAGCTGAAAAAAACAAATGATTATAATATTTACTCTAATCGTCATGAATACAGCCATACCATATTCATATTTTTATCATTTAATCTTTTCAAATCATTGTTCCTACCTACCAAATTGTTTTCAAGTAACAGTCTAAATTTCCAACTCTTCATCCCTACTGTCTCATCTTGTAGAACCTACCTATTGTATTTATTGTTAATAGTTTCTCGTCCAGAATATGCATGAAATAATTGCCACTGGACATTATGCAAGCAAACAATCAATTGATCAGTCAAATCCTTGAAGGAACAATTAATATTATTATACCTTACATATATTTCAAACAATTCTATTGGGTAAAACGTTATCACGTGACATGGAATAATTCAGTTAATTTTCATTCAATTGCAAGGAAGAACAAATAACCCTAAAAATTTACACCAGCATTGAATAACCCTATTATTCACCAGCGAATAACCTTTTTAGTTTGTTGATTTGTACCCATGAAAATGACGTCACAGACGTAAATAAACAAAATGGCAACGTTCAAGTTACAGGAAGACTATTGATCGAGAGAAGAGGAAATAAGGCTTTTGACGTGAATCTTGTACCAATGATATCTCTAATAACGGTCCTTTTCAGGGCCATCAATATTTTACAAAAAGAATCTCCCTTTGTTGTACATACGAGAATTCTAAGACACAAATGATATGTATTTTTGAACGTCAACTTGTGTTTGTTACTGACTCAAGTAAGGGTAAGTGCTTTTACAATGATTCAAAATGCCCTTCCACTGTTAGTTCGGTATAATAAAACAATTGTGGCCCCTTAGAAGCGATGAATATCCAAAATTGTCAACCCTTAAAAGTTATTTCACTTGGGCTGCGCCCTCAGTGAAATAACCTTCTCGTGTTGACAATTTTGGATATTCACCTTTTCATAATATTGTGAACAAATGACCAAAATAAATTTTCAGCAAATTTTCATTCCAACAAATAGTTCCTGTAGCAATTTAAAAGATTTGATCATTTGGCCATATCTAAGATTTAACAAATATAACCTTTGCTAGAGGTTAATTTGCCACTGTAACTGCAAATTAATATTTGGGGTACATATCTAAAATGTTTGAAAGTTAGGATTTATAAGTCAAAAAGCTCTGAAAATTGCAGGTATTATTTTGGATGCATATCCTAAGAAGTCAATAAAATCTTAAAATGAATTCCTAACTTCCAAAGAAGATTTATACATTAGAATTTTATCAAATGGACAAAAATACATGTAGGTGTTATGTTTCTTTTGGCACTCAGTACATCAATAATTCCAATTTCATAATTTAAATTTTTGAAGTACTTAATACTAAAAGTAAATATTATACCCAAGAATTAAATGTAAAATGGCTCTAAGCTATAATTAAATGCAATTTAAGTTGCCTTCCCTGGGTCCCATAAATTTTTTTATGGAACAGCCCTTAGTATGAAAACTCTTCAATGATCACATGAAAGTAATGTTGACGTCAGGTGATAACTGTGAAATTGACACGTACACCTTACACATTTTAAATAACAATTAAATAATTTTATCACAAAAACTGAACCTGATCACTATACCATGACTACACAACTAAACAATAAATAGTATCCATACCTCTGTTAGCCTGGATCTGATCTTTGATTCCTTTTCTCTCTGAGCCTCTAACATTTCTTCTTGCTTCTTAGTTAACTTTGGTTTAGTTTCCTTTACAGATTTTCCTTTCTTCTTGTCAAGTTCCTAATTAAAAAATCAGAATAGAAAATTACTAGATATCATAGTTCAATAAATAATCAAGCAGAAAGACATGTTGAATATGTTAACTCATCTAGAGGAAAAAATATGATTGTCTCTTTTAATATCTTAGTATTTTTGGTTCTTTGAGTAATTAAGGGCTGTTCTAGAACTAAATGCATGTGGGGATAGGAGGCGCTTTTTTAAGACACCAACCTCCCATAATAAAAAAAAAAATATTCATTTTATGTTACTTATAATTCTTACAAAATTCAAAGGAAAATGCAACCACCCATATTTAATTAATTTGAGTGCCTCCCATCCTCCCCACTGTTTTATTTTGGAACAACCCTAAGTGGTAATGACATAACAATGGTAGTTGCTGTTCAATCTATATGCAATTTGTCTAGACTAGTAGTGATTTAGAACTAGACATATGGAATACACATTTAACTATTGCTGAGTACCATAAGTTGACACCTAGATGTCACTTTTGCTTTTATTGTGTTGCTTTCTCACTGACATTAACATAATATCTCCTTCTATCCATCATAAATTTTGTATCAAGCAACCCAGGTAAAAAAATAAATGTTACACAATGTGCACTTACTTAAATCCTCTGAAAACATTAAATGAATTTGTTCATATTGTTAACTTCTCTGACTTACTTTTCTTAGTTCTATTTCAGCCATTTGTTCAGCATAGGAGTACAGTTTATTTTCTCTTTTAATATTTGCCTGCTTGCTATCATCATTTTTCTCAAATCTGTAAAACAAATTGTACAATATGACAAGATTTATTACAAGTCATTTTTTAAAACTAAAGTATGGTTTGATGATGATTGAATGCCATAGTGCATCAAAATGACTTTTATTATCTGTTCCTTATATACATGTATGTGAAACTTACAAGACAGACTGGCAAATCTATACAGTAATATCTCTTTGAAAAAACAATATCTCCATTGGAACAGGGCCTAATCTTTAAAAAAGTCTTAGAAGTCACTTCTTTCTTTTCCCCTCCAAAATCCAAGGTTAGGCCCTGCCTTGAAAATGATTTGGACTTTTACTTTTGCACAAATTTTTGTTATTCTCAGTGTGTATTAGTTTTCAATGTTTATAGTAAGATATATTATCTACTATAAAACAGTGCACGTTTTAATCTTTTTGTAGGTATTGGCAAAACAGTAAAAATTACATGTAATACACTGTGAAAATTATGGCTGTTCTGTAAAACATACTAAGGACCCAGCTAAGGAAACTTGAATTTGCTACCAAGGTTGGATAAGAAATATGGGTAGTTACCGTATATCGGGTTTTTTTTCGCGTCCGCTTTTTTTCGCGATTTAATGACAAAATGGGCAAGTTAAATTTTCATTGTGTATAATTTCGCTGAATGGGAAAAAACACGCGAAAAAATCACCATATTGAATTGTTAAAGATGTAAACTTGATTGACTGAGAGAAAATTGATAACAAGTAAATACGAGTACTACACACTTAAATACATGTAATGTTTGGGTTATGACAACACTCAATTGGTCATCGCTAGCTACCGTAACATATTTGAACATGTCACTGATTGCTGTGTTGTCTAAAGGGATGACATGTATGATTAGTCAATTTAATTATTATGAAAACAGAGATCTTAATGAATGATGTACACTTTTGTGATCTGCCGATAAACACAAAAGACTGATTTTAAAGATAATGTAATTTCACTTTTAGAGTGATATGAGTTTGCATATCAATTTCGTGTAAACTCGACAATTAATAGTATAATGTATGAAATGTTTAGACAGCGATCAATCTAGGAATATGCAGGGAAATTTACGCGGGGTCAAATTTTCGCGTTTCTTTAGGTGCTGCGAACAAAGCGAAAGTTAAACACACGCGAAAAAAACTCGATATACGGTATTCTATTTTCAAAGTGCTTGTTGCCATGTATGTTTATTGGAACAGCCCTTCATAATTTACAGAACTTATTGAAATTGGATATTTATTAAATATTACAAGTCATTTAACATATTTTAGACTTACTTTTCTAACATAGATTTATCAAATAGCTCTCCATCAGGAGTTAGAAAAATACCATATTCCTCTCTTGTGATTACTGTCAGTTCTGCATTGCCTAATAACCGTGATACATACTGGATCATAGGTGGCAGCACTATATCTGGAGCTATTCTAACTAAACACGAGAAGGCATTTTTGCTACTCTGAAATAAAACAAAACTACAACATATTTTCATACTTTTAAAGGAGAGTAATATGTTGACTGAGTTGGCTAAACCAACAATACAATTTAACATAATAAGCACTCCTTTTATTGACAAGAACAAGTTGCAATTCAATCAACTGAAACTGTCATAAGAGCCTGAAATTCACAAACATACAGGAAATGTTATAATACTTGAAATTTGACCTGGAAAACGTTAAGGTGATTATGAGTATAGGTGTATTCAGGAAGTGCCCACGATAATTATAAGGTTGATTAAAGGTGTAAGTGTATCAATTTTTATCCATCAGGTTAAAAACCAAACATTAAACTTCTATGTCATTTGGTCTCTGGTGGAGAGCTTTTGTGAGCCAAAATTTGTTCCTGTGATAAAAGTTCCAGTGGAACAAATATCACATGAAATATATTCTGGGAGAACTTTTTTCACAGACAATTTCTATTTAATTTGTTCCATCTCTATAAAATAAGTTCCACACTTTACCTGGTGAAATAAGTTCTGGGTTTATGAAATTTGTTCCTTACATTGTGAAATAAGTTCCTATTCTATGAAATTTGTTCCTTACCTGGTGAAATAAGTTCCTAATCTGTGAAATATGTTCCACTGGTTATACAACTTATCTTTAATAATGAGCATTGTCATTAGTGAGTTTAAAGTTATCATTCAAGTACATTATAAAACAAGCATTACATTGATAATATATAATAATAAAAAGTGTAAACATCCAATATGGATCCTTTGGAGTATAGGAAAATATTTAATTACATTCTTGAAAAAAAATATCCAAATGAAACAAATGATGCAGAAAAAAGAAGAATTCGAAAAATCACACAGAAAAATTTCATAGTTGAAGATGAACATTTGTATTATATTGAGAAGGACAAAACTACTGGTTAGTTAACCAAAAGACTTGTAGTTACAAAAGACAAAGTCCAAAGTATTTTAAACTTGTGCCATGACCATAGTGGGCACCAAGGTCTTAATAAAACTGTCAATAAGATAACAGAAAGATATTACTGGAAAGGTATTGTGAGTGATACAAAGCAGTATGTTCAACAATGTGAAAATTGCCAAAAACAAAACAAGAAGGCTAAAACTGCAAAAATTAAATAGTCACGGTGTTTAAATTTTTTATCACCGTTGTTAATCTTAATTTTAATCTTAATTGTGCATTTGTTTTTTAATCATATTATCTACTTACAACAGATATGCTGACTTAATTTGATATTTCAAAAATTTTTAACTCTTATAACGGGAATTTATCGGACTTTTTTTTAAACAATTTATATCGGAATGAAATTCATGGAGCTGTGATATTTGTTCCGGAACTTATTTCACATTTGGTTTCAAAATTAGTTCCGGAACAAATTTTACAGGGCTGGAACTTATTTTCTGTGATATAAGTTCTGGTGGAACATATTTTCTATGAAATAAGTTCCGGCGGAACAAATGTCATGCCGGAACAAATTTTTTGTTACACTTTCTGATTGGCAACCATACCACATCTTCTTACTTTTATATTGAAACATGAAACATTGCTTTACCCATAAAACATACATTTTAAACTGGTATTCTATGAATTAAAAAAATAAAATAAAAATGTATACAGATGTACATCATTTAATCTTGAAACAGTTGCTTGAACTTTTTTATAAACTTTATATCTTTTTTATCACAAAAATTGACAAAGATTTATAATATATAACAACTCCATTGATAGTGTATCCAAACACTGTTGAAATCCTTAAAACACTTAAGAGATGTTTAACTTCCCAAGCACCTGAAATCACGCAGTTCGTGTTGCCCTGTATTCAGTTTTCTATGTTGTATTTTTGTGAACTTTTTTGTCTTCTTGTCTTTCTTTTTTTGCCCTGAGTTGTCAGTTTCTCTCGCCTTATGAGTTTTGACTGTCCCTTTGGTGTCTTCTGCCTCTTTTATAATAAGTTTTATGTGTAGAAATCTCAATCGTCTCTGATTTCCCGTTATTTAAAATCAGATTCATCCAAATTTTTAAAGATTTTACCTCTGATAGTTCCTTTCCTGTCATCACAAATTTAAGACAATCTGACAAATGTTTCCTGACAAAATTTTTGGCATCTAATTTTAATTTGGCTACAATCTCTGTCCATGTGTCTTTGTTCTCGTAAACTAAAAAAGAAAGACAATCTTTTCAATTTATGTTAGCAATACAAATACATACAAATGCGAAAGTCTTTTTGGGGGATTTGGCCAAAATATCAATACAAATCAATTTCAGGAAAAGCTGCATATACATATATGTATCAGATATTTTAATGTGATTTCTTATAATTGGGGATTAAACTCACCCAGACACATTATTGGCATTTATAAAAGCCTCACAATAATTTCAGAATTTACAGTATGAGTTCTTAAAGGTCTTTTTACAGGAAACACAACATATACATAACTTGAAACAAAAAGCATAAGGATAATAAGATCAAGCGGCACAGAGAGAGGACATGTTTTATATTTTTCTAAATTATCTTAATATTTTTCTTTTTCATAATTGCTTAATTCAAGGGAGCACTAGTTTTCTGACAGCAAAACAAAACAATTCCAAGTTGAATATTTGTTGGATTGCTGTCTCATTCACTGAAAAATGTCTTCTAAATGTAAATGAGTGACTTAAAAAATAAAAACATTAAGGATGTTCACCAGTCTGCTTCAAACAAACAAGCTCTTTAAAAGACTGTTATAAATTGAAAGTATATGAATAAAGGAACTCAAAAAGCTGAAAAAATTGAAGGGACTGTGTGCTTGTTTTCGAGATATAAGCCATTAAAAATTTGGCGGGAATTTATTCTCTCTAGATTTTTCATTCATTTAACATTGGCACCTTTTTTCTTTCTAAAACTATGAAAACAAGCATTCTGAGAGTATTGCATGGCAATACATAGTCCACTACCGGTTAAAAATTCATTGTACTCGAACAAACTGCTAACTAGATCTATAACTTGTCATGGTGATAACTATATAACAAATATCAAGTCAATATCTGCAAACATGAAGAAAAAAGGTGTGGAAAAATGATTATTTAAGTGAATTTTCTATGTCCAAGGGCTATTACCTCTGCACAAAATCATCAGACCGGAACAAAATTCGAATTTGATCTGTTACTTGTCATGATAAAACTATATACCAATTATCAAATCAATATCTTCAAGCATGACGAAAAAAAGTGCTGAAAACTGATTATTTGAGTGAATTTTCTAAGTCCAAGGACCATTACTCTGCACAAAATCATCTGACCGGAACAAAATTCAAACTTGATCTGTAACTTGTCATGATAAAACTGTATACAAAGTAACAAATCAATATCTTAAAGCATGACGAAAAAAAGTGCGGAAAACTGATTATTTGAGTTAATTTTCTAAGTCCAAGGACCACAACTCTGCACAAAATCATCGGACCGGAACAAAATTCGAACTTGATCTGTAACTTGTCATGATAAAACAATACACCACATATCAAATCAATATCTTCAAGGAAGAAGAAAAAAAGTGTGGAAAACTGATTTGCCGGACTGACGGATGGGCAGACAGACAGACAGACAGACAGATGGACGGAGTGCAAACCTAAAGTCTCCATTCGACTTCGTCGGGAGGGGACTAAAAAGAAGGATTTTATAAGATTTTCAAACATGGCTTTTTACACTCTATGTAAAAAAATTATAAAAAGAAAAGTAGGGGTTTACGGGCAAAATATTTATTGGCATTTATACATGGATATAACTAGAGGATTCCGAATATCTGACAAAATCTCAAAAACAAGAGGAGCGAACATCCTTTAATCAATATACTATGAATCCAGAAATTTTTGGCAATGTTTTTATTATTACAAAAATTGGGACAGAATAGATTTCGCAAAAATTAAAAATCGCATTTTAAAATTTTGATAGCATTATTTGTATGAACCATTTTCTGAAAGTGCAATAATAAATCTTGCAATTTGTCCATTTTTTAAATGCCCCAATAAAGGCACAGAAATAACTCTAAAATTACAGCAAATGGCCAGACTAGAAACTATAACATAAACTTTCTGAAAATTTAGCTAGCATGTGTACTGTCTTGAAACAGGAAATGAAAACTTTACATTTGAAATAGGTTCATGTTATTAATTACAATATGTAAGGATATGCTAAACATAACATTGAGTAGGATTGGTACCTGCTAAAATCTTTCTACATACTCTTCTTACCTATACATGGATGATGTGCAGGGACCAGAGAAGCCTTAGCTATAGCTTCTGCATCTTTACCATCTGCATTCTCTACATAACTAACAGTCATGACGGCTCTAGCTAGTATGATTGGTTTAATATACTTCAGTTGTTCCAGAGAGCTTTCTTTCTCTGTATCAAATAATTCTGGTTCTATGAACTATAAAGAAAAAAGCAAACATATAGTTATCTACCTCTGGTTTAATCTTAGTTAAAATAGCACTCATTTGTATTTTTATGACATTATGTGGAAATTTAAAAATTTAATTTGAGCTACAACCTCTTGTACAAAATTTCTCATTTCATATATATTCATTTACAGATGATTTGTTTCAAAATTTCAGATGCAGATTGACAATTTTCAGCCAGAGGACTGTATGAAAATCTATCATATTTATGTAATTCATTGTAGTTACTATTTAACAAGATGAATAAAGACTCCTCTACTTATCAACATAAATTTTTGATCCTAGGCTACAAAAATTGTAATTTAAAAAAAAAAATAAAGTGGTATGAAGTGGTTTTCAATACAGGCTGCATTCAATCAAAAATAAATTTGACCCACCTTTTGATTGGATAATAATTCTTCACATTCTGCTATAAGAGCTAATGAGATGGATGTTCCTCCCAGAAGAGACAGCAGACGCTTAGTTGTTAATTCTGTATGGTGTCTCACTGGTCGTGATTTGTGGGTCAGACAGTAGATGATAGCTGCATAGTATGGTCTGAAAATGGAAAGATTTGCATATATGTTCTTAAACCTTTCCATGTTACTGTACACAAATAAAACAAAAATAGTATTGAAATTAAGGTCTGTAATTTTGAAGAATTTTCTTTCCAATTAAATCTACTCCAAAGAGCAATTTTAGTATCTTGGCAATAAGAACATTTTTTTTTTATGAAATAATAGATATTGTAAACCAAGTTTAGTTTTTGAAAGTCATTTTCAGTCAAGGTTCATAAAAACACCATCAAAATCTGCACAATGCACTGACATAAAGGTGGAGCCAAACTTTTTAAATTACACAAACTTTAAATATGAGTGTATTAAAATACAAACAAGAATATCTTCCGTGAGTATTTGAAGCCTATTAACTCATCTCATCTTTTTGAATAACCCAAACAATGAAGCCTTAACAACAGTTGATATAAGACAGGTTCAACAATCTAGTTTCCAATAATTATTTAACCCAAACAATTCTATTACAACTTATATATCATCATCTTTAACATATCAAGTGTGAATATTATGGGTGATGGGGTAGAAAAAGTTATCCATCCACCACCTCTCTTACATTTTCTGGAATAGCCCTAACTATAATGAACGTACTTTGATATTGTTTCTGTCATTTTCTGTGGATATTCCAAGATCAGCCTCTCAGACAAGGTTACAACATTCATCAATACTGTAATATATAAATGTTTTTCAATCTAAAAATATTTCAGCAAACCTTGTATATACCAAATTTCATTGTGACTGACACGTGTTCAGATAAACATGTTTTGCTATAAGGGCCAATTTGGCACCAAGTCTTACCTTCTCCTTTTATCTGAAAGTTTATTATTGTCCAATAGTGATTTATCATTTTTATTTATTTATTAATGGAAAACTAATAAGAGGTAAAAATAATGAAATAAATTTCATGAATGACATTTTTAAAAGTACTAAGAATCTATTTTAAAAAGTAAAAAGCTGGCACAGCCAACCGATGCTCCCAGAACAGATTCTTTACTGAGAGAAAACATTTATTATTTCAAGGGTTCAAAATATTAGTATGGACAGAGGGAAAATAATAAACAGCTGTGCCATGAGCGCATGATACGCCCGTCGTCTTGTGTGTGAATTTTTATGCAATAAGCATAAATAGTTTCTGACATACGGCGTGACATGCGAAAACCCCCTTTTTTTTTTACAAAAAACTCAATATCTCTAAAATAAAATTTTGAATCAAAACCAAAAAGTATACAGATCTTTAGATTAATATAACTAAGAAGTGTGTAAAATTTTAAGCAATAATCATAAATCGTTTTTGAGATACGGCGCGACATGTGAAAACCCCCCTTTAAAAAAAAAAAAAAATCAATATCTCAAAAAATAAAATTTTGAATCAAAACCAAAAAGTATACAGATCTTTAGATTAATATAACTAAGAAGTGTGTAAAATTTTAAGCAATAATCATAAATCGTTTTTGAGATACGGCGCGACATGTGAAAAACCCCTCCCCAATAACTCAAAAATAAAATTTTGAATCATCACCAAAAAGTATACAGATCTTAAGGTTAATATAACTAAGAAGTGTGTAAAGTTTTAAGCAATAATCATAAACTGTTTTTGAGATACGGTGTGACATGTGAAAAACCCCTCCCCCTTTTTTGACAAAATACTCAATATCTCTAAAATAAAATTTTGAATCATCACCAAAAAGTATGCAGATCTTAAGATTAATATAACTAAGAAGTGTTTTAAGTTTTAAGCAATAATCATAAATTGTTTTTGAGATACGGCGCGACATGTGAAAAAAAACACACACCTGTTTTAGTTACTAAGTCCTGTAACTCAAAAAGTTTTAATCTTATTTTCACCAAAAAGTATACAGATCGTTTGACCATCATAAGAAACAACTATGTTAAGTTTCATGAAATTTGGATAAGTCATTCTCAAGTTACGGTGCGACATGTTTACGCCGGACAGACAGACGGACAGACACTGGACATTTGTATACCATAATACGTCCTGTCAAAAATTGACGGGCGTATAAAAATGTATTATTGTAGCTATTTTATAATTTATAGTGGGACACCAATCCACAAACCATCTTTTAAATAATTAAAAAATCTAATATTAGTACCAATGGCCTTGAACCTATTTACCCGAAAATCAAAAGGCTTCTTCCCCTTCATTGTTTCTTCCGCTTATATGTGTTTCTTTCCAATCAAGCAAGGGAAACTCAAGTAACCATCTGGAAAACATTTTTCCAATTTTTTTCTTTTTCTAATAACACTGACCTTTACCTTTGTTCTATTTACCCCCAAATCAAGTAGCTTTTTCACCTTTTTTAAATATTCCATCTGTATAAGATTATTTCAATAAAGGAAGGGAAACTCAAGCTACCATCTGGTAATCCTTTTCCTAATTTTTATCCATTTCTAGCAACAGTGACCTTGACCTTTGACACGAAATTCATAAGGCTTCTTCCCCTTTATCATATCTTCAATTTGCACATGTTTCATTTCAATCAGACAAGGGAAACTAAAGTTACCATCTAGAAACCTTTTTTAATAAACTGCCTAGCTAAGCGCAGCTGGATACGCCCGCAGAGGTCCAACCCTGAACAGTTGGGGCAAAAATGGACACAATATTCAAGCTTGATACAGGTCTGAATTTGGATTGTAATTAAATATTTGACATATTAAAGGTTTCTGAATAAATGTAGTCAAAGAACTTGAAATTGGTTATATGAATTGAATTTTATTCAATTAAAGATTTCTTGCTGTTGTGCAATACACTGTGCTGTTGCGCAATACTAAGTAAATTTGTTGTCAAGACTATAAACAAATAAAGTTCAATTTCTTCTCAATGTCATATTTGAAATTTACTATTTTTAATCTATTTTTTAGTTAAATAGCTTTAAATAATTCACCAAAGTTTCATGAGAAGTAATGAAAGCATTTTTGAGTTATTGTCGAAAAACTGGAAAATCCCCCCTTTTTTAATGAATAAAACCCTATAACTCAGAAATGTAAAATCTAAAATTTATAAAATTCTAAAGGGAGCTTACATCAACAGATATAAACAATTCACCAAAGTTTCATGAGAACTGCTGAAAGCATTTTTTAGTTATTGTCAGAAAACTGGAAAATCACCCTTTTTTATGAATAAAACCCTGTAACTCAGAAACGTAAAATCTAAAATTCATAAAAATTGAAAGGGAGCTCATGTCAATAGATATAAACAATTCACCAAAATTTCTTGCAAGTTGGTGAAAGCATTCTTGATTTATTGTCGGAAAACTGGAAAATCCCCCCTTTTTTAATGAATAAAACCCAAAAACTCGGAAACGGTAAATCTGAAATTTATAAAAAACGAAAGGGAGCTCACGTCAATAGATATAAACAATTCAATAAAGTTTCATGCATATTAATTTAACCGTTTTTGAGTTAATGTCCGACATATTGACGACGGATGGACGGACGGACGGGCAGACGGTCAACGGTATACCATAATACATCCCGTAAACGGGTGTATAAAAAGTAGACAAAGTGATGCCCCTGCACTCCACTCTGAAATAACTGTATTATAACAAAGTCAATGTAGGACTTTCTTTCAGATATTATTGTGCTTGGGAGACACAAATGATGCCCCTGCAGATGCAAAGTTTAAAATACACAAAGTTGAGCATGGGAGCACATAGGTCTATGGTTCACTGTAGGAGGAGTTATCCAAAAACGCTATGCACCTCTTATGCAAGTATATACTACAAAAATGACAAAGTTAAACTATCTCCCAAAAGAGCAAATATTAATAAAAAATCAAAACCCTGACCACACGCACACCTGCAATATATGTACAAACAGCCAGCAAAGTGAAAACTTACTAGCATTCAAACTGTAGGAGCTATCCAGAAACGCTATGCACCTCTTATGCAAGTATATACTCCAATAAACTGCTTCGCTGAGCGCAGCTGGATACGCCCGAAGAGGTCCAACCCTGAACAGTTGGGGCAAAAAAAGACACAATATTCAAGCTTGATACAGGTCTCAATTTGGATTGTAATTAAATATTTGACATATTATAGGTTTTCTGAATAAATCTAGTCAAAGAACTTGAAATTGGTTATATGAATTGAATTTATATTCAATTAAAGATATCTTGCTGTTGTGTAATACACTGTGCTGTTGCGCAATACTTAGTAAATCTGTTTTCAGACTATAAACAAATGAAGTTCAATTAATTCTCAATGTCATATTAGAAATTTATGAAAATCAAAAGGGAGCTTACATCAATAGATATAAACAATTTACCAAAGTTTCATGAGAATTGCTGACAGCATTTTTGAGTTATTGTCCGAAAACTGGAAAATCCCCCCTTTTTTAATGAATAAAACCACCATAACTCAGAAATGTAAAATGTAAATTTTATAAAATTCTAAAGGGAGCTTACATCAATAGATATAAACAATTCACCAAAGTTTCATAAGAACTGCTGAAAGCATTTTTGAGTTTTTGTCCAAAAACTGGAAAATCCCCCTTTTTTTATGAATAAAACCTGGAACTCGGAAACGTAAAATCTAAAATTTATAAAAATCGAAAGGGAGCTCAGGTCAATAGATATAAACAATTCACTACAATTTCTTGCAAGTTGGTGAAAGCATTCATGAGGTATTGTCCAAAAACTGGAAAATCCCCCTTTTTTTAATGAATAAAACCCCATAACTCGGAAACGTAAAATCTAAAATTTATAAAAAACGAAAGGGAGCTCATGTCAATAGATATAAACAATTCACCAAAGTTTTATGCAAATTGGTTAAAGCGTTTTTGAGTTAATGTCCGACATGTTGACGACGGACGGACAGACGGACGGACGGACGGACGGACGGACAGACTGACAGACGGACAACGGTATACCATAATACGTCCCGTAAACGGGCGTATAAAAATGACAAAGTTCAACCATCTCCCAAAATAGCCAATATCAATAACAAGAGTGCACACGCTGAAATGTCTCACCTTCTTTACTAATCATTGATATTATGTTGATAGTCCTAAATATAAAGCTTTACTACAACTATCACATAAACTTAACATGATCCCAGAAAATGAGGTCAAGGTCATATAAACCAAACAAGAAATACATGTACACCTTACAATTATTCAATACACTAAATATAGTTGACCTATTGCTTATAGTTACTAAGATACAGACTTAACAAAGAAAACTAAACATTAACCAATGAACCATGAAAATGAGGTCAAGGTCAGATGAACCATGCTAGGCAGACATGTACAGCTTGCAATCCTTCCATACAACAAATATAGTTGACCTATTGCTTATAATTATAGTATTAGAAAAACAGACAAAAACACAAAAACTTAACACTGAGCAATGAACCTTGAAAATGAGGTCAAGGTCAAATAAAACCTGCAAGACTGACATGTACATCATAAAATATTTCCATACACCAAATATAGTTGACCTATTGCATATAGTATTAGAAAAAAAGACCAAGACTCAAAAACTTAACTTTGACCACTGAACCATGAAAATGAGGCCAAGGTCAGAAGACACCTGCCAGCTAGACATGTACACCTTACAATCATTCCATACACCAAATATAGTAGGCCTATTGCATACAGTATAAGAAAAACAGACCAAAACACAAAAACTTAACTATAACCACTGAACCAAAAAAATGAGGCCAAGGTCAGATGACACCTGCCAGTTGGACATGTACACCTTACAGTCCTTCCATACACCGAATATGCTAGACCTATTGCTTCTAGTATCTGAGATATGGACTTGACCACCAAAACTTAACCTTGTTCACTAATCCATGATATGAGGTGACGAGTAAAAACTGTCTGACGAGCATGAGGACCTTGCAAGGTACGCACATACCAAATATAGTTATCCTATTACTCATATAAATAAGAGAGAAATTAACATTACAAAAAAATCTTAACTTTTTTTTCAAGTAGTCACTGAACCATGAAAATGAGGTCAAGGACAATGGACATGTGACAGATGGAAACTTCGTAACATAAGGCATCTATATACAAAGTATGAAGCATCCAGGTCTTCTAGCTTCTAAAATATAAAGCTTTTAAGAAGTTAGCTAACGCCACCACTGCCGTAGCCGCCGGATCACTATCCCTATGACGAGAATCAAAACACTGACCACATGCACATGCAAACCTTCAATATATGTACAACAGCCAGCAAAGTGAAAATTTCCTAGCATTCGAACTGTAGGAGGAATTATCTGGAATAACTACATGTATATACCCATAATGGGACGGACAGACAGAAGGACAATACGACAGACGGACAACGGTATACCATAATACGTCCCGTAAACAGGCGTATAAAAAAGATTTAAAATGTAATTTGTCTCTTTAAAATAATAGCATACCATCATCTCCAGCCTGAGACAGGAATTTGTCATTAATGAACAGCTGTTTTTGTGCATCTAACACTACACTCCAAAATGGACCCAATTTAGTTTCTGAAAAAGAGACCACATCTTACAGAGCTAACTTTATTTTCTAATATAATTAAAATATATAATGAATGTTTGATAACTGAGAATAACTAAACTTATGCTACTCACATAAAGAAATAAGACAAATTAAATGTTCAATCAATGAATATATTTTTTGTCGCAATGAAATATTCCTTGTAAAACATAACCATAAATTAGCCTAATTATTTCCTGGTAATGCTAAAATCACTTGATAAGAATGATGCTGCTAAAAACACATTTTGTTTTTACTATTCAGAAAGTTTCTGTTGTATTTTCAGTACTTGTAAATCAGGAGTCAAAACTCATCAAGATTATTGCAAATATAAACTAGGAAATATGTATATAAATTACAAGAAAATTGAATAGAACTGTTATTTATTTGGCTTTGTCCAGAGAATGTTAATGTTTACCAGCTTGAATATCCACCAATGAGAGCTTGACTAACAAACAAGATGCTGTCACACCTTCAGCTACTATATTTGATTGGTTGGCTTGTCCACTGGCCTTGGTTACAGTCTGGATTAACATAGGAATTAAATCTACAGCCTGGGGTATTGTATCTCCTACAAAACAATCAAGTTTAATATAGAAATATATATTTTTTACTTTTCTAATTGAATTCTTCCACATTTTCATATCCAAGGAGCTTTATTAACTTACTATATGGTATAATCATTGTTGAAAGTCATACAGTTATCCTTAGTTTTTCACATGAAAAATACAAATCACTTTATAATTTTGCTTTGTCACCAGGAATGCTCTTTTAAACCAAAATCTCTGAAAGACAAGGATGCATAATTACTTGTACAGTCAAACCTGCCTTTACAGTCACCTCGTTTCAGTGGTCACCTGCCTCTAACGATCACTTTCAGACCCTCCCAAGCATTTTCTCTATATAATATAACTCATTTCAGCGATCACCTGTCAAACACGGTCAGCAGTCACCTAATTTATGCACAAAATTGTTATTTCAACCTTTAACAGTCATCAAAATGATTTTCATATTTTTAACAACCAAAATATAATCATAAAGAAAAATATATGTGTTCAGTATCGAGGTAAAAATGAGAATCCGATAAGGAGATGAATTTGTGAATTTCTCATGTTCCACTCCTTTTAGTTTCCATTGAAAACTGTATCATCGACTTATTACTCCACGAATATTAACTATTTTTAATGTTTTCTTCAATTTCAGAGCGCAGGAATTCACCATTTTTTATTTGTCTGCTCGCAAGAACGATAACTCTACTGCTTGAAAACACTAAAACAATATGCCCCGATCCCCTCCACAGGGGATATCTGAATCAGATTTTTTTTCTGAACCTCATTTAAAGGTCACCTTTGTTGAGCAGTCACCATGAGTGTTAATACAGGTTTGACTGTAAATATGAGGAGCTATATGACCAAAAGGGGCCTAAAAGAATCAGCAAATCCATCTAAGGTCTACTTTACCCGAAGGAGTAGTAGTAAGGGATCATAGATTTATTCTTACGAGGAAGCTCCGAGCATGCTCGGAGGATGCTCGGAGCTTTTTCAGTAGGCTCTTCTCTGCAGTTTATGTGAAAATAATTATCATGATCCATTAAGATGTCAATCAAATCTACACCACTTCTATAATAAGGAAAGTTGAGCATTATAGAGGAAGCTCAATTAACACCTGTGTAAACAACTGATCTATTCAAATACATTTTGCATGACATTTTACAAATTATAGAAAGGATAAGAAATTCTTCAACAGTACTGTGTAATGCTTGGAAAGAAATCTCAAGTCTCCACAAAAAAGTGAAAGTCATTTAACAAAAAATATACAATATTATTATATTTAATAATCATTTCATTTTTTATAATAAAAAAAATTCTCAAATTTATAATTAGATGATACCATTTAAATATAGTTTATATTATATAATATGCTACATAAAAGATATCAAGACACAAACAACAGTCAGGGGGAGATACTAAACGAGTTATTTTTTTTAAGTTACTTATATTAATAGGTATTTTTTGTTTTTTTAAATTATTTGATATAATCTCAATTGTTATTTTAAATGTCAAAAGTGGACTAATTGTTGTTTTTAAGAATTTTTATATCATTTCATTAAGTAAAATTAAGTATTTATCCAACTTGAGATGAGTATAGAGAGATTACTTGAAAAATAATGACAAAAATATTACTTTTATAAATTATTTTATACATCTTCGAAAAACTAAGTATACTTACAATTATTTAAGGAACATATGTAATTGTTTTTGATAAATATTTCAAATTATAAATAACTTCAAGTCTTAATTAAATCACAAGGTTCCATCCATTTATATTTGTTCATCTCTAAGATTTTGAAGGAAAATGTTATTTTAATAGCCTCAAGAGACCAATCTATGACCAAGAAGTGTGGCATCAGAAAGGCAATTAGTGTTTCAGGAGGATTTAAATAGTTTTATACTGCATGGGGAAAATAACCAGATGTGAAAATTTGTTAAAGCTTGTAAAACCTGTATGAATGGACACCTATAGAAATAATATTAACAGAAGTTACTTATTTATGATATATAAGTAATATTTGAAACAACCTTGTTTTCAATATAACTTGTATAAGTAATTTTGAAAATTACTTGTTTAAGTAATGCCCCTAACTATTAAAACAATGGTAATTTTTTTTTTTATAAAATAGCAAAGTTAAGTTTTTTATAAAAAAAATTATGGCTACTCTAAGAAAAAATGAGGAGGTAATACCACCATTGTTTTCCCTCTAGTACGTCTCACTTTAATTGTCATTTTTTTTTATAATTGTGCAGATTTGGTTTTATTCTAAATAAAGAAATACTTGGCATAATTATATAAGTGAAGTTTTATCCTGACCTGTACTTGAATGAAAATCTAATATAAAATTGTTTCCCCCTATCAGTCTTTGTTTAATTGGTATTTTTCCAAAAATATGTGCAGAATTTATCTATGTTTTAAATAAAGAAATACTTGACATGAGTAAAGTTTTTTCATGTCCTGTACTATAGTAATAAAACAACATAATTTTTCAGTGCATATAAGAAAGAAGACATCACCAGAATTAACCAACCAAATTCTATCCCCCCTTTATTTTCTCTGTTTACAAGCTCTAGTAGCCATGCCCCCTAAAACTGCAAAAATATTTTATATAAAAAACTAACTTTGCTATTTTATAAAAAAAAAAAATACCATTGTATAGTTAAGGGCATTACTTAAACTAGTAATTTTCAAAATTACCAATACAAGTTATATTGAAAACAAGGTTGTTTCAAATATTACTTATATATCATAAATAAGTAACTTCTGTTAATATTATTTCTATAGGTGTCCATTCATACAGGTTTTACAAGCTTTAACAAATTTTCACATCTGGTTATTTTCCCCATGCAGTATAAAACTATTTAAATCCCCCTGAAACACTAATTGCCTTTCTGATGCCACACTTCTTGGTCATAGATTGGTCTCTTGAGGCTATTAAAATAACATTTTCCTTCAAAATCTTAGAGATGAACAAATATAAATGGATGGAACCTTGTGATTTAATTAAGACTTGAAGTTATTTATAATTTGAAATATTTATCAAAAACAATTACATATGTTCCTTAAATAATTGTAAGTATACTTAGTTTTTCGAAGATGTATAAAATAATTTATAAAAGTAATATTTTTGTCATTATTTTTAAAGTAATCTCTCTATACTCATCTCAAGTTGGATAAATACTTAATTTTACTTAATGAAATGATATAAAATTCTTAAAAACTACATTTAGTCCACTTTTGACATTTAAAATAACAATTGAGATTATATCAAATAATTTAAAAAAACAAAAAATACCTATTAATATAAGTAACTAAAAAAAAATAACTCGTTTAGTATCACCCCCTGACTGTTGTTTCTGTCTTGATAACTTTTATGTAGCATATTATATAATATAAACTATATTTAAATCATATCATCTAATTATAAAATTTGAGAATTTTTTTTATTATAAAAAAAGAAATGATTATTAAATATAATAATTGTATATTTTTTGATAAATGACTTTCACTTTTTGTGGAGACTTGAGATTTCTTTCCAAGCATTACACAGTACTGTTGAAGAATTTCTAATCTATTCTATAGTTTTGTAAAATTTCAGGCAAAATGTATTCGAATAGATTAGATGTTTACACAGGTGTTAATTGAGCTTCCTCTATAATGCTCTACTTTCCTTATTGTAGAAGTGGTGTAGATTTGATTGACATCTTAATGGATCATGATAATTATTTTCACATAAACTGCAGAGAAGAGCCTACTGAAAAAGCTCTGAGCATCCTCCGAGCATGCTCGGAGCTTCCTCCTAAGAATAAATCTATGATCCCTAAATACAAGAAAACTTTAAGTGTAATACAATGATTGGCAATCATTCTGCATCAGCCATCCATTATGATATAGATATCAGTCTCTGTAACAAAGGCTTGATCAAACCCCTAATCTGTATTACATAATTTCAGAAGAGAACCATTTATTTTAAGTATATATGTAAAAAAAGTGTCTATGGATGGTATGGCCTTTTCAGTATCACACACCATATCAACCCTCAACCAATAGAAATCCATTAGAAAAGCTGTTAGGATTATATTGGTATCTAGGGTTGATACAGTGTTGATATAATATTTGGTATTAACTGTTGAGGATTATATCATCTTTTAACGATTACCTTGGAAAGCAGCATTCATACATTGTAGATAAGCATTCCTTACAGCTGATGTTGATGTCTTCAAGGATAATCCTTTCTGTTAAAAAATAGCATACATTTATGTAACATTTAACACTATATAAAGAAAAATGTGGATATGAATGCTCAATTAGCATCATATCATATAAGGGCTATTCCATTAAAAAGGAGGTACTAGGGTCGGAAGGCAATTTTTAAGTACCCCCATGACCAAGAGGAATGTACCATGTATCTTAACACCAACCAACAGGAAGTTGTTTCATGATAATACAAGAACCAACTGGAATATATCTAACTTATTTTTTACTGGTCCTTCAAAATTGAGAAGAAATTACCTCTTGTAATTGTAGATATATGTATACTCTGTAAAAACATATACATGTAATATCAACATTTATTAATGATAAAGAAAATTACTGTCACATTTCATTGGATTTTGACATGAAAATTTGTGTTTCTGTATAAAATATTTCATGCTTTTTCTTTCTTTTCCATATATCTTTTGGTTTTCAATTCGAGTGTTTATATTTCATCATCATAGATGTATTTTGTCATCTGCCTGGAATTATTTTTTTTTATTGTATTTGATCGGCAAACCCGGAATTACCCTTATCCGACCCCGGAATCTGATCCGGTATTGTAATCGTCTTCATTTCCGGTTTATGGCAACCATTGTTCTTCAATGTTGTTTTTGTCAGTCAGATACAATTTTACTCGTATTTACACATTACTTGTTGGCGATTTTCAGTATAAAGCTAGCGGTTGAACAAAATGAGCATCGCTGTCATGAATAATAAAGATAAAAATAAATTTTGAGATCGTTTGGAAGTTTTTGTCCCAAATTGAAAACTGGGAAAAACGTAGGGTATTTGCCATTGCCAATAGGAATGGGTCCGGTATTTGGACCCTGTGGAATACTAGAAAAATCCCAGGAGGGATATACGATCTCAATAGTAATATGGCTTTAAAATGACCATACTGATGGTTAAAAAGGTCGGCAAAATTAATTTTTATTTTCTTTCAAATCGAAGGTTCTTTCATTAGAATTTGACATAGTTCGTCATGTGTTTGTCATTTAAGGGAAGTAACTATTGCACTTCCGGAACTGGTACCATAGGTAGAATACAACGTTGCGCCTGCCGCTGCGTAAATCGCGGGAACAGTTATGTTTTCCAAAATATCACGATATGAGCAGGAGACAAAAACAATCGGTTATATAAGTCCTTGCAAAAACAAATAATAATAAATAACGAAAAATAACACAATGAAACCGACAGTCACAAAAACTGACTGTCAAAGAAGACCAACAACCAACAATACTTAGTTTCTCTAACCACCAAGGACCACTGGCCATAAACGCTTCAACACATCAACAACCATCAGGATTTTTTATAATTGCCGTCCGACCCTGGTACATTCTTTTTAATGGAATAGCCCTAATGGTTTTCTTAACATTTTTGAAACAATTTTAAGAAATTTTTCGCGAAATCACAATAATTTATTTCACATATTTGTCCGATATTTACCAATAGCAATAATAAATGCACACAGGAATATCTAAAATAACATTTTTTCAGTACATAATCAAATCTGTTCAAATACCAACTAGTACCATGCCTCTGTTCACTTGACCTTTTTTCTGACTCCTTTTCACATATTGCTTAAAGCATACATAGGCAATCATACCAAATATCATTATTTTTATATAAACTTTTACTACATCATGTACTTACTTTAAACCACAGGATCAGTTTATCTGGTACACATGTGTAGAACTTTGTACACCATAGAGAAAGCATCTGTAATGCATGGACCAATGTACCTTCATGGACTGTAAAGTAAAAAATAAAAAAAAACCAATATAGCACGTTTGAAATGCAAATTTTTCTAGAAGTCTAACTTTTGAAAGGAAAAGGTCCTGTAAGGGCTAATTTTGGCCTAAAATTTGAAGTACATCTGATGAAAGATTTTTGACATTTTTTAAATACTTAATACTGGTTCTCTGTAACTATTTAAACTTTTATATAGGGAGTGTGGCACGCATGGTCATGGATTTTCTTCAAACTTCACACACTTACTAGTCTTGATGAAACAAACAAAAAATGGCAAAATTTTGGTTGCAAAGCATATCGGTTGCCATAGCAACTGAGGACCAGTTTTACCTCTTCTGGATATCTTTGATTTTAAGCTGAAAATTTTTCATAATAAATGATTAAAAGAAAGAATATTTTTTTATGATTTTATTAAATATATGCATTTTATCAATGTAATTTAATAACTGATATTTTCATATTCATTTTCAATCATAATCACATATACCCCCCTTTTTATGTGGTTTGCATTAGGTAAAAAATACCCTTTTGAGGTCATTTTTGAATGCTCACCATAATTTTTTGCGGACACCTGAGTTAAAGTCAACCATCAATTCATAAATACCATAGTCTTATCTTATCAATGATGCGAAAAAGTAATGGGGAAGTATGTCTCATTTTTTTGTTACCATGGATACAAAATGCTTAGTTTTCATTTTTTCAGAAAAATTTTTTTTTGAAAATTTTTGAAAAAAAATGTTTTAAAACCTAATTCTGCAGTCAGAAAAAAATAAATAAATAAACAATTTGTAGAAATGATTGTAATCATTAAAATTTGAAACATATTCATACATAACGTTATTAATAGTTTTAACTGTGTTGCTATGGAAACAATTTCATGATGATACACAAGTTTAAAACAATTTTGAAAAAGTTTCAGTTAGTTTCTTAAATGTCCACAAAAGTAGGAAAACGAAAACACTTATTAAGTTTCACTGTATACACACATGTGTATATATAAATAATTTTGCTGGTATAGTATATCGATAATGGTGTTACCACTTGAATGAAACAAATACAATTTCTCTAATCTGGATAAAAGTGCGGATTATGATGAAATTTCAGTCTGTTTTCATGATCATGATCATGAAAAATGTACAAGAAAAACAATGACTAAATCTAGAAAAAACAAATAAAATCATTTAATTGTATATTCAATTATGCAATATTTGCCATTGAATGTGTTGCCATGGAAACAAGCAGTCCATTTGCAAAAATACTGATAAGTGCGAATTTTTACAAATTCGTTTAATGAACTTCGATACATATAGCAAAGAGTGTATACAATTTTGTAAAAAAAAGAAATGATCGATTAGTTTTGGTTTTCTTTATGTCCAGTGTCAAACATCTCATGCATATTTCAGAAGAGAACAAAACCAATAAATTTAATGGGAACATTGTAGGTCCTGTGCTAGTCTACTGACCAAAAATTAATTAAAGTCAATAATTTGAAACAATTCAACACAATAAAAAATAGAACAAAAAGAGTCAGACGTTGATCCTCTAAATAAATGATAATTGACCATCTAACCTTTCTATAAAGGAAAAAATACCTTTATTATGAGCTGTTTATTTTTCTTATTCATTCTTAAACTCTATGTTGAAATGGCAAAGCATGTGTACATGTAGCTATACATTTTGAATAATATTGTATTATTGGATGATGAGTATCTACATGAAGATCATTTTTATAAAAGTTATAAAAAATCAAAAAAATCAAAAAGGTCCTTCAATAGGTGTAAGCTGGGATGACGGCAGACAATTTGAAATATCACTAGAAATTGGGATCAATTGGACAAGGACAGACATTTCAATAGATCAACTAGGGAGCCCCTAAAAAAAAGGGCGTAACAAGCAAGGGCGGGTACGATCAGCTGTCGACCCGATGGTCCCTGCTATTCATCCGACACCTTTCTTGTTTGACATTCTGGCCGGGGAGGAATTTTCGAGATTTTCCAAAAGTTCCTTTTCCCTAAGAGGACCCACGGAAAATCGGTCAGCTGGTGACTGCTGGTCTTACAACGAGCAGCAGGGGGAAAATACACCATCTAGACAATTGTCATATCAGGGGTACCACTGACTGCCTTAAGAGATGCCCGCTACATTCATGCTTCAGTGATTCCATATGTAATCAACCAAATGTTTCCAATGAAAGGAGGGGGCGGGCCCTCATGGCCCCCTGGATCCGCCTTTGGTAGCACTATATTTACATTAGTAAAAGGCATTGGATTATTGAAATTTGAGAAAATAACAGTAATCTTAATGGATTTTTAGCAGCAAATTAAAAAATATTGACAATATGATAACTCTTTACACAGGGTAACTTTAAAAGAATTATATGCATGTACATATACTTTGATTTCCACTGAAAGCCCATTACAGAAAGATGTTTCCTCAAAATTAGTATATAATTGTCTTTCTTTAAACAAAAAAAATTTAGATTTTACTTTGAAGCACAAGTCTATGTTTGTAAAATATTATACATGTGACTTTTTAATTGTCCGCAACTTTTTGTCTGTGACTTTCTGTCCTACATTCTGACCATTATCACGACCAGGAAAAATGACTTTATACCTATTTAAATGTAATAGGCTTTGCATCAAATTTTTAGAAACACTTAGATTGAATCATTAATTTTATCAAATTAGAAAATATAAAATGCTTTACAAACTTTCGGGAACATTTAAAACTAAGACAAGGCTCTGGTAACCCTCAAATTAGGTCCACGAATATGTTTACTTATATTTTATGAAAATATTTTAAACTACAAAGATATCGTGCATGCAGGGGCTCGGGCATACCTCAAGCAGTCTGCGAAATGTGTATTTGTTTTATGAAAATATTAAAAACTGCCAAGATATCCTGCACAAGGCTCGCACATGCCTTAAGTAGTACGTGGAAATAACTATTTACTGTTAGAAAATATTAAAAAACAAACTATATTGGATTTATTAACTTACATATATGTATGGCCTACTTCAAACACACCTTTTGAGTTACTTTATATTTGTGATCAAACGTGTCAAATTATAACCGGTAATATACAACATAATTTACAACACAGCTAAATACAATATACTACTCAATACCATAAAAAGTTTAAATAATTCGGTGCTCGTCATAGTACCCTAAACTGTTCTTCCCAGTTTTTTACCATTCAATCTTAATTTTTTTTTTTATATAAATTTAAAGAAAATCCAATAAGATATAAATAAGTATTAGGTAGTACAACGACCAGGACACAGTCAACGTTGGTCAGGTCAAGTTTTTTTCACCAAAAACATATATTTTTCCTGTTTTTTTTTAATAATATAAAATAACACAGAAATTTTCATCGGCCAGGTCATTGCTACTGTTGGTCAGTTTTATTGTCAACATTAGAAAGGTCACGTTATCTGAATATTTTATATTTTTTTCTATATTTTTTTATTAATTTCTATATTAAATGATTAAACTTTATTATATTTCAAATTTAACATAAACCCTTTAAGAAGTAAAAAAGTTATTAGCATTTTCATTTGGTCCTGGCATTGTCAGCTTTGGTCAGGTCACGTTTAATGAAGATTTAAAAAAGTTTTCTATATTTTTTTCTCTCATATTTATGTATTGAATGGTCTAAATTTATAACAATTCAAATTTGACATAAATCCTTTGAGAAATAAAAAAGTTATTAGCGTTTTCGTTTTTGTCCAGTCATTAGTGTAACCCATCAAAGGGAGATAATTCGTATTGTGAGGAAAATTGCACAATGATCATTTTTTAGAAATTAATTTCGCATGTTTCTAGGTAGATTCCCCATAACTTTTTTTGAATTTGGAATAAAACAAGAATGAAATTAATTGTTTTTGTGTTTCCTTTTAATAGATGTAGCCGCATAATTTCCCAACACTACACCAAATAATGTATTTTTCTCAAAAATCCCAACTTTCTCTGCTGTTACCATGGTAACCAACCAATATATATATCGGTTGACATTATTTTTTTGACTAGTCTAATAGGATCTACATATCAGCCAATTTTCAGAAAGATCGGTGACTATGTGTGCCGAAAAAGTTTAAAAGTGGTTACAGAGAATGAGTATTAAGTGTCTACTTCAGTTGATTCAAATAGTTTATGTAAAAGATTTGAACTGATTTTGGTCATTGAAATTATATATACATTATATTCTGCATTATACTTAACATCTTATAACATTAAAGTATAATGTATACAAGCTGAAGCCCCGCCTATCTATTGATTGCAGATGTCAATCTTAATTACAAAGCTTGAGCAAACATTTATACAAACAAAGCAGCAAGCCAACCAAACCTTTAAACTACAAGCATTAGGAAAATAGCTCTAAGAAATCTACAGTCTTGAGAGTAGTGAATATACTTTCATGTTTCATACCTTCTGACTGAAGTAAGGTAAGAAAATTCTCCGATACATTGGTACTCAGGTTCTGTAGAGTATTAGCACCACTGACTGCATTCTTGCTTACATTTCCAATGGCCTGGAGGACACTGATTCTCTGGTCAGCCATGCTTAGTTTTCCTTCTGAACCTACATTATAAGAATATTATGTGTATCTTCATAAACTACATAATAAGAATTATTAAAGACATTACATGTATCATCAAATTTTAAAAATTTTAAAATTAAACGAGCCAAAATAATTTTAGTCAAGGTGTTTGGTACCACCTTAATAAAGACATTATGTATGTCAATCAAGACATTTTGTGTTTTAATAAAGACATATATCAATACAGCCATTTCCATAGAAGAAATTTTAGATTTAAGGAGGGAGATAAAGTTTCAAGACATTACATTTGGTCAATCTTTAAATTTTAAGATAAAATATTGAATGCTTTAAAATCTTAAAATATGAAAGACTACCTTAAAACGAATGCTATTCTATACAATAAATATATGCACTTAGTATTTGTTTTTTCTAATTTTGAATTCTGTATTGGTATAATGGGCTTCTGCTTCAGGCATATTTTAACCACAAGTTTAATTTTCAACATTATAGCAATTTTCCTAGAGATTCTGTTTAAGTGTTTATCCAGCAAAAAGAACCTACCATTCAAGACAGCAAACAAATGTGTAACAATCTTTTCTACAGCTTCATGATCACTACATTGTTCAGCTAAGCTCTTGAATGCATGTGCAGCCTCTTGTCTGGTATTCTCCTCCTTGGATCCAAATTGTGCTGCAAAAAAAAATAGTTTTGCTGTTTTAATCAACTTTTGTCATTTACACTGATCTGAAATAAAAGAAAAACTTTTACATTTCAAGCATCTCTGATAAAAAATAAATCTAGATTAATTTAAAGTTGGTTTATCTCTACAAGTCACATGGATTATTCTTAATTATCGCTATTTTACCAAATATTCCTTTGATCTTGCTGACTGATAATTTCCTTTCTCAGCGGAGTCGAGTGATATGAAAAATTATCGCTAGAAACTAAGAGGGCACGTGGCGTTGCTAATGAAATTGACAACGTCGTCAAAGGTAAAATAGCGATAAACAGATTATCATTGGTCATACCGGGTCAAGCGAGAAAATCAATCTCGTTGAGATGATCAACGATAATCTATAATTATACATTTCAGTGCTAAAACTCATACAGCTTGTTTCTGTCATCTTCCAATCTCTGCTAAGAAAATAATTTCATGAACATTTTCAAATCAAGTACTTAATAAATTTATCTTATCAGAACTTTTGTCTGTTACAAATATAATATATAAGAGAATGTCAATAGCCAGGTCTGTACATCTCTATTCATGTTTTAGATACACTATGGATTCAATAGTATTTGTGGGGTACAATTTTTTGTGGATTTTGCGGGTATATATAGTTAGACCACAAATTTAAATATCCAATGAAAGTGGAGACTTTGCTGATACAAAAGAGATGGAGGTGGCTTGGTCATGTTCTACGCAAACCATCTGAAGACATGACCAAGGTAGCCCTTAGAGGGACACCAGAAGGAAAAAGAAAAAGAGGAAGACCTAAAACAACATGGATACGCACTATAGAAAATGAATTAAAGGAAAGAGGATATACCTGGGGCACAGTGGAAAAAAAGCAAACAACAGAGAAGAGTGGAGGAAACTTGTCCTTGCCCTATGTGCCATAAGGCATAGCAAGGACTAAGTAAGTAATGAAAGTGTAAATTAGCTGTAGGCTTGAAGAAAATACACTTTAGCAATTCCACAAAATCAAATATCAAAGAAAATACAATTTTTCCTCATTACATGAAAATTGGTATCCACCAAAATAAATGTATTCTTAGAAAGTTTAACTAATGTATGATCTTTTTATAAACAACTTACTACCAATAATCTTGGACAGATCAGTAACATATTGACCTAAATCTAGAGACAGTCCTGACATCAGGTAATCAATACCTATAAAATAAAATATTAATTATATAAAATATGATAAAAAACAATTTCTCACTGATCTTTCTAGCTAGAAACATACAATCAAGAATAATGGCTGCCTTTTCCCAGAGATATATGCATGTCTGCTCTTATGTTCCTAAGCAGCATAAATAGTTTTTTCTTCTTCAAAACTGAATGTGCATTTTTTGTTCAATTTCTTCCTTGCAGAGATCTCTGCATGTACCATTTGTGTCCAATTCATATAAAATAGTTATATATAAAAATTATATATATCAACTGTTTTCTTTTCTGTTGGTCATAATCTTAGATTTCTGATCAGAATTTAAATATACCTTTTTGTTTTTTTGAGAGGAAAAGATAGTTTCTTATCAGAATAAACAAATGTATGTATAGTAAAATGCAAGTCTATAGACTAGCAACTGATCTTTTTACAAGTTGGTTATATTCTATTCTTTTAAAATATAATAAAATGCTCCGCTGGGGCGCAGCTTGATACGACCGCAGAGGTCGAACCCTGAACAGTTGGGGCAAGAATGGACACAACATTCAAGCTTGATACAACACTGAATTTGGATTGTAATTAAATATTTGACACAGCATAGGTTTCTGACACAGAATGAAAGTGGTCTAAGAACTTAAAAAATTTTAATTTACCTATTCAAACCATATCATTATTATTTGCATTAATATATAAATCAGAAATAACCAATTTAAAATGGAAAATTTTAAAGAAAAAAAAGGAAAAAAAAATCCCCCCCCCCCCCAAATTTTTTGAACCCCCTTATGATTCATCACCCCAAACTCAATCCCAGCCTTCCCTTTGTGGTATGGTACCTTGCAGTACAATTTCAGAGAGATCCATACACTTGAACACAAGTTATTGTCTGGAAACTAGAAAAATGCTTGTTTTTTGGCCCCAAATTCCTAAACGTTTAGGGCAATTACCCCAAAACTCAAACCCAGCTTTCCCTTTGTGATATGGAACCTTGCAGTACAATTTCATAAAGATCCATACACTTACACACAAGTTATTGTCCTGAAACTAGAAAAATGCTTGTTTTTTTGCCCTTTTATGGCCCCTAATTCCTAAAATTTTGAGACAATTACCCCAAAAATCAATCCCAGCCTTCCCTTTGTGGTATGGTACCTTGCAGTACAATTTCAGAGAGGTCCATACACTTGAACACAAGTTATTGTCTGGAAACTAGAAAAATTCTTATTTTTGGCCCCTTTTTGGCCCCTTATTCCTAAAATTTTGAGGCAATTACCCCCAAAATCAATTCCAGCATTCCCTTTGTGATATGGAACCTTGTGGTACAATGTCAGAGAGACCCATACACTTACACACAAGTTATGTCTGGAAGTTACCAAAATGCTTATTTTTGGCCCCTAATTCCTTAACTGTTGGTACCATAACCCCCAAAGTCATTCCCCACCTTCCTTTTGTGGTATTGAACCTTATGATAAAATTTCATTGAGATCCATTCACTTAAACTAAAGTTAGAGTGTGAAAACTAATGTGTCTTCGGACGACGACTACGCCAACGTCATACCAATATACGACCACAAAATTTTTTTTGCGGTGGTATAAAAAATTACAAAACTGTTTTCTTTACCAGGTTCTAAACAATCTATTGTTTTTACAAGAAAAAGAACTGAAATTTGTAAAACAAATATTCATACTCTCTAATATAACTTCAGGATTCCTTAGCATAGATTTCTGTGCTGCTGGTAGAATTTGTCCTTTCATGTCCTCATGACTGCAGTGTCTTAAAATATCCTTACAACTGACCTATAACAGATACCATAAAAAAAGGTTATGTTAGACATTGTAAAATATGTGAATCTTCCAAGGAAGATATGTGCTGTATACCCTCTCCAAATAATATAAGCAGAAATGGTGAAGTCCATGTTTTAAATGGGAAACAAAATCACTAAGAACAAAAATTAAAACAGCATGTGCACAACTTCCTGTTCTGTAGAAGCTATGCAAGTTTGGTTGAATTCTGTCATCAAGGCATTTTCAAGGAGTTGTTGATTAACAAAGTTTGATGAGGACTACAACGAAAGATGATAGAAAAGATCCTTATACATATAAATAAGGAGATGTGGTATAAGTGCCAATGAGAAAACTCTCCATCCAAGTCACAATTTGTAAAAAGTTAACAATTATAGGTCAAAGTACGGACTTCAACACAGAGAATTGGCTCACACCGAACAGCAAGCTATAAAGGGCCCCAAAATGACTAGTGTAAAACCATTCAAACAGGAAAACCAAAGGTCTAATCTATATAAAAAAACGAGAAACGAGCATGTATGTATAATATTTTGCTACATCCTCCCTGTTATGTGACACAATAATTTGTACTCAGTTGAATTTTAAGGATAGCTTAATTGACTAATGGCTCTATGCATTAATCCTATATAGAATTATTACAACAGAAACTGTATGTTTCTCTTCAACAGGAAATAGACATGATTCTACATTGGCTAGAGGTATGGGGGAGGGTTGAGATCTCACAAAACATGTTTAACCCGCCGCATTTTTGCGCCTGTCCCAAGTCAGGAGCCTCTGGCCTTTTTTTATCTTGTATGTTTTTTTATTTTAGTTCATTTATATGTTTTGGAGTTACAGCTCTTTTCATAATGCTAGCAAGGCAAAGGTTTGTTTGGCTTGCTTGCTTTGTTTGTATTAATGTTTGCTCAAGCATTGTTATTAAGATTGACATCTGAAAACAACATAAAAAGGAGGATTTAAACTTGTATACATTATATTTAAATTTGATTGGACATTATCAAATTATCAAATAATCAAATTTACCTTTACAGAGATTTAACTCCGCCTACTTTTATTGTTTGCAGATGTCAATCTTAATTACAATGCTTGAGCAAACATTGATACAAACAAAGCAAGCAAGCCAAACAAACCTTTGTCTTGCTAGCATTATGAAAAGAGCTGTAAGTGTGACGTCTATTTTCATTGAACTAGTACACATTTTTGTTTTGGGGCCGGCCTAAGGGTGCAGGATTTTCTCGCCGTGTTGGAGACCCATTGGTGGCCTTCAGCTAATTTCTGCTCTTTGGTAGGGTTGTTGTCTCTTTGGCACGTTCCCCGTTTCCATTCTCAATTTTATGATGAACACAAGCTGTATTTATAAACCCTTTATTTTTATTATCTTCATTTTTTAGTTTAACAAAAAAGGATGGCAAATCAAACATTAGTATTTATACTGGTGCAGAGTAATAGGTAGAAACAGGACAAAAATCATGTAACTTACAAGTAACTGTATTTGTGGCTTAGTTCTACTTCCAAGTAACTGCTTCACAAAAATCTCCAGGAATGGACCCTATAACAGAATAAAATGCTGCGACTACTTTAAAGGCATACAAAATGTTGTAAAAAATGTAAAATTATGTTCAAACTATTCTTATTTAAAAGAAAAATAAATGAAGAATGTGTCCCCATGGACACAGAAGATGCCCCCACTTGCATACAACATTATAAAGGGACACAACTCAAGAACAATAAAAGTGACGCTACCCAAATTTGTACTTGATCTGAGTTTTGTGGTAATAAGTATTGTGTAAAGGTTTCATAATGTTTGGTTGGGGCAAACTTAAGTTACAGAACAGGAACTAAAAATTTTGCAATTTTTTCGATTTATAAAGGGGCATAACTCAATAATGATTAAAGTGACTCCACCAAAATTCAACTTGATCTGTGTTTTGTGTTAAAAAGCATTGTGTATAAGTTTCATAATATTTGGTTGAGACAAACTTAAGTTAAAGAACGGAAACTAAAAATTTTGCAATTTCTCCATTTATAAAGGGGCATAACTCTAGAACAGTTAAAGTGACGCCACAAAAATTCAAAATTGATCTGTGCTTTGTGGTAATAAGCATTGTGTGTAAGTTTCATAATATTTGGTTGAGGCTAACTTAAGTTAGAGAAAGGAAACTAAAAATTTTGTAATTTTTCCATTTATAAAGGGGCATAACTCTAGAACAGTTAGAGTGACGCTACCAAAATTCAAACTTGATCTGTATTTTGTGGTAATAAGCATTGTGTATAAGTTTCATAACATTTGGTTGAGGCAAACTCAAGTTAGAGAACGGAAACCAATTTTGGTATGTACAGACGTACATGTACGTATGCACAAACGAACGTACGTACAGACGGACAAGGGTAAAACTTAATGCCCCCTCCGCTACAGCGGGGGCATAAAAATTAGTCAAATAAAATTGAAAAGAGGTTTATCATGTTTTCTGGCTATTATTGTCAATAAAATAAAGGAAGAGATTGTTTATACATGTATACTCAAGTTCAGTGGAAACAGAAATCCAGTTATCTTTCTCTGCCCAGATTTTAAATCAGATAGTTTTAAGTGTCTTTTTAATTTTGCAAGCAGAGATAACTGACTATGACCTGTTTGCTATATGTCCATCCAACATCATTCCCAATGTTTACCTTGAACTTAGTAATCAAGTCCTGATTTCTTTTGTTGTAGAAATATTTCATGAGTACACTGGCTGCAGACAAAATAAACATAGAGGGTTCAACATTCTGTAACATCTGTCCATACTCTTCTGGCACCTTATCATCCTGTACAAAGGAAGTATAAATTATGTACAAAGTTCTCCATTAAAATCCTTAAACACATAATGCTTGAGTCTAGCATGTCTAGCAGACAACTGAATTTATCTTTTTACATGACAACCAGGATAGAGTCCAGCCATTAGACCTAAATATACCAATATACCTCTCTAGTATAGAGATTTCTTAAGATATCTATGAAACTAGTGCAGTCGACTCCACTTAATCGCATACCGCTTAATTGCATAATTCGGTTAATTGCATAATTTTCTCCTGCACAAAACCATTTCCCATTCAACTAATGTTAAATTCTCCAGGTATCTGCATAACCTAACAAGTGGCCTTTTGGTTAATTTCATAGAAAAAAATCGCCAGCTAGATATGCTTCCTTAGTTAAAACTGACGAGATTTTTGACATGAAACAGCAATTTGGTAATATATTTTTCTTGAATGCATTCTTATTTTTCGTTACTATTTCATATTCACTTTTGTGTTATTTAAATAAAGTTTTATAACAGTTTCTTTCTTGTATATTTTATGGGATATTGATTTGTACACAGGTAAAGTTTCCTTTATTCTATTTTAAGCCTCGACGTCATAATATGACCAATCTCTCTCAAAAGGTGTCAATTATTGATTGGATTTCAAACATGTCCATAGATTACATTTGGGTATATTTTGAATACAATGACTCCTGGTATTTCACTTTGAAAGACCATCCAATGTGTACACTTGTAATTCAGCTTGGGGTGAATTGCATTCAGGTTAAACATTACAGGGCATTTATATTATATGGTTTTCAATTTTTATATGCCAAACATTTACTTTTGTAATTGTTGAAAAGAGCATTTACTTCTTATTATCATATTTTCTGAAGTTCAACACTTGCGTCAAGCAAATAACCCGTAAAGGGCCCCTTCACTGCTTTGCATAAACGGAAACTATCGAGTGTTACATTACTGTGCCAGTGGTACGTACTGCATAAAAAGTGTGATAATCTACTTTGATATCAATACACATCTTGTACCAAATTTTATTCAATTACTTTCACAAGAATAAGATACTGATAACATACTTTCATAATTTCTATCAACTGCTTAAATTTGATATCTTACCTTTTCACATTAATTCATAATAGCAATATTTAACAAATTTTGATTTACAAAGGAAACTATACGCTAGTGTATGTCTAAAATTGTGTCTTTTTTTTTTAATTCAAAGGCAAACTATATATCAAAAGTGGTAGTAAATGATTAAAATGATGTTAAAACTTTCAGCAAGTCATAAAACACATCATTAATTTATAATCAGTCTTCAATTAAGAATTTTGCACCATCTTAAAATCTGGGGTGATCATAGAGTTTGGCTGGACCAAAAATACATAAGTACTTACACTTTTGAACACATGAACCATCTTCTTGTACACAGCACCGCTGATGGTCTTGTTTCCTGCTGCTAGAGCTCCATATACAAATCCACACTGAACTGAAACCTAAAATCCAATAATCTTAATCATTCATATCTTTTTATAACTCATCGTGAAATTCACTCTTTCATTCGAGCCGCATTGGATAGAAATCGACCCTTATGCAAGTGCACATATACATGTACATGCATAAGACTTAGAGTGATTTTAGAACATTCAGATAGGATATAAAAGATAAACTTTGGTCAGTTTTGTAGGGTTCTTCTATCTCAACTCAATTTTCAAACAGTTACAGACTTTGCATAGAGATTATTTTCAACTGAAAATAGGTTAACAGATGTATTGATATCATTTGCATAAGGTCCATTTCTATCCGACGCAGCTCATTTAAAACTAACTACAAGTATAAAAGTTACATTAAGTACAGCAATCAAATAACACCCTACAGATGATAGGTATAACTTAAAAAGTAATCTGAAAACCTAAACAATCTGAACTACTGACTAAATTAAAAGTGAATTAATGAACCATGAAAATTAGGTCAAACTAAGGTGACTTTAAACTTTAAAATGTGGATCAATTTACTGCTACATTGACAATCTAAATCACATATAAAATTTTTTTAATTTCAAAGCACTTCAAATAAGACAACTTTTAAAAGATCTATGTCAGGTAATTAGAGGAAAAAGCTGTTTATCTGTACTGTACTTGACTGTGTGCCAACTTATTAACAATATTATGACAGAGTTTCTAATTGAAGCTATTTTAATACAAATATGCCCCTAATGCCACATTGTCACTCGAAAAATGAACAGGTGTTAGGGACAATAGTCTAGCCAAAAAGTCTATTAAAATGCTTTGTTCGTCACGATCAATGTTGGTTTTTGTGGATATTTACATGAAATAAATGTGGATAGTGTCCACATGTGGACACAGATTATGCCCCCGATTGCATATCATATAGTTATAAAGGGACATAACTGAAGAACGGTAAAAATGACGCTACACAAATTTGAACTTGATCTGAGTTTTGTGGTAATAAGCATTGTGTGTAAGTCTCATAACATTTGGTTGAGGCTAACTTAAGTAGAGAACAGAAACTAAAAATTCAGCAATTTTTTCTATTTGGTTGAGGCAAACTAAAGTTAGAAACGGAAACAAAAAATTTGTACTTGATCTTAGTTTTGTGGTAATGAATATTGTGTATAGGTTTCATAATGTTTGGTTGGGGCAAACTTAGGTTACAGAATGGAAACTAAAAATTTTGCAACCTTTCGATTTATAAAGGGGCATAACTCAATAATGGTTAAAGTGACACTACCCAACTTCAACTTGATCTGTGTTTTATCAGTGGAAGTCAAAATTAAACATTGCATTGTATAAAGCATTGATTGTAAGTGCTTCAACTATAATCATGGACAAAGGAAGATAACTCCAATTTTAAAAATAACTTGATATTTAGAAGAAAATAAAAATTTTGCAATTTTTCCATTTATAAAAGGGGCATAACTCTAGAACTGTGAAAGTGACGCCACCAAAATTCAAACTTGATCTGTGTTTTGTGGTAATAAGCATTGTGTATAAGTTTCATAACATTTGGTTGAGGCAAATTTAAGTTAGAGAACGGAAACTAAAAATTTAGCAATTTTTCCATTTATAAAGGGGCATTACTCTAGAACGGTTAAAGTGACACCACCAAAATTCAAACTTGGTCTGTGTTTTGTGGTAATAAGCATTGTCTATAAGTTTTATAACATTTGGTTGAGGCAAACTCAAGTTAGAGAGCGGAAACCAATTTTGGGACGTACGTACGTACAGACGGACAAGGGTAAAACTTAATGCCCCCACCGCTACGGCGGGGGCATAAAAACTGTAAAGATAAGCAGATATATATTTGTCTGTTTTACAAAGTCAAACGAACCCCAAATGAAGTTGACTATTTCATTTAATACTTATCCACGTACAAGTTGTTTAATGTCATCTGATGATACTTGAGCTTTGTTACGGTAGATTTCTTTCAACACAACACAGACCCATGCCAATGCAAACAAGGACTCTCCTGACAAACTGTGGCTGCAAAGATAATATTTTCTTTAAATACAGAAAACACATACATGTGCATGTAAAGTTTGTAACAACATAGGATTTCTTACAATTTTTCTTCCATCTCAAAACAAATAAATATAAAATATTAAAAAGAGATGTATTATGATTGCCAATGAGACAATTTTTGATCAGTCCAAATGACTCGGGTGTATATTCATGATATTTTACACTTTGTTTTTTCTCTTTAGCCTTAAAGAGTGCTTCATATGTTGGTGTCATTTCATCTGGAGCATTAGTTTATTACTGTAAGTTTTTACCTTGCATTTACAACATTAGTCTGCAGAGAAGACTTTGAACTAAGTACAATAGCTGTATTCTTAACAACCACTGCAGGAAAGGCTTTTGTTAATATCTGTATTATCTTCAGAACAGCTCTCCTAGACTTGGCATCTTGATATGCTCCTATTGCCTGGACAAGATACTTCAGAATTCCTTTCACTGCATTCTCTGGTAAATCTGAAAATATGGTTCAACATGTTTAAGATTTATTAATAAATGCTAATTTTAACTTTCTCAAAGAAATCATATCCTAATATATAAGATGGTCAGTCAAATATTATATTGGATGTGGTTAATAAAATTCTTAAGACGTATCTCCAATGTACATGATGTATGAAGTGTAAGCAGAACAAGCAGGTTACATGTGATGTCGTGCAAAGTATATACTCCAACATCTAACCAAAAATTTCAATGATCAGTGGATACATAAATAAATAGGGAACATGTCAATGGGACATAGATGATGCCCAGGCTTGCATATAATGTTATAAAGGGACATAACTCAAGAAAGGTATAAGTGACGCCACCCAGATTCCTATTTGATCTGAGTTTTGTGGTAATAAGCATTGTGTATAAGTTTCATAACATTTGGTTGAGGCAAACTTCAGTAAGAGAACGGAAATGAAAAATTAAGCAATTTTTCCATTTGTAAAGTGGCATAACTCTAGAAACAGTTAAAGCAACGCCACTAAAATACCAAACTCGGAGAGACACGATTTAAAAACACTGATCATAAAAATGGCGGTGCACCTAGCGAAAAGAGGAACATTCATAACATACATACATCAAACATTATGCATCCGTCGCCGGAATAGTCTGTGAAAATGAAAGTAAGATGGGTTGATATATTGTATTAAAATTGTTAAACAAAATTTGCAAAAATAAAGATACCAGAAAGCTTCATTCTCCGGTGACAGTTTTCATGATTTTTCTTGTTGCCCAGCCCTAAAACAACCTGATGACCTAACAAATAAATTGCAAAGTTTTATGTTGCCCAGCAGAACTTAGTATCATCTATGACGAACGGACTACACCTTTTTTTGAGACCAGAAACATGTAAAATCAACTTGTAAAACACCAATAACCTCAGAAGCCCATCCTATAGCACCTCCCTCTTATCAATGTTAACATGCTGCTTGTTTGATTATGATATTATCTTATCGTATTTGATCAGGTCAGGAATAACCATCAATTGCTGGATAGACCAATTGAGGTATAATGCAGTTTTTATCACAATTTTTTTTTAAAGAGATATTGGAGCATCTTTTTGCATATACAATCTTAGGCGGTGATGAGTACTCATTAGTGACATGTAATTACTTCTGACTTCCTGTGCTGCGTTTTGTGAAAATGTGGATCATACTTCAATTGAGGTATAATCGACCAATTGATTGATATTCTGGACTGGATTCATTAAGTTTCATCAATTCCAACTTTTAAGATTTGTTAGTCAAAATGGACAGGAAGAGACTACAGAACAAAAATAATAATTAATAGATGTGTTTAACAGTAGGAAAATGAGGGTCATATTAGTTTTTAGGTTTCTCTAACAAATTGCAGCTCGAAGTGTTGGAATCAATTACATGTCATCACTAGGCGGTCATCAAAGCTTGTTATGGTAAATGCGAAAAGATGCTCCAATATATCTTAAATTGTTTTGGGGACTAAAAACTGCAATAAACCTCAATTGGTGTAACCCATTTTATGTCAAATGGTGGATTATACCTTATTTGAGGTATAATCAACCAATTAATGGTTATTCCTGACCTGTTGATAGTAGAAAAAGGGGGAGTATGTCATATGTCTGTATCATGTAGTTGAATTGTTTTCAAGATAAAAATATGTGAAAATGTGATGGAATAACTGTTAATTCTTGTTTACTTCACTTAAAACATGCCTGACTTATTACCTTGTTTGCTTGAACATATTGCCACATCATTCAGACTTTCCAGTCGCTCTTTGGTGCTCGGATTGGTAACATTTTGAGCAAACTTCTTTAAAATATCAGCACTCTACAAAGAAATTAATATATCATTAATTTGATGGCAAATATGCAATAACTCTGATTCATTTAAAATTCTTCGCTAGTTTTATATTTTTACCGAAATTCCCGCATGTTCCGCCATGCTGGATGGTTGTGCAATGCCCGGTGCGGCAAATTCTGTGTATTTTTCAGTCAATGGAATGTATGATAAGGTGTTGGACGTTGAGTTTTGGTTGAATGTTGCCTTAAAGACTTATTTCTCGGAAAATATATCAATGTTTATCTGGTTTCTTAGTGGAAATCTATTTTTTTCATAACATCGTGTAAGGAACTCTTTTTAATTAAAGATACAAAAGTGTAATCGAAGAATAAGAAAATAAACAATTTCGGATTATTATCCGGAAAGAACTAGGGAAATCTGTATCTAGCAACACTGGACAGTCAGAAAGCTTTTTATGTGGTATATCATATGATTTCATTGAAGAAAATAACGTTCTACGAGTTCACCTGATATATTGAGAGTAATTGAAGATCTATACACAAATATATCAGCAGAAGCTAAATGACAGAAATGCGCTTAGACTTTAGCTTTGTCGGTTTAATTTTAAGTTGTACTTCAGTTTTAGTTATGGTTAGAATATCAGTTGTGTTTTGTATGTTATTCTATATGACTTTGCTGTATTTATGAGTTTTAACATGTGCTTAATTCTTTATCTGTATGCTTTTTGTTTTGTGCTGTGTTGTTTTGTGTCTGGGACTAACAGATAAATTCAATGTATTAGGATACCAGGATGTGTTAAAAGTGAAGTGTATATGTACTTGATCTGACCAGGAACATATATATTAGATGTACTGTTCCCAGATCTTGCCTAATTTTTTTCTTGGTAATTAATTTGGAAAATATTACTTTATTGTAATATTATTTGAAAGGTAATTGTTGTCCTACAATCTCCCAAATTACAATATTGTCCAGTAAAATAATATTCCGATTAAGTGTCGTTTTTGTCCAGAATATAAAAGAAATGTTTTTCCTTAAATGACACTTTATTGTAATATTATTTGAAGGTATTTTTTTGTTGTCCTACAATCTCTTAAATTACAATTTAATATTGTTCAGTAAAATGATATTCCGATAAAGTGTCGTTTATGTCCAGTGGCGGATCCAGAAATTTTCATAAGTGGGGGCCCACTGACTGCCTAAGAGGGGACCCGCTCCAGGCATGTTTCAGTGATTCCCTATATAATCAACCAAAATTTCCCACAAAAAAAGGGGGGGGGGGTCCGGGCCCCCTGACCCCCTAAATCCGCCTCTGATGTCCAGAATAAAAAAAAACTCTTCCTTAAACGACACTTTATTGTAATATTATTTGAAAGGTTATTAATTGTCCTACAATCTTCCAAATTACAATATTGCCCAGTAATATAATATTCCGATAAAATATCGTTTTTGTGCAGAATAAAAAACAATTTTTTTTCCGTAAACGACACTTTATGGTAACATTATTTGATAGGTAATTGTAGTACTCCAAACTCCCAAATTATAATATTGATCGGTAAAATATTATTCTGATAAAGTGAAGAATACCCAGCTCCTGATGGTGTTAATACTAGTCTTCCACTTGGTATAAGTTCATGTCTGCAAGAGAATGCTTTTTATACATAATAAGAAAGAACAATTATTTGATGACTGTCCCTCTGGTAACAAATCTAGTATCTAGTCCGTAACAACGACAATATCTTTACCAGCGACAAAAAAAAAAGAAATTACTTCGACGATTGTGGTATATGGGATACCAAAAAAAGCCGCATCCATCCACAAGACTACTTGCTAAGTGACAATTTAGGACAATTTAAAAAAAAATGTCAGTATTGTTTAAAGCAACGCCAAAAAAGTCAAATGGTATGGACACCTTTAGAACCTCAATCATCGCAATCTGATGTCGTCACTATTCATCGCTATTAAACAGTTTTAAAATCAAATAGTTTATTAAAGAAACATGTGTCCTGGTTATCGTCAACTACAGATGCAACCTTGCAAGATATTGCTTTGTACGAGTATCAGGGAACCTACATTATTAACTTCCAGAATAAGGTCCGTACTCATCCCAACATTATCCGCCAAGTACAAACCGAATTCGGCCACAAAAAGCCGAAAGAGATCTTCCTGCAATTGAATAAAGACAATTCGTTGAACGCTCCTCATGACACAAAACAAATAAAAAAATGCAAAATACCAGCAAAAGCAAGCAAACCAACCATCCAATTCAATAGAAACAACATAGCCGACGAAATATTCGAAGTTTTGAGTATGCTAAACGACCATCCATTTGTTCAACAGGTCATTCATAAAAAAGGACAAGTGCTATCTATCCTCTGTTATGCAGAAAACCAAATGACTGACTTAAGATGTTTCTTGCGAGTTCTGATGGTGCTGTTGGTGTAGACAGAACATTTAATTTGGGAAGCTTTTTTGTGACTATGCCTTAGTCTACAACCATCACAGAGTTGTCAAAAAGATACAAAAGACCACCCAATATTTATTGGTCCGCTGCTCTTGCACAAAGACGCATCCTATAAAACGTATTATGCATTTTTGTCTCATCTGGCGTCCGAGTTTAAAATAAACAGTTTTGATTTACGCATTCCAGAGGAACTTGTCTTCGGTTCGGACGACAAGAAGGCGACGACTAAAGCCATTTCATCAGCAACCAGACTCCTGTGGACAAAACAATTTAAAACATTACTTGCAGAAAAAATTGGTGTGGAAGTAAAAGAACGCATTCAACTAATAGATATCATTTCTGGCAAAGACGGGGAAGTTAATGCAAACAGCACTAGCTGTAGATTTTGAAGTCAAGAATCTTCAAGGAGCAAATTGACTAGTATCCGAAGCTTGCCCAATACTGAATTGACAACTCCAAACCACGAATAAAAACATTTGTTAATGAACCTAGTCGACACAAGACAGATCCGAAAAATTATGGACAAACAACAATGCTGAAGGCATAAACCATGTCTTCAAAGTTGCAATCAATTGTAAACCACAGTCTACTCCAGATTTAATAAAAAAAAACTTTACGACTGTGTGCTGGTATAATTTGTACACATGAGAGGTTGCCTTCATGGACACGGTGGCTACGAATTAATCCCCAGTGAGGGCCATTATTTGATCTCTGATCAACTCTGGTGGTGCAATACCGAAGAAGAAAAATGCACATTATTGGACAATCATTTACTAGACAGAAAAGAAAAAGGAAACAGCCAAGATATGTTCATCAGATGGGAGTTTTCTGGTTTAAATAAGGAGACAACAATATGCTAACAAACCTTTGCCAAAGGAAAAGACAAAAAAAATGAAAGCACAGAAAAAAGATAGACACTCTGTTTTGAACGTGTAGTAAAATATTTAATATGTATAGTCATTGAAGTAATAAAAAATTCATGTATGAAAATATTAGTCACTTGCATTTGTTTGTGAAAAGCTAACAAGGAAGGAGAAGGTGAAATTGACAGAATGGCAATGCAGACCCAAAATAAAAAATATGATTGTAAAAGAAAAAAGAAAAATATGATAGAAAGAAAAAATCTACAGAAAAAAGGCTGCCTTTAATCACATATACACATATTAAAGCTCATTGACCAATAGATAAATAGTTTAATTTAGACATCGATCAACACTTGAACACATTTACATAAAATTTTACAAATGGGATACACACAAGTCTGGAGCTGGCATGTCAGTAACTGCTAGTAGTCTGTTGTTATTTATGTATTATTGTCATTTTGTTTATTTTCTTTTGTTTCCTATTCTGACATCGGACTCGGACTTCTCTTAAACTGAGTTTTACTGTACGTACTGTTGAGCGTTTGTTTTTTCTACATTGGCTAGAGGTATAGGGGGAGGGTTGAGATCTCAAAAAACATATTTAACCCCGCCGCATTTTTGCGCCTGCCCCAAGTCAGGAGCCTCTGGCCTTTGTTAGTCTTGTATCATTTTTAATTTTAGTTTCTTGTGTTTAATTTGGAGTTAAGTATGACGTCCATTATCACTGAACTAGTATACCTATTTGTTTGGGGGCCGGCCGAAGGACGCCTCCGGGTGCGGGAGTTTCTCGCTGCATTGAAGACCCATTGGTGGCCTTCGGCTGTTGTCTGCTCTATGGTCGGGTTGTTGTCTCTTTGACACATTCCCCATTTCCATTCTCAATTTTACATATGAAATTACGATAATAGTTCAACCTATTTTAATCCTTTTTATAGTTTATTGAGTTTTATTGAGTCAAAGTACTGCATTTTCAAGTTTGACTTGGCTTTTGGGGTGGTCGGTGGTGTTCGGTGGTGTTCGGCGGTGTAATTATTTTGTATTCAGTTAAAAGCTCTTCGAAGAGCCATTGTTTGTATTGTTATGACAATCGAATCAAAATAAAACTCTTGTATCGTAAAACAGTCATATATTATACGTAATTCGTTCTCAATACAACAAGGAGTAAGACAAGATGGAGTACTGTCTATAAAATCTGCATCAATGAACTAACCATGTTAAGTTAAACCTTTTAAAACAAGTCGCAAATACTCGGCAACGTTACCTTTTGGTACTCAAACTAGAACTCATAAACCCTCATGCATGATGAACACCTAACTATTCACAAAAAGGCATAGTATAAAAGATGTTGCAGAAACCTGATATAATCACGGTTACGTCCGAAGCGAACAGACGAATGCATGGGCTAACTTACAAACAAATGCACGACGATCACCATGACTATTCCATATGCTTCACTGTCGCTAACAAGGGTACAATTGTAAAGAAATACATCTGAATTACAGAAGACATTCAAAGTTATGATGTTATAATTACGTATGATATGTGCCAGTTTACGAAAATGAAGAAATTCCTAATTATATGCAGTTTTCTTTGTGGGGAACATTTTACACAGCCATAAAACAATCAGATGATTTTATAGAAGTTCTAATAGCTTTTTTTTAACTTGTCAAAATTTAAAGTGTTTCTCGGTGTACAGATACTTTTCGAATCCAAATACCCTCAGTCGATATAAAACTTAAAAAATTTAAGACACGTAACAAAATATATCATTTTCGACATGGTTTGTTGCTATGCTAACTCATTTAATGTAAAAGTATGATTCTAATTTATTCATGAACACCTCTTACCTTAGGCATTCAGAGCAGATTTAGTATTTTTTTGTATTTGTTTGATTTAGTTTTTTAGAGGATAAATCTCCGATGAATCTTTCGTAAACGTTTTTACTTGTTACAATATTTCCAACTTTCTAACAAATATTATTGAATAGTTTATTGTTCACATGACGTCACTTTCTAATTAATTCGCTATAAATGCTAAAGTGCCAAAACAAGGGAATAGATTGTGCAATTCATTTTAAATTTCTTTTATTAGAACGTAAGATAAAGACAATTTATTAGATGCAATATATACTACAAAACAATAATTTAAAGTCCATTTTTTAAATTTATTTTGTTTCGATTGCTAAAATGAATGTCTTCTAATGAAAAAAATACGCTAGCAATTACATATACACTTTTTAATGTTACAGATAAATAACAATTCCTATCGTCAAAGACAAAATTATCTCTCATAAATGATACGAACACGGACACAAATACAACGTATTGGGAATTCATTGAAAAAGGAAATTAATATTTGACTGAATGCTGGACGTCTTATTATTTCCGGTTTGGTTAATTTAAAATCGAAATCGCGTCATAAAGTGAAGTTGACGACGGTTCATAAATATAGAACTGAATATTATCAGCAAGTAAGTCTTTTTTTCAATTATCATTTTCGAAAACTAATATCATTCAAAATGTAACAACTAGAATGACGTTGTTGTATAGTATATATTAAAGAATTACATGTGTTAAGGATCGACGTTTCTTCTTTAAAAGTCATATGAAACTAGTTTCCTGTAATCATAATGCTATCGAAACTTTTGAACCAATGCATGCATATACTATATAGTTACTAAACAAAGTCCTGTATGCACGTGTTTACAATTATTACGAATCTTTAACGTATTATCGACACATAATATTTCATTCAGTGATTGCTTTTGGGTTTGTTGCCGAAGTTTACCGAATCGTGACATTGATAAACAATTAACACAGAGCATGTGGAGCACGTGAAAATTAAGTGAATTGATAGAGTCGTGATATTTAGGTTATATATTTTCCATGCGCTCCCATTTGTTAATTAAACTTTTCCTTAACAGTTGCTAAATGATTTGGTGTATTTTATTTGTTTTAAAAAAACATCAGTTATTACTTTTTACCTTCCCGTGCGCGTTTGTTTTAATTATTCCATCACTGTCCCCTCGCACTTGCGCTATGTAATGGCCGAAATTCCAACAAGAGGTCTCGTACATTACGTCACGATAAACGAGAAAATATCGGCGAATTAGAGTACAGGAAGGACAACAATTAAATAGCAGTACATTAAATTAAATGACATAAAGGATTTTCTTTTAAAAGAAAGTTCACCTACGATTGTTTTTTTTTTGTAAAACTTAGCCATTCAAGTTTATATTTTAAAACATATTCAACTTTTTTTTAAGTTTTGAGTTTCATATGACTATTGTTGTCACTGTTGACAAACCCGATAAAGTCTAAATGGTATAATTGTTTCTTTCGACTTTGTTCAGCTTGCATCAATTTATATTTACTATAAGATATTGTTAATTATTTAGCAAGACATACATTTGCATACGAGTTGCTGAAAAACTATATAAATCTATAAAAAAAAATTCTATGATTGAATGACATAAAATGATTCAATATTTGTATTTCAGATGAATGATTGCATATAAACCTGATAAATGATGCGGAACATATTTTTTATTATATCGATTCTTGGCAAGGTTTATACTGAATCGTGTCCAAACTACTGTGAATGCGTCTATGAAAACCAAACCAGTCGATATACTGGAGAGTGTACAGGAGAGCAACTGACTTATATACCAAAATTTCCTAAATATATTACGGATATTGTGTTCATCAATAATTATTTATACACTTTATCCAGAATAACATTTAGAAATATATCAAGTCTGAATATAACTCATTTAAATCTGAAGGAAAATAGGATAACAGTTATTGAAAGAAATGCGTTTCAAGATTTGAAATTCTTGGTGCGATTGGATATATCTGGAAACAATGGAACTACCCTGATAGATGTTAGGGTGAGCCTGCACAACTTACCGAAGTCAAGCATCCAGGAACTGGGACTTAACCATATGCTCTGGATTCCACTTAAAAATATGTCTGGTATTTTCAGCGGATTAATTGGAAGCAAAATTAACAGGATAGAATTAAGTCATAGTTACTTATATCCCTTTGATGGTACATGGTTCGCCAATCTTCCTTCCTTGCAGCAGCTGGACATTTCATGGAATTCTATAACTGATGATTTACAATTGTCTGGACTTTCGAATCTGACACGTTTAAACTTAATAGGGAACTACTTCAATTTTGTTCCAAACTTTTGTGAATACAAGTTATACAAGTTAAAGACATTACTTCTATCTAACACTAAATTGGGTACTTTAAAGCATTTAAAAAACCATACTCGATGTTTAAACAAACTGGAAAGACTTTTTTTGAACGGAATATCAGTACCAAGAATACCAAATAATGCTTTTTCTGATATTACATCTTTGAAAGAGCTGAAACTGAGGAAATTGTCAACACAAATGAAAAAGATTGACCCGCTTGCGTTTAACAGCTCTTCTCTCATAAATCTAAGGTTTTCAAAATGTAATGGATTCCTTTTCTTTCGAGGGTCTATCAGTCATGGACTATTTGATCCAGCAAATATTTTCAAATACTGTCCAAATATTGAAGATCTAGATCTGTCTCACAACGTATTAGAATTTACACTTGAAAAGATCAGAAATATGTTCACGCCATTAAAAAAGTTGAGAGTGATACGGCTGCGATTTTTAAATTTGGCAACTCTGCCAGGCAACTTCTTTTACCGTTTTCCAGATTTACAAGAAATACACATAGACCATAACATATTATTGCCATGGAAAGACGGTAACTCTATTTTTCATGGGTTAACACATCTTACAGAACTGCATTTACAAAACAATAAAATTGGGATGATAAAACCTACATCTTTACCTGCTAATGTAACTAAAAGTCTCCGTGTATTAAATCTTACAAACAATCAGTTCATTTGTACTTGTGATCTTATGTGGTTTCGAAATTGGATGAAAAATACCCGCGTGGATATAATTGGAAATGAAAAGTATAGATGTGATGATAGAACGAGACTCATAGATTATAACCCAACTGAGATTGAATGTAGAAACATCATACTAATCAGCACGGCTGTCATTGGAAGTAGTTTTTGTTTATTTTTATTCACTACTATTCTCGTCTACTGTTGCAGATGGCGTATTCGATTCCAAATTTATAAAATGCGGTCACGAGCACGTTATTATCAGCAAATTAATGACGAAGATTTCAAATATAGTGCTTACGTTATATATTGTTACGAGGACATCAAATGGGTCAAAACTAATCTCATACCTAAAATGGAAGAAGCGATAGGAGTTAAGCTTTGTATTCCTCACAGGGATTTTGAAGTAGGAAAAGTGTTTATTGACAATATTGTTGATAACATGAATTTAAGTAAAACTGTCGTACCAGTACTTTCAATTAACTTCACTAAAAATGAATGGTGTTTATTTCAACTAAATGTAGCTCGTAGCAAGTTATCAAAAGATGGTACTGTGTCAATTTTGCCAATTATGCTTGAAGAAATTCATTTTAGAAATATGAATGCAGCTTTATACTCTTTGATAAAATTGTCAAGTTATGCTGCATGGAGTGAAGACGAAAATGCCTTGGAACTTTTTTGGGATCAGATAAAAAGTCATGTACAATAATTATTTTGATAATTAATCAAACATTGAGCCTTATGATTTACCCACACATTGTATATTCATTCCCGCCGGTAATTTATTAACGTAAAATAAATATAAGAACAGAGTTCAAATGTTCTCCCTTGCACATAATTTATCTGTAAAAGTTTTTTTTGTTTGTTCTTAAAGCTTTTAATAAATGTCTTAATCGAGAAATGTAGGCTTTAGAGCGCTTACCATGCAAATTTCCATTTAATTGATATTTCCAAGGACATAACGCTTTTAAAAATAGTTGATCGGCACTGATTTGCAAACTTGGCCGAGACATTGCTGATATAAACCTTTGATATACATTTCATAATTATCTAGCAAGAATTGTACATGTGGGAGCCCTTACTATACAATTTTCTATAGAATTAAGATTTCTGTGGGTCACAACTCCTGAAAAAAAAACCCAATTGATTAGCGCTGGTCCTCGAACTTGTTCCAGACATTGCTGATATAAACCTTTGATATATATTTGATAAAAATCTTGCAAAAAGCGTACACATGAGAGCGCTTACAACTCAATTTGAAATTTTCCGTTTACAAATTAAAACAAACATTAAGAAACTAAATGTTCCCAACTCCCTGGGTCAAAGTTGACCTTAGATGAATTTGACTATTTTAGGTCCCTTGTGGTCTTATAGCTCTTCACGTGTTTAGATCTTATATATCACTGGTATTCAAGATGTTTGGGTTTGATCGTTACTGATGAATGAGAATATATCCTCGATTATAATAAATTGTTATTTTCATTTCATATAAAAGGCCCCGTCATGGCAAATGTATAACGAAAGAGAAAACCAATGGCATAATTTATATCAAAACAATAAACGAAAAGCAATTAAGACATACAGCAACAAACGACAACCATTAAATATTACAGATGAGACTGACACATGCAGAATGTGTGCGATGTTAAAAATGTTTGCGAGTCCCTCCCCCTTAATCCTGGGACAGTGGTGTAACAGCACAATATAAGAACAACTATACAAGTCAGTTGAAAAAGGCTTGGACATACGTAAAAATGTTAAACCCAACCATATTCTGTATGTGCCTGTCCCAAGTCGGGAGGTTGTAATTCAGTTGTTGTCGTTTGTTTCTGTATATCATATCTATTTTTCGTTTATAGGTTTAATTCTACATACATCGTTTAAATTAGTTTTCCCGTTTAAATTGTTTCACATTTGTCATTTTGAGTTCTCTTATAACTTGCTATGCGGTATGGGTTTGTTCATTGTTGAAGGTCGTATAGTGACCTATAGTTGCTAACTTCTACGTCATTTGGTCTCTGGTGGAGAGTAATCATACCACATTTTTCTTATTTTTATATTGACTAATCAGATAGACACAAACCACACCAAAAACCCAACAACTAACAAAAAGACTTAAGAAACAAAGTACCGATCTTAGAGTATACTTACAGTTACTGATAGCTAGTTCAAAGCCAATGAAAACCAATAAAAAATCATGATTCCAAGACAATCAATACACATCCAACGGATTTAATGTAAAGAAGTCGTGAACAGTTAGAGAAAAGCATGATCTTGTGCAAAGGAAATAATATAAGTATCGACAGAATGACCGTAAATGTGCATAGCTATACTATTAAATTATGTTTTAATCTATTGACATAAAAATCAATCTTTGTACCGATAAAAACAATATTCAAAGATCTTATTACAGTGGTAAATTAATAAATTTTACGAAAAAGTTTATTTAAAGGATCGACAAGTTTACACGGATCGTCTCTTTTATGGTTGGCTGTTTTAATAACATCACCATAAAATATAGGATGTGATATTCCATTTATAAACTTTTAAACCAATCTTTGTAACATGAAATAATTAATTAAATGTTTCAAGTAATTTGTGGTAAAGAAATCCCTAACTTAACACTCTACCAGTGATACATAGATTGCATTCATTGGAATCTAGAACATCACTACTGACACGGGCATAGCGAACGAGTTGGGATATATAAAATTCGTAAGATTGGAAGCAATACGAAACGAAAAATCGTCCCTTTTGTGGTAAATATTTGTATTAAGAGTTTCTAGTGTGAAACTGATTTTAATAAATCTAGTCAATGCATGTATATATACTGAACTAAGTCCTCTGTGTCATTAAAAAAATCAATAACATATTAATCTTCAGATATTTCCTTCGGTGATTGTTGATCGAAAACTTTGACTGCTTAATGATTTTCGGGTCTTGGTGCCAAAGTTTACCGATCTTTATCTTTTGCGATGTTAAATATCCTATATTTTTGGTTCAATATATTCAGAAATAAACATTTGAACACAACGGTGGATTTGTGAAGTTTTAAAACATTAATTTACATATGTATTTTTAGATTACTTCAATTATGTTAGATGAACTACGTAGAAATCTAAGCGAAAAAGTGCGTTTCTATCATTTCCATTTCGTTCTTAAACATATAACTTGTGGAGCAGGATCTGCTTACCCTTCCGGAACCCGCGATCACCCCCAGTTTTCTATGTTGTGTTTTATGTACTGTTGTTTGTCTGTTTGTCTTTTTCTTTTTTAGCCATGGCGTTGTCAGTTTATTTTTGACTTGTGAGTTTGGATATCTCTTTGGTATCTTTCGCCTCTCTTTTATGTCAGTTGTTAATTGAACATTTGACTGACAATCCCTATTCTCATAATTTTGTTAAATCATAATTCAATTCAATTCAATATTTTATTTTAGTCTGATCTCTCAATAATGTATAATACAACATTACATTAAGTGTAAAATATAGAGCCATTCTGTACAGAATAATAAGAGACTATAACATTAAACCATTATAGAAAATTCGTCTATTATAAAACATATTTATAAGTACAATATCCACAGTATAAAACATTTCTACGTCTATTTAAAATAAGAGAACAGGCTTTGGCACAGTTACGAATTATATTAATATCTGTGAATAAAACACTAATTTCTGTTTATCACCAAAGACATAACATCCCTATTGAAATGTTTTGCTTCACAACTATTTTTTTTCTAAAATCGTCATATAATGGACACGATAAAATAACATGAGCATCATCTTCTAAAATATTTTTACAAATTGAGTTATCACAGACTCGCTCCTCTAAAAGTATAATTTTTCAAATCTCCCTGTTTCAATTCTTAATGGTGCCACTCCACATCAAAATTTGGCAAAAGAACTCCTTTGTGGAAATGGCACTGGAATTGTTAAATATGTTTCAGTTTCAAAACTGCTCTAAAATAAATTATATTTTGTTCTTAGTTATTGTCAACTTTACCAGATAGAGCTTTCTCCGACTTTAATTGTGTGTTTTTATAATATTACTTGATAAACACACTTCACATGAGTATAATTATGTTAACAATAGTGGCGCACATTTCAGCAGGATTCTCGTTAAGGTACGTACAAGCCGAGTCTTGTCATTCATTTAGGAGACATCTTTTTGCGCCAAAAATGCGTTCCTTTGCACCACAACTAATTTGCGCCAAAGATACGTTTGCGCCATAGTTTTTAAATACATAGTTTCATTTGCGCCAGAAGTTAAGTATACGATTTCGCCATTATTGAATAAAATATTATTTTATATCATTTATGGTGCCTCTCTTTTACAGACCATTCGAACTATTGGATGCTTTTACTTCTGTGAATTATCTCATTTAGATATGACAGGTATCAAAACAAAGCAGTAATTAGATATAAGAAGATGTGGTATGAGTGCCAATGAGACAACTTTCCATCCAAGTAAAAATTATATAAAAGTAAACCATTATAGGTCAAAGTACGGTCTTGGCTCACACCGAACAGCAAGCTATAAAGGGCCCCAAAAGTTACTAGTGTAAAACCATTCAAACGGGAAAACCAACAGTCTAATCTATATAAAAACGAGAAACGAGAAACACCTATGAACCACATCAACAAACGACAACTACTGAACATCAGATTCCTGACTTAGGACAGGTGCAAACAATTGAAGCGGATTTAAACGTTTTAATGGTACCAAACCATCACCCTTATCTGAAACAATAGTGTAACATCACAACATAGAAAGACACACTATAAAATATCAATTGAAATGGCTTAACTAAATCAAAAGACATATTGACACCAGTGAAGATACACTGAACAAATACATTTGATCTATGCTACAATGTAAATACAAAATAAATAAACTAAGGGAAGAATAATTAAAGTAACATGTTATACCGCTGTGAAATGTTAAACAATTTAAGAAAAACAATATGCTTGAACAAAAATAACAGCCATTTGCAATTACTTTAAACACAGGTAAATGAAAATAATTTTGTTATTAGGTATGCGATAACAGTTCAAATGGAGAAAGGAAATATTTTTACAAAATAAATAATTTTGATGTTCATAGTACGAAGAAGTGAAAATTAATGCATTGCTCGTCTGTATATACTCTTGCAGTATAGTCTCTTGTTGTACAACACCACCTTATTAATCACCTCTCTTCTGTATGCAAAAGTAGTCTAATTTATTCTATAAAGTAATGTATTTAAGGTACCACAATTTGCTGAAGACGGAGATCTATCAGTTCACATAGATAATTTTATCCTGCAATCAGCCAACTTTTGTACAAATAACAGGTACACAAATAATGTTTTGCTTTATTTGTACTTGTACAAATATAGTCTCGTCTACTCCGCTTCCATATTGAGCAAACGGTAATTTGAATATTTCTTTTTGCAAAACAGTTCATTTTCGGTTCCCCCTTCGCGGTCCGCGTTTAAACTATGTCGATCTCTAAACCTCATTTTTAAGTGTCGGGTGTCAATTACAGGATAAACACAATATATGTACATTTTTTTAAAAAATATAAAATTTATTTGTACTCGCTGCGAATCAAGAGTTTCTAAAGATCGTACAAATAATTTTTATATTTTCCCACAATGTACATATATTGTATATTTATAAATATGCATACAGGTACAATGTATCTTGGACGCAAATGAACTCCGTATTCTGACGCAATTGATACCTTATGGCCTATATCTGTACTCGACTGTACTGATTTTTACCCGACCAGTCTGAATTGGTCTGAAATTTACCTGGTATTACTCGACTGTAGTCTGAACCATA